TTTTCATTGCTGCTATACTGCATATTGTGTACGCACACAAATGGTGCATATGTCTAAACAAAATGTTAACCACAAAACGATTGAGCAGTAAGATGAGTGGTATTGCTGATGTGTAGTTAGTAAGATGAAAAAATCTTCAGTGGTAAGTAATCACCATAATAAACACAATATTAATAAACATAAACCCAATAACATATTGGTGTGACTTTCCTCCTCAATTCTGAGTTGACTGTGAGCAGCCACATTTGAATTTGGGGCTAATAGAATAAATACCTAGTTGATCTGGTAACCGTCTTCCTCTAAATTTTGGGTTGGTTGGAAATTTTGAAATTTAAACGTGGGATTTCATCTTAGTTCTTAAGAGTCTTGGATTCTTTCAAAAATAAAAATATAGTATTTAGGCCTAGCTTGTATGAATTACAGAAAAATGGCACACACAATCTCCTTAAAGCATTTAAATAAGTAATTGAATAGTATTCTATATTTAACTATTCTTATATTTTTTAATTTTAGTGACACGATGTTTATAATCTCATCAGATATGCATTAAGATGTATCACAATTGAAGTCAAATCAACCTGGGATCAATCCCAGAAATCTACAACTTTTGACAAAATGTAGATTTCCTTTTGTTAGTCTGATAAGTCTGTTATCTGTTTTTCAAGTTCTGCATAAGCCTCACTTCAGTATGTTTGCCTGACATCCTTCAGCCGTGCAGCGTCAACATGGCAAATAGCTTTTATGCAACGGACATATTTGGAATGCTCTTTTTCCACAGAGGATGAAAACTTGGGCAGCGCTCTCTGTCATGCTTTTAAAAGGCAGAATATGCCAGAATCAGTGCTGTGCAGTGACTGTGGCTTTGCTGTTTTTTTGTGGCAATTGGTTATGACACAGGGACTCTTACAAAACAGACCTGAAGTTTAGATGCAGCCAATAACCTTGAATGCTATTTCAGCTGCACTTCTAACACCAGGTGCTATACTATGTTAGCATATTTTTAAATACTGTGTATCAGCACTGTCTCTTTCTCCTGGAGATTTTCTCTTGCCAAGTGCTTTCTTATGAGGCGATAACACGTGTTCCAGAATATCGCCCTTTTGATGGTTTGCTGTGTTTTTCAAATTTCATATTTCCATACTATTTTTATATATATTTTTAAATGCTGATAAAAATGTTGGTGTAGCACTGTGGGAGGGGAGAAAGAAGAGACAAAAAGTAACAGCTCTAACTGTTTCCAAAAGCAGTAGGACTATACTGATTAGAAATCCCATTAAGAAAGTTATCCCATTGCTTAAATTAAAATATCCCTATTGAAATGTGTTAGGAATGCAACAGAAGCCCAGTATTGGATACTAGGTTCCTTCACCTCTCAGAGCAGGGGCGGGGAGTGGATGGGAACCCACATGCTGGCCTTTCTCCTTTTCAGAAGCACTGTAGGACATCGGTTCCCTTACTCATTCATTTATCGGTACGTACCAGGCCCACGGCTAAACATTGTGAAGATAAAAATTGTCTGTGGCCAGGTTGTGTGTGTTCAAATGGCTTACATGCAGTATGACACATATGCAAAATACACAACATACGGCAGGACTCAGGAAGGACTCGATGTGGTGGCACCTGCTGCTGCGGAGGGTGTGTTATGTATGGGCCTCTTGGCGTGGGGAAGTCAGGGTAAGCAAATTGGAGGGACTTTTGAGCCTGGACTTGAAGGATTGGTAGGTGTCTTCTAAGAACAATTATAAGACACTTGGGAAGACCGTAAGAGTCAGTATTAAAAAGTAGTCTACAAAAATTACCTTTTGAGAATTAAATTAATTGAGTCATTACAAAATAGTAGGCAAAATGTCTTCAAGCCCAAAGGAAGGAGCACCTGCTTTACTGGTAATAGCTACTTAAGTAGTATATTAGTGTTTTGTTTTGTTTTTTAAGTTCTCATCAGAAGAAGACAGGCTGTATGGGAAGTGGTGTATTGTGTGGGTCCCCCACTTTCCAGGGAAAGAGAAAACCTCCAGGAACTTGGATTTCCTGGTCATTATAGAGTGTGTCCTCTGTGGTATGGTGGAGAGTCTTCACTGAAGAATCTCCTCAGCTGGAGGGAAATACTCTTGCAGTTTCTTTCTCCCCACTATCCACAGAACACAGTGATCAAGAGGACGGTCTCAGAATCGTAACTCGTTCAGATTTTGTCTCCAAACTTGCTCAGTGACTCTTGACAAGATATGATACTTGGTCTCCTCATTAGTCTAATGCGATCAAAATTATCTGTCTGCTAAGTAATTATGAGAATTGACCAAAAGTATTGGTCTGAAGAGTTTTACTCAGGGCCGAGCGCATGACACTCCACAAAGCTGCAAATACGATCTGTGATTTTATACTTACCAAGGAGCCTTAATCACCCATTTCTGGATATCGGAATCATCCGATACAGGGTGTGCGGAACGGATGCTTAAGCATTCCGGAAAGCAACTCAGACGTCCCCATCGTGAACTGATGCTCCGCAGCACTCTCCAGTGGTGCTTGTTATCACTGAGAACTGCTCACTCCTGGGTGGGAGGGCGATCCGGCGGCGACATCTGTGACCCCGTTGATCGCCAGGGTTGATTCGGCTGCTCTGGCTGCCTAGGGGGGCACCCCGTCCCCTTCCCCCCTCACCGACCCATGTGCGTCCCTCCCGAAGTGGCCACTCTGTGGAAGGGGATAACCTTCCCCACTAGAGGAGAGGACCGGTCTTTGGTCAAAGGTATAGGGGTAGCTGCACTCCCCTGCTACAACCGCCAAACAAGTTCTCAACAACTAATCATTGTGGGGGGTTTGGGGAAGTGCTGTTTGCCAACCTGCACGAAGGCTACAGGCCTGCTTGCATCAACCTACCAGTGTTGAATGCCAACCCCGGGGATTTTTTGGGAATAATGGCTCATTTTCATTGAGCATTTACTGTGGGTGAAGCACTCTGCTAAGTGCTTTACCTAGCATGTTGGCTAAGCCCCAAAAATGACTCTTCAGGGTAGGTGTTAAAATTCTCCACTTTTAACAACCAGAAAATTAAAGCTCAGAGATGCTAGGGAGCTTCCCGAGGGCACACCCAGGCGTTACAGGGCAGAGGCAGAATCTGAGCCTCCGCCTGCCTGCTCCCAGCCACTGTGCTGTGCTCCATGGGATTCAGACCAGGAAGGCCGGGTTTCGGATCCAGTTCCACTTCTTTCCAGGAACATGATCCTAAACGAGTGGTTTTAGCCTCTTTGAGCCTCAGAGTCTTCATCTGAAGCACACAATGAATACGTCCTCTGCAGGCCTGTTCAGAGGATTAGAAGTAAGGCACAGAAGTACCTGGCACAGTTTCTAGTGTGTGAAAGTGACCCAACAAGATGTGATTGTTACAGTTGGGGGCTCTCTAGACTGCTTGTTGCTTCCCACTGTCCCCCTTGGCATGTGACTTCAGTGTCTCTTGAAGAGAAAAGGAAACCTTTATACTTTTCAACTGCAAATACATGTAGACTGTGACTTGATTATTTAAATTAGAAAACAGCTGAGGCTGTTACCTGTTTTAAGGACTGACATATGTCCTACATAGCCATTGTAGTTTCTTTTCACTATTTTTATTGCGACAAAATACATATATAACAAAAAGAAACAAAAATATATATATATTTAACAAAATATGCCATTTTATAACAATTTTTTAACAAAGTATTCCAGTTGCAAAATATGTTGGAAGCATATGATACAGTCAGTGTGGAGTTGATGATATATTTTATACTTCCTTTTCATGTTTCTAAAGAATTTTACTTTACATGTCTAAAGAGTAACCATTTCTGTTTTTTAATTAGAAGAATTTTAAAAGTTCTACTGTTTAGGTTTTTTGAGAATTACTGGAATATTATATTTGATTCAAACCCAAAATCATGTTTGGCAAACATAAAAATAAACCTAAACCCGGCTTGGCATCGTTTCCCTTAAAATGTAATCTACTTTCAGACAGAGGGGATTAAACATGACTGATAAAGGGCTTGTAATCTGTTCTGTAGATCTTTAAAATGTTAGCAGGATCCTTGGAACAGGTTGAGTGTTTCAAGTTTCAATGAGATAGCCTAAAACTGATCATGGCCCTCTTTCTTTTTTTTTTCCTTTTTTCTTTTTTAATTGTATAAAAGGAATTTGCTAATAATGCTGAGGTACTTTTCCAGGGCCTATTTTCAGGACATAAAGATATAATAAGAATATAGTATGAATATATGCTAACTGAATTTTTCCCCACATGCCTTTTTCAATTTACTTTAAAATATATTTAAATGTTTTCATTTGCAAAAATTTCTGATATTTGGCCAGGTAAGGGCATAAGCAGCTAAGTTTCACTTGTCTGGTTAAGTATCCAGGCATAACATGAGGGATTGATTTTAGATTGAAATTGCCTCCTTTACCCAGTAATCTCTTTCATTGAGTAGTGACCCCAACACTGTACCCATGAGAATAGCCTAGAGAACTTGAAAATACGTAATCCCTGGACTTGATCCACAGGGACTCTTTTTTTTTTTTTTTTTTTTTTAAGACTTTATATTTAGAGAAAGGGAAAGGGGGAAAGATAGGGAGATAACACGATGTGTGAGAGAGAACATCAGTTGCCTCTCGCACACCCCAGCTGGGGACCTGGCCTGCAACCCAGGCGTGTGTCCTGACCGGGAATTGAACCGGTGACCTTTCAGGTTGCCGGCCAGCGCTCAACCCACTGAGCCACACCAGCCAGGGCGAGATTCTGATTTAACAGGTTTAGTTTAGGATTTGACAAGGCCCGTGGGTAAGACGCATGCAGCCAGGGTCGAGAACCACTGGGTTCAGATGAGCACTAGGTGAGGTGAGACAGGGTGCGGTGCAATATGGAGGAGGGGCGGCAGGCGCGAGCTCCGTGCTTGCAGTCAAACCCCAGGGAAGAGGAAATGAAAGCTCACTGAGCGTCCAGGATTGAGAAAATGATGCAGCTTTTTCTCTTTTTGTCATTGTAGACATGGAAGGACTTTAATGAAACTTAAATGATTCAACAAAAGATGCTCTAATGGATGACAGTGAAACGCCTGCATATAATCTCCAGATAGAACCGCAAGATGGGTGTCATCCTGGGGACAGTGTGGAAGGTATAGTAACGCGCTTGCCTTCTGCGTCAGACGAGAATGAAAATCAGCTTGACCGGGAAGGGCACGACCGTGTGACCGGTAGCGACAGCACGATGGGCAAACCCGCAGCGTCCGAGCAGGACAGCCTCAACAACAATGAAAGCTGCACACCGAGCGAGGTGGCGGCAAGTGAGGACTTGGAGAACAGTCCCTGTGAAGGCTCTAGAGACGGACAGGACTTCTTGGAAAAGGACAGAAAAATACCTGGAAAGAGAAGTCCAAGGAGCAAAAGAGTCACTGCGAAAAAGATATCACCAGGTATTTTTTTTTTGTAATTACTATTTATGCTGTTCTTTCCAAATAAACCTTCTTCCCACCCTCTACTGTGCATTCTGTCCTGCGTCTTGCTTTTCTTCTCTAATAGGTTCTGGAGCTAGTTCTGCAGTGGCACATACGGGTCCAGCTGTGTGGCGTGCCGTGCACATAGCACGTCTCCATAGCATTCCACTGTATGGGTGCAGCGTCATTTATTGACATTCTTTATACGTGTCATCACTGTGACTTTGATCTTTAACCTGTGAATTTATGTGCTGGTACAGTCTTACTAAGCCTCTTTATAGAATCTCAGCGTCTCACTCGATAGGTGAATAATGTACATTAACATGTAATGTTGAATAAGATGTCAAGCTTTAATTATCTAGAATTACTTTGGTTACAGAGTAATTCAGAGTATTTTTTTTTATTGGGTATGTGGTTTGGCAGTTAAAGTTTTGATCTGTGGACAATACTGTCTGGAGGACAGGACAGCCTTGGAAAAAGGCAGCCTCTGGTTACTTTGGATCAAAACGCAGGACGAGGGAGTTCTGGTACGTCCCACACTGGGACTCCTTAGTCGGCACCACTTGCCCAAACGTCAGGCTCCCGTGATGGAACAGCATCTCCTCCCATCCTCCCCTGCCTTCTGCTTCTTTGGCTGATTAAAGATACAGTCTGTCTGTCCCTAGCTTGATTTTATTTGTCTTTTTTATTTGGGATGAAAGATGAAACTTCCCCATTTCTACAAATCAATCCTTATTTATTCTATGAAGTAACTTAATAACTTGTTAATGTTACCGATAATTTGACTTTCCAGTTAATTAATCCCTTTGTCTTTGATTCCTTAGTAGGCTTAAAGCAAATTAAAATAATTTTGGCAAGAGCGATGAAAGCATTTTTCTAAAAGATCTATATTAGAAGATGATATATACAGTACTATTTGTATATAAATTGGTTTATTCTTTATAGTTCAAGGGCCATTTGTGCCTCTCTAATCTGATCATGTGATGTTTTTAAGAACTGAGACCTAGTTACATATGTATAAGGGTCAGTGATAACTTCAAGATTATGGCTCCTTTTATTCCTCCCTTCATGACCTTATTCCAGTTTCCCAAGACATAATTGTATAATTTAAAGTTATTAGTACTCACTACCAGTGAGCAGATATATGTAGAATTACCCTCCCCTAATGCATTGGATTAATATGATGTCTAAAACCTAGGTATGGTCTTTATACAGATTATTTATTAAACTTATTTAATGTATCTTATATCAAATGGGTTTCAGAGTGTAAGATGCTGAATTAAGAGTTGCAAAACCCAAGTTCGAATCTTACTTCTGGTTTTAGGTCACTTGGTGGAGACCTAATTATTCTGTCCTTCAGTTTCCTCATCTGTATAATGCTGATGTCCATCTGCATATATCTGTAAGATTCCTTTCTGAGCATTGAGTATCTTAGATTTCTGAATAGAAATGGAATGGTCTACACTCGATTAAAGTTTGGTGATTCACCCCTAGCATATCTGTAGAATTTTTTAACACATAAGGGGTACCTTTTTATTTGCACTTTGTTTTGTTAATTTAAAGAAATGTGGGTAGGCAAAAGAATTTTAAACTGAATGACAGGATTTTTTTTTTGAGGCTAGAATTATCTTCCTTGTGACCTGAAAAGGGACCTAGAATGGGAAGCTTTAGGATTGCCTGGCAGCCTTCCTCGGTTTACCCTAAGAGACCCCTGAAGTATGTGCCGAGCACCAAGTCTAAGTGACCGTGTTCTGTGCTCCCTCTAGTTGGTCCGTTCCTCTCTGTCCCCACTGCCATGGCTCAGCATTATGACCTTGAGCCAGAGTCCTACAGAAGCCCCCTAAAGATGTCTCCCAACCTGCTCCTCCATAATCCACTCTGTGTCAAAACTAACAAAGCAGGCAGTTTATGCTAGACATGGGCATGTTTACTCTCCTCTTATGTTAAGATCCTAGGTAAGTACAGTTTCAAAATTATGCAGATGAGTATTTTTCTAATATCAGAATAGTTTCTAAAATATGAAATGATATATAAAACAGGACATTCAATCCCAACTCAGAAATGTTTGTTGAAGGTACGCGATCTCAATACTTTTTTAGAAATATATATTAAGGTAAATTTATTCACTTTTCCTTACCTACTTTATGCTCCCTTACCTAGTTTAATTTATAGTATTTTTTTCAGCATCCCAAAGCTGGTACTGTAAAAAATAAAAAATAAAAAATAGAGCAAGAGTATTTTTGGGAGGCATGCCATTTGTAGATTTTCTTAAAACAACATTTCTATATACCTACTAAAACCTCGAACTTGGCCTCACATAAGTCCGGCTGTCATTATATTATGAGATTATATTTTCCTTAAGAGAATGGAATCCCTTTCATGTAAAGCAGAGTTACATGCTGCACTACATCCAGTTTTTACTGGCATAGTTTTAGGTAAATAATATTCCAAAAATTAATGAAAATCAGCGTATAAATTTCTAACAAGTTTTATTGAGATACAATTCACATACCATATAATGCTCCCACTTAAAGTATACAATTCAGTGATTTTTAGCATATTCAAAAAGCTGTGCAACCCTTACGACAGTCAATTCCAGAACACTTCCACTGCCACGCATGGAAACCCCACACCTGTCGCTAGTCACCCTCTGTTTCCCCCTTAGCCATCTCAGCACTAGGCAGCCACTCATACACTTCCTTCCTCTATGGACTTGCCTGCTCTGCACTTTTCATATAAACGGAATCGTACCATGTATGGCCTGTTATGACCGGCTTTCACTTAGCATAATAGTTTCAGTATTCCCCCTTGTTGTAGCATGTATCAATACTTCATTCCTTCTGTGGTCAAATAATACTCCATTACATGCATATTTTATATTTCATTTATCTATCTGTCAGGTGCTGGCTATTAGGGCTATTTCTACTTTTTGACTATTATGACTAGTGCTCCTGGAACATGTGCATATAAGTTTTTGTGTGGACCCATGTTTTCATTTGGGGGCAGGGGGTGTTAAGTATGCATAGGAGAATTACTGGATCGTAAAGTAACTAACTTTTTGAAGGACCATCAAGCTGTTTCCAAAAGTGGCTATACCATTTTACATTCCCACCAGCAATATAGGAAGGTTATAATTCATCCACATTTCTCCAATACTTTGTAATATCTGACTTTTTTGGTTGTAGCCAGCTTTTGTAATTTAGATGCAATTTGCATGCCATAAAATTCGCCTTTATAAAGTGTACAACCTAGTGATTTTAGTATATTCACAACGTTGCACAACCATCTAATTCTAGGACATTTTATCCCCCAAAAAAGAAACCTTGTCCCCATTAGCAGTCACTCCCCATTTTCCCCCCACCCCATCCCTGGCAACTTATAGGGCATAAATTTTACATGGTTGTAAGATACAAGTTCAGATTAGGTGCCTGATGGTTGGCAAACAACACACTTCAGTTATTTACTCAGTCACCATAGTACCTAATCATTTGACAGAACAGTTCAGCCAGTGGCAGGGAGCCAAAGATACACAGGAGGTGGAAATTGAGAAAGGAAGACCCTTCCAGACAGAACTTGGCCACTATTCAATGCCCAGGCTTATTCCTCTGGAGTCCTTCACATTGTGGCCACCGGGAGGTGACAAAGAGGGCCTGAAAGCTAGAGGACAACAAACCTTGGGAACGGATTGGTATCCTGAAGTCAGGCTTGTGTAGTGAGAAGAACAGAGACGGGTTTTGAATATTGGCTCTACCTGTTCCTACCTGTGTGACCCTAGAAAAGTAGTAACTCTTTTCCCTGCGCCTCTTTCCTCATCTGCATGTCTTGCAGCATCGTCTGTAAGATGAGCGACCCTGAACGCGAAGCACTCTGTAACGTGCCCAGTAGAAAACAGGTGCTTCTAAATGGTAGTTGTCATCTTTATGTACGTCGCCAGATTTTTAAGTGGCACGAATAGGAGCAACGTTCAGCAAAATTAAGAAAATTGTTTCATGCGACTCAAAATCCATCGTACCTCTTTTGTCAGTATCTTTCTTCTGGGATCTTTGTAATACGCTCTTTTTAGATTAACCTACCCCTGCCCTTCTCTCCCTGAAGTATATTCCCAGAAACATACTTTCAGTGCATCCTAGTCACGCCAGCTGGCACGTTAACTGATAGCTGAAGTAATCACTAACTGGTCGTGCCATAAAGTCTGAATCTTCAAGGCATATTTGCATTTTACATATCCGGCTTCTACCATAGAACCTTTATAGGTGGCATTAAATATATGCCTATGTATTTGTTTGAGAAACAAAATATTTATATTTTCAGGCTTATAAGAAGATCGTACAATTTATATAAGGCCACATAAAATTTGAGAATTTCATTATCCTGGAGAACTAAGACTATTTTATGTGATAGCTGATGAATTCAGTGTGTTTGGAATAAACTGGAAAAGATGGTAAAAATTGCACCATTTTGATATTAGCAAAGTGGTTAGTGTATGTTTAGTGGGAAAACAGTATATTAATGCACTTGAAACTTTGATACTCGAGTTGTCTATAGGCCTGGATAAGAAGTTTAAAAACTAGCAGAATTAATCACATGCTTGGGGAATCCCTTGAATATATTAAACCATGGTAAAGTACAAAATGTCCAATCAGATGCATAAGAAGAAACTTAGGGAATCAAAACATTGGTGCTAGTTGGTATAGGCAAAATTTAAATCCCAGCAATATTAATATGTACTAATTGTGCCTTAATATGAATTTAAAACAGCGGGGGGCGTACTCTAGAAAGTGGTGGAACTCGAAGGACTAGCTCCAAGTGCTGTGACTTTAAAAAAAACAGAAGGTGTTACTGCCCACAGGACTACCTGCTTTTACAATCTCCGAACCAATGGGCACAATGTCTAGCATAGGAACTACAAACCCCATGTATTAACATTTATTTCTGATCCGCCTCCCAAAATGATAGCCAAGATAGGATCAGCATAAACGAGTAAGATGGTTTGAGGAATCCGGGGAGCAGTGGTTCAAAGAAGCATAACATGAAATCACAGACACAAAGGCATTTTGTTCTATTTTTTATTGCAGTAAAATACATACATAAATTTGCCAGTCTAAGTGTTACAGTTCAGTGATATTAATTACACGTTGTGTAACCATCACCACTATCTACTTCCAAAATTTTTTATCACCGCAAACAGACTTTATGCATAGTCTGTTTATGGAGCTTTAAGCATAAATGCTCCATCTTTCCTCCTTTAGCCTCTGGTAACCTCTGTTCTACTTTCTGTCCGTATGAATTTGTCTGTTCTAGATACTTCACGTAAGTGGAATCACAGGATATTTGTCCTTTTGTGGCCGGCTTTTTTCACTTCGGAAGTCTTCAGGGTCCATCCGTGTTGCCACATGTGTTCCATTGTACATGTATGATGGAGAACTGGCCAGTCCGGCCATAGCAGTGGGCTTGTTCAGAAGGCAGTAGAAGCAAGGCTCTGGGCACAGTCGCGGTGACACACTGAATTACTGTAGGAGGCGGCCTGGTCTGTACGGTGTCAGACAGTCTATCGATTTGAATATGGAAACTAGAACTGACACTGAGGTTTTCATGAAAGTGGAAGTCACGATGAATAATGATTACATTTCGATCATCTTGTGCATCATTTCAGGCAATGTGGGCCAAGCATTTATTAGTGATTTTTCTTTTTAGAAGTTTGTATTACTTCTTTTTATTTTGAAAAATGTTTCTGTGGCCATTAGCTCTGGCATGTGCTGCTCTTCTGGGACCCAGATGTAGTTCTAAAGTTAACAGGCCAGAGTTTAAAGGGGGAAAGTTAACTCCTGTAGTCAGCAGCTTCGCAGGGTAAACGCATTTATCTTCCTGTTCAGATCTGTTTTGTTTGGGGCAAGCTAGGGCTTCAAATCACAACTAAGCCATTTTTTCTTTGGGAGAATCAAGTTTTTGGTCAGGTTTTAACCTGCATACTTTTATTAATTATAATTCTGCAAGAAATGGTTTAGTGTGCGCTAACAGAAGCAATCTAACATCAGCACAGTCTTAATCAGGACATTAACTATGGTTTCAGGGGAGAGGGAGTTCATATAATTAGTTTTATTTGTAACTTTTATTGTTAACATATTTTTTAAGGTGTTCCACCGTGATGGAAGTGTATTCTAACGTAGGCATTTTACTTACTTCTTAAAGGACTTGCTTCAGGAGATGCCACCCCTTTGATGCAAGAAAACGTGCTAAGCACAGTCACGCACACTCTTGGTGATGCAGAGTCTGCTGAAGTAAATGCTAACAATCCACCAGGAGCCCCAAAGCTGGCTTTGCAGTCCCTCTTCTCACTCATACGAGGTGAAGTGGAGCAGTTGGACTCGAGGGCACTTCCCCTCTGCCTTCACCAGGTACTACGTTCGACCCTTCGCTTTCAGCCTCACTAATGTTCTGGGACCAATGTTAGTAATGACCTGAAGTCCAGTCCTGTGTAATCCGTTCTACCCCACGTGTCATTAGTGAGCCCAGGAAAAGGCGACCCTGGGAAAGTGGGTGCTGGGAAACTTGAGTATTACTGGCTAGCAGCCACCCGTGGATAATGAACCTGTACTTCAGACAAGCGCTAACTTCTTTTATTTAGGGAATAAGCCCAGGTCAAAGAGGGTATGGAGGGATAAATAGTAGTGGAAAAAATGTAGTTAAAATATTGTAAAAATAATAATAAAAAATAAAATAAAAGTACAGGCTTTGGTTTTATATGCCAGAGGGAAGGGGGTGGGGAGCAAAGGGGGCCAAATACATGGTGATGGGCGATGATTTGACTTTGGGCGGCGGGCACACAGTGCAACATACTGATCATGTGTCATAGAGATGACACATGAAAACCTTACTTAAAAACCTACATGATCCCCTTAAACAAGGACACCCCCAATAAATTTAATGCTTTTAAAAAAGTATGGACTTTGACTCTACCACTGACAAGCTAAGTGCCTTTCAGTTTCTTCTGGAACGTTGTAGATGAGTGAATGAGATCATGCATGTAAAAGAATTTAACAAGGTGCTTGGTACACAGTAAATTCAGATAAATATTAAGCATTATAACTATTCTCCCTGTCCCTAATGCAAAGATTGCTTGTTAGAAGAAGGCTAGGGATTAGCAAAGACGCACTGAAGCTTGCAGCGGAGGAAGCCAGCGATGGCCGCCCTTCTCTGCCCAAGAATACAAACATCCTCCTGCCTCCCAAGGGAGACCCACATCAGGGAGAGGTGAAGCGACACTTCTCTTATTTCCGTAGCTCCCAGCACCTCACACTGGGCCGTTCACCTGGACTCACCATTTGTTGACTTGTTGCCAAAGCCTTGCCCTCTCCATCCACATATTTTCCTCTTCCCCCCCATCCCAATCCATTCAGTAGGTCTTGCAGATCTGCTTCAGAATAATGTCCAGAATCTGATGTCTTCTTACCTCCTTCATTGCTACTATCTCAGTACAAGACACCATGGAATCTCACCTGTATTGTTGCTGTAAACTCCTCACTGGAAACCTCTCTGCTCTCACTCTTCCTTCCATTTAGTATTTTTCCTCTACACAGCAGCCGCTGTGATCCAGATGAAACGTAAGTCAGGTCACATTGCTCCTCTGCTCACAGCCCGCCGGTGGCTTCCCTTCTCCTTCAGAGTAGAAGCCAGAATCCTTACCACAGTGCAAGACCCTGCGTTATCAGGCCCTTATCTCTTAGACCTCCTTCCTAAAGCTCCCCTTCCAGCTCATTCCCTCCCAGGAACACTGGCCTCCTTGCACTTCCTCGCATATACCAAGGATGTTCCTACTTCATGTCTCCTTTCTACCCTTTCTCAGGAAGCTGCTGGAGGATGTGCTCCAGCCAAACAAGGGAGTAAACCAAGGAATAGGAAGATGTGAGATATAGGCAGTTGAGGATGCTACCCAGAAGAGAGGTGAAGGGAATCTCCATGTGAACAGAGCTTCTAAGATGACAGCTACATACCAAGAAGGAAAGGGTAGTCAATCCTATGTCGAGCAGGTCAGAAGAATCTGATCTTATAAAACATAAGCAGAACCTAAAAATCAATTGAGCCTTTCTAAAGTACTCAGAGTAGAAAATTAGTATAGATTCAAAGTTTAGATTAAACTGAAAATTTACAGAAAGGTGACATCTACTATTGCTCATGAAAAAGTGTTACATCTATAGGATAAATTTTAAGTTAAGCATATATTTTCCTTTGAAAGTGTACTGTTTCCACCGTGGAATTTGGAAAAGCCATTCCTCTCATTCCTAGTTTATAGGTTTGACAAATAGCTTATTGTTCTTTGCATTGGCAGCTACCGGGGAAAATGGAGATAGTGATCTGTAAGTGGGGCACCTTTTTTTTTTTTTTTAACTACAGATTTTGTACAAGTCGGTGGGAACTGTTTTAAAAATGTAAAGTACTTACATGAAATATCCTAAACATGGCAACTGATTGTGCAGACATTTCTCAAAAACATTTTCTGTTTTATGGTTCTGTTTATAAATAAAGTTCTAAATAAAAGACCTCAACGTTTTTAGAACCAAAGAATTTGTCAATTGAAAGGTGCCTTAGAATGAAGCTGGTGAGTGGTAAGCCTCAGCTGGGACCGGAGCCTGCCTCTCTGGACCTTCCACCCAATGCCGTTTATACTGTGCAGCACATTGTATCGATTCCAAGCATCATTGCTCAACCCTCAACATGTGGCCCAGCCTTGTCTGGAATATCAAAACAGAACCAAAAGTCAGCGTCCCATGAGGTAGTTTGTGAAATAGAAATGAAATGAATGGGGTTTAAGGTCTCATGTGATAAGACATCCATCAACTTTTTAACTGACAATAAACAAGGTCATTCTCTTACTCATGTTCCATCTTTAGAAGCCTCTGTAGTATTTTCCTCATTCTTTAGAGTTCCTCTAAACTTTAGTGAATCAGTGAAGTTTGCTTTGATTTGAAATAGAATAGGAAGAATGAGGTTGCATAAAGACCAAAGAATGTCTGTTTGCTTTGCTTGACATGTGACTTTAGCGATGTGTCCTGTGCCTACAGTCAGATTTCTTGTGAACTGATAAATGTAGTCTAAAAGTTTTCTTAATCTGATATTAAAGACTTTCAGAGTTTCAAGGTCTTGATTTCTCCCAAACTTAACTTTCATCCAAATATTAATTCAATATATTGTTTTTTATTTATTTTCAACAGATAGCAGAGTCCTATTTCCAGGAGGAGGACTGTATCCTTTTCTTAATTCCAGGAAGAAAAGCATAGAACTCTCAGAAAACTGTGTATTTTTAAAAATTGAGATTTCTGTACAATAAAATGTATAGATCTGTCTTTTTCGATGGGTAATCACCTCAGAAAGTGAGATGTAGGGGATTTCTATCATTCCAGAAAATTCTCTAGAACTAACCAAATTTGGCCTTTGATCAATTGAACCCTAACTTAACCAGAATCTAAGTATCTGTGTGTTTAAGGAGTGGGGGACCACATTGCTGAAAACTATAATTTAAAAATCTATTGGATTTTCTTCCTTTTGAATTAAGCAGAAGTGCAAGTCTACTAATATTCTTATGGTAGAGCCTGCCAAGCATATTGCATATGGTGCATCTTGCAACTGTTTTACGTGTAACTGCAAAGGGAAGGTTGAATTTTTCACTCGTCATAAACAGAATAAATGTCAAGTGAGACCATATGTTACCTTTTGTATAGGAAAGACCCTTCCCTCAGTTTTTCAGTTTCCCTTTTTAAATTACTCCTCTTTTTGAGGAATGGCCCAATATATATATATACTCTCTAGAAAGAATGTATCATAAACATCTGCTTTTCCCCATTTGTGTGGCTTTTTTTTTCCTTCCTAACCTTGTTGACTTTTACCACACTTCAGAGCAGATTGCGAGAGAAGTGGTTATCACCCTGAACTCTGTCAAGCAAGCTACGAGCGTTGTCAGACAATGACAGTTTATTACTCAGTAATGTAAAACATCAAACTCTGGTGGAAATGAAGCTAGAATGCCTTTTTTTTTTTTTTTTTTTTTTTTTAACTAAAGAAGAGTCTGACATAGTGCAGTGCCAACCAGCATCATTATTTCTGGGAATTTCTTAGAAATGAAAATTCATGGGTCTTAGAGTTTCTGGACATCAGACCCATGAATCTATATTTTAGCAAAGTGTTCAGATAATTTTCAGGTTAAGTTGAGGGAGAAATGGTGGTATGCTTCAAGTCATGGACAGAGGAAAATGGAATTAATTGTCCCTGCTTTTTTCCCTGGCCTATTTTATGATCCCTGGCGTATCTGTAAGTCTACAAATAAGACAGAGAACTGAACCTCTGAGTGATCTTGGGAAGGACACAAAGCTAAACAGTGAGTTTTTCTCTTCCCTCTTTCTGGGTCAACATTTAGAACATGGCCCAAAGGAAGGTAAACAGTTGGACAATTTATCATGACCTCATATGATACTAAATATGTTCTAGAGGTGGAAATGGCAGAAGTTTATAAGAAAATCTACAAAAAGGTAGACTCGCATAATTATGAAAATTACTGTGGCAAGTTAACTAAATGTTTACAAAAGACCCATAAAACATTGGCTCTGTCCTTGGTTGGGTATGTAACCCTTCGTGTTGGGGGAGAAAAGCATTCAGTGAGAAATAAGTAAAGAGTCAAGGTGAGTTGAAATCAGAAACAGGCTGGCAAGAGGGTAACAGTTGCTTGACAGAAAGTAATTTAAGGAGGGGTTGTTTTTAAAAAAAGAGAGAGAGAGAGAGAGAGAGAGAGAGAGGGAGAAACAGATTGCAGGATTCCATGTGGGTCCCATTTCCGATTAAATTACATTTAATTGACTGCTAAAGACATGTTAGCAAGCAGGCATTCCTTGAGTATTAAAGTTTTCTTTGAGTTTCTACTGTTTGCTTATAGAATAGAATCCAAGTAGCGATTGCACAATATGCTACATTAAAAGGTACCTGCTTCAAAACCAAGAAACCATAAGACTTAAGTTTTAAAATGTTTAAAGTCCTCTCATTTTTTTAGAATGCTTTAAATTTGTCCATTTATATAGTTTGGATATTATTCTTCAAGCATGGGACTACATGTAAATAGTCTGGATTTCTATTTTCCTCAAGTTTTCTATTCAGATGAAAAAGCAATGAAATTCATACAGCTCGAACGACTGTACCATGAGCAATTGCTCGCAAATCTCTCTGCCATTCAAGAACAGTGGGGTGAGTACAGTCCAACATGGAATTGGGAATTATGTATCCGTAATCTAACGAAATGCTATCTAAAGAGTTAGCATACTTGACTGGGATTTGTAAGTCAGGAAATAACTGTCTCTATAGTCAAGTTAATGTTGCAAAGAAAGTAGCATTTTTAACACAAGTCTATGTCACTGAGGGAAAAAATCCCTCTTTGTGTTTTGTCCTTCACACCAATGCCAAGAAGAGAACTCTTGCCACTATTTGCATTTCTTCTGATCTCTTTGCATGCCCTACTGGCTAGTTTAGTCTTTGAGGTATTATTTACCTATATTGAAAAGGAATAACTTAGCTGTTTCTAACTGTGTTAGCTATAATTTTGCATGCTAACCTTTATCAGTGGTGCCAGTTAACTATTTTTTCCCTCCTAAATATGATTTGTAATGGTGACTAACAAATATTTTAAATTTAGAAACAAAATGGAAAACTGTACAACCACATACAGTTATGTCTCCAAGGAATTCAGAAAAGGGATTTAATGGTGAAGACTTTGAACGGCTTACTAAATTTTGCACGACGCATCAAGAGTAAGTATTTCAGAATTTGATTAGAGTGGGCTTGGATTAGAATATTGAAGAACCATTGTACCATTGAATATCTGAAATACAAGACCCATTTTTATTTGTTTTGTTAATGTTTTCAACTGAAGAAATTAAACCTGATAAAATGATTAGGGTCCTTTCTCAGCTTTTATCTATCTCCTACTCTGAGCTCAGTAAAAGGTCAATTTTACATAGGTTCGAAGTAACTTCTAATTAGAAAATGTTAAATATAAACTCTAATTTTGATCTCTGGTTAGGAGATTAGGCAACTCAGATGGGAAAAGTTGTGTGTTAGGACTTTTTATTATAGTTATTTGCCAATGTTTGTGTATTATAGTAAAAAAAACTCCACATTTTGAAGAGTAGTCTAATAATGGGAAGCAAATACAGCATGGTATTTTACCAAAACACTGCAGAAGGAAAATTACATTGACCAGGTAATTTTAAAGGTTACATGTATATCAAAGAGTTGGAGCTTTAAAACTAAATTATAGTAATAGTAAAGCACTTAAATATGTTTTTAACTCAAATTTTAAGACTTAGGATTCTGAAGGTGAGGGATATGCTAATGATAAAACTGGTACAGATCTCGGATGTAAAGCGTGAGTCCTCAATACAAAGGCTGAAAGGCGAGCCTGCTGAAGGTTGACAGGGACGTGTTTGTCTGGTAACTCCCTCTAACCGGGATACCGAACAGTCTGCCTCTCAGAAAGCTCCCTCAGGCACTTACCAAGTCAGCACCCAACCCCCTAAAGTAGCCACTATCTGAGTTCTGTAACAGTATATTTGTCTCTTCTCTAATTTCACATAAATGTAATCACACAGGTGGTACATTTTTGTATTTAGCTTCTTTTGCTCATCTCTGTGTCTGTGTTGCATGTTATTACATGTGATGGTAATTCTGTTTTATTCCTGTGTGCATTCATTATATTATTGTAACAATCTATTTATTCTTAATGGACATTTGGATTATTTCTGGTTTCTAAATATTATGAATAAAATGGCTACGAACATTTTTGTGCATGCTTTTTGGTGGATATATACCTTCTGTTAAATCAGGTATTCCCTAAAATATAATATTTAAAAATAACTTCTTTTATATGTTTCCATGTATAATGCCAATAAAATTATCCTCTACTATATAGTCTGTTTTAGATGATAATGACAAAATAAAATTTTAAAAATACCCATGTGTTAAGTACTCTTTATATACGTAATTAGCAAAAGAAAAAGTTTTGTTTTCTGAATCTCAGCATCTGTAGTTTATTTGGGAGCTTTAATAGCAATTAGCTTTCTGAGGAGATTAACACATCATGTAGCTGCCCTTTGAACTGTGTGAGCCTGTGTAATGTTTCAGTAGTGGAAATGTTCTGTGCTAATATTAGAATCCTGAGAAGCTGTAATTTTTTTTTTTTTTTTTTTTTTTTTTTTGCAGCCACTTCAGTGGCATTTGTTTGGAAGCATATTACTGCTGCAGTTCTTTTTAATTCTTTTTCTCTCTCTTTTTTCCTACAGTCCTCTTTTATCCAAACATAAGGTAAGGGATTGTTTCTTTGAAAGTATTTACAGGAAAAATGTTAAGTGTCAGATGTCTATAGTATGAAAATAAATCTTTCTCAAATTATTTTCACCTTCTATTTTAATGTGATAGTTTCCCCCAAAGTTTTTTTTTTCTTTAATTTCACTTTTAGACAGCAGTTGCAGACAAGTCCCTGAGAAGGAAGTGCATGACGCAGTTAGCTGCTTCGGAAGGTCCAAAGGACAGTGGAGCCGCAGCCAAGGAGCCGGGTATGTTCTGACGCTGGAGAGGCCTGTCAGAGACACCTGCCTCCCAGAATATTCCGCAAATGTGACATCTGAATTGCTGGTACATCTGAAATGCTGTATTTACCTTTTTTTTTTTTCCCCCCTTTTTGGCACTTACCTTTTCTAGACAAATAGCAAAGTGAGATTTTTAAAAAATATTATATAACTCTCTGTTTAGATCTAGTAGTAGAAACTATTAAACCTAAATTCTTATAAGAACATAAAGTTGCTTCCATGTTTTCAGCAGGTGGTTTTATGTACCTAACACAGCATAACCAGATGGTTATGCTCTGAAATAGAATTGGTTTTAGTATGTTAGACACTGTTTTCTGTTTAAAAACTAGCATTTGTTATATAGACATGACCAGAAATTTGTTCTATATATCTATTTAAAAGCGCTATATCTTGAAAATTTATTCATAGCAATTGCTTCTCTTCTCTTTTATGTTGACTAACATAGGATGCACTTGAATTTACATATATAAAGCACTTAGGATGTATTTTGTACCACTTTGTGTCTTAGGTCAAAAGTTAAAGATTTTTAGAAACTATTTTTTACATTAGTAATGTGTGCTCATTATAAAAACTTTAGAAAACAAGGATGCATGACTGCGTTTTAGGGTGTTTATTTTCCCTGATGGGTGATTTCAGCACTAACTGCTATTCCCAGGATTTATGCTCCTGAGTCCCAGCGTCAAACAGAGCAGCATCACGTATTTTACCTGAGTTGCCTGAGAGAGAAAACGATGACGGTGATGCCTGCCATTCAATTCTCCTTTTTCTTTTTATAAAGTCCTTTCCCCGACTCCCTCCTTTTTCCTTCACTTCTTTTATTTTTATGAGGTAAATTGAGGATATTACTTCAGGTCAGACCTACTATATTCTGCTCTTCCCGTCTCCTCTGTGCCGGTCGTCTTTATACTGGAAATCAGAGTAACATGAGCTTCCTAAAAATCGGAGAGAGAGAGAAAGTGACGAAATGGCCCCCCGGTTTGGGCGAGGCTGTGTCTCCGTGCCGGGCGCAGGGGGCCGAGCGCTGCCACAGGCTGATGAACCACAGTGGACACGGGGCACTGGTTGCTTGCCCAGCCCCAGCCTGGCACGAGCGGCAGCTCAGCCTCTGCTGTCAGAGGCGTTTCAGACGGGAAAACTCGGCACCACGTGTCAGTCCCTTGCGTGGTGCTTTGACGCACAGCTAGAACCCGGGGCTTCTGATTTCTGATTGAAACGCAGCACGCTTCTCAGGAAGAGCCGTCTTAGGGGGAGAGTGTGGACTAAATCCTGGGGCAAGAAGTCTTGCCAAGTCTGATAAAACAATATCTTTTCAAGAAAAATGTCAAATCTCCCAGAATTAGTCTCCTTCGTTTGGTTATTCTGTGAATAAATACGTAGAAAGGTAAGAATATGAGAAGGAGAAACAGAAAAATGTTTCTATAAATGACTTGAATCAAATACATTATTCCTGTTTTGCATTATATTCCCCATTTCTAATGTAAGACATGTAGTACACTCTAGATTTTCCTTTCCCTGAACCGCCTCTCCACACTCCTTGATCCTAAGCCTCTTACCTAACACGTAACGCGTTATTTTGTGTGCGGTGGTCAAAGGCTGTTTCCGGAGCCAAGCTTGGCTGGTTTGATCCTGTCTCCACCCCTTTCAGCTGTGTGATCTCAGGCACGTTGCCTAGCTTCTCTGAGCCTCCAGTTCCACAGCTCCAAAATTCATTGTACTTACCTCTTAGGATTCTTGTGAAGATTATGTTAATAATTTCATGTTAAGAATTTTGAATAGTACCAGGCGCAAAGTAAGAGCTTAACGCCTTCTCCCTGCTCTCGTTACTCCTCTCCGCCCTCCTCGGGCTATTGCCGGCCTCCAATACCCACACTCCCTACGTGTTCTCTACATACTGACCTCTCGTTAGGAAAGTCTTTTTACATAGTATTTTATAGTATTTTATATTTCATCAGTCATTCCTAACAACCAATAGAAGCTAGGCTGGATCATTTAAAGAAACTCAAGGAGGCTGTGTGACTGATGCCGGCACAGTACTGACTAGAACTCAAAGCCAAAACCTAGTTTTCTGAACACGAAGCCCATGCATTCTTATTAATTGATGTTTTTATATATTTTTAAGGAATATGTTGCATGTAAAAGTAATATATTGCATACATGATAAGAAATGATAAACTGAAAGCCTCAGAACCTAACACCCAACTGAGGACTCAATTACTGTCCCTTCTGTGATAACTACTTTTATGTCCCCTGCGTTCACCCCACCCCCAATGGGACCGTTATCCTGAGTTTTATATTTATCGTTTTTCCCATTTTTCACAGGCTGCATTGACATACAATTTCCATGCAGTAAAATGTACCCATTTTACGTGTGTACTTTGAAGAGTTTTTACAAATGTGTATACTCACAGCACCACTACCCTTTCATTTCAGAAGAGCTAAGTAACAGAAACCCATGTTAATATTAACAAAAGCATTAACAAGACGTTTTATATTATAATACATACTGTAGAAAATAACTTTTGGTTAAACACAGCAGATCACACATGTACCCCCACTTTTTCCCGGAACGCCATTAAAACATCAGAAGGGGGTTCTTAAGAGGCCAGAGCCCACAAGGGCAGAGCTGGCAAGGAAGCAGCAGCAGAAGTGACATGCAGACACTGGTGGGAGCTGGAGAGCAGACGGCTGGGTGGCCCCTGGCCTCACACAGCAGAGGAAGCTGAGCGCTGTGTGTCCACAGGGAAGGTGCTGGCTCCTGCCTGGGAAGCTCTGGCACTGGAGCCCAGGGGGTACCACTAAAGTCCAGGATGTGGGGCTGGACTGGAAACAGGAGGTTGGGCTGAAAGACTGCAAGAAGCACTGAGACCTTTCTGTCCCCTCTCTGCTAACCAGGAGGCTGGAGGTTTATTTTTTAAAGAACAGGAAATAGAAGACGCCTGGCCTCAGGGTTCAAGCACAACGCAGGGAAGGGGGATTAAGGAGAAAATGAGGATTTGAGTGAAAATCTGTGGACTGGGTGGCGGACCTTCAGCCTAGTCTCTGCATTTAGCTTGTAGCGCTGTGGCAGCTGTATGTCTTTTTTCCCTCCCTGGGAAACTAGCTACTCGTCCAGGAAATTAAAACCCCCAGCCCCTCTGTGCCCCACAGTGGGAGCCTCTCCCAGAGAACACGTGCCTTTAACCACAGTGCTGTGTGTGGCCTCATTTAAGAAAACCTCAAATGGAAAAGATGGAGACCAGATGAGATAGACAAACCCAAAGGAACTCAAAAGAAACAAAATGCAGAGAAAAGAGGAAAACTTTTTAAAAATGAATGATCATCACAGAGATCAGAGAAAATGCAGTATATACGAAAACAAGAATAAGATGCTGTTTTTTTTTAGAAAAGGAACATTCAGAGAATCAGAGAAATGTTCATAGAAATTTAAAAGCGTGCTAGCCGGTATAAAAAATTAATCAGAAGAATTGAAGGATGAAATTGAGTCAGTGCCCAAAAAGCTGATCCAAAGTCAAAGAGGTGAAGAACATGACAGAAAAGGTAGATAATCACTCTACATCCCCAAATCCTTTGGTGGGCACTCTGAAGGGAGAAAATGGAAAAGAGAAGGGGGCAATTTATAAAAAAAAAAAAAAAAAAATAGTGCAAGAAAACTTCCCAGAACTGAAGGTCAAGTTTCCAGGTTGAAAGTTCCACCCAGTATCCAACACAAAGAATGAGAAACTTTGTGAAGTTTCAGGATGCCAGAGAGAAAGAAAACAATCTCAAACTTCCAGTTAAATGGAGGTTACAAGGGGTTGGTATTCAGATTGGTTACTAAACTTCACATTCCTACTGGAAACTAGACACAATACAGGAGCACCTTTAAAATTGTTAGAGAAAATGATTTCTGACCTCAAAAATCTTAACCAAAGTTTTAGGAGTGAAGGAGTAAAGACTTTCACGTGTGAAGGATCCTAAAAGTTTACCTGCCATGCACCTTTTCTTAGGAAATGTTCCATCCGGAGAGAATGAACCAAGAGGAAGACCTGGGACCCTGAAAACAAGGTCTCCAGCTTGGAGCCAAAGGGGGTTCCTGGGGTCACGGGGAAGGGAAGCTCTAGGGCAACACTCGTGTGTCAGTCCTGGAGGGCAGGCGCGGGTCAGGGGCCCTCAGAAAGGACATGTTTCGGGGCTGGTAAATTATCTGTTGGCATATATGCCTTCATTGTACATCTGTCAGAGTTTAGAGGTAAATAAGTAGAGATTTTTTTAATGAAGAAATGAGTCAGTTATGAACACCAAGGAAAATAAAGTGTAAATGAGGAAGAAAAATGTCTCAATATCCAGTGCAGGTCAGTGTGAGTAATATTAACAAAGCCATAGGAAGGTAAACATCTGGATATTGAATTGCCTGAAAGTGTGTTGAACTGCAGTGGGAAGCTAGAGGCAGGGAAATAATACATCCTTTCTGAGGGTTGTTACAATATTGTGTCACGGGCGTTATTTGTGTGGCCTTTCTCTTTCCCCCTGCACAAAGTGTTTTGAATCTTAAAACCACTTGCTTTTCTTCATCTTCAGAGAGTGAAACTTGTCCTGGCATGGAACCAAGTACAGAAAGCCAGCACGGAGGAGGGACCGGGGAGGGCAGCCCCCGCTGCCATCAGATGGCCTCGCCGGCAGATCCCCCGGGCCTTCCTGTAACTGCGGGGAAGGACCACACAGCGGAGCCACTCAGCCGTGCGCAGGCCACTCTGGAGCTCCACGCCCAGCCCTCAGGGACAGCCAGCAGCCCGCCGGGGCCATGCTCCTCGGAGAACGCTCATGAGGAGGACAGAAGCTTGCCGCTGGCTCAAACAGACGCCTGCCAAGATGTGGCCGAAATAGAGGGCACCGCTGAAGACCCTAAGGTGGTACTTTCCAGAGAGCCAGGGACAGAGCCATTGATTTTACCGGACTCTGACCTTATACCTCCTGCATTGTGTTCTGAGGATAAACAGTCACAGACTCAAAGAAAGGAACTCCATCTGCCACTTGAAGATGCCTCTGAGGCGTTGCCCTCCGACCAGCCCGAGCACAATGAACTGAATGAGCCGCGGCAACCCGATCTCGCAGGCAGGGATGGAAAACCACCGCAGGGACAGGCCAGCTCCCAGGGCTCCGAGGGCGCACTCTGTGGAGACAGCGAAGTGACTGACTTAAGTACGGGGCCTTCGGCGGTGTTTATGGCCCCAGAGGGAAAGGGGGAGCAGGAGGACCAGATCAATAAAGAAACAGAGGACTATTTGAACAGCCTTTTAGAGGGATGCTTGCAAGATACGGAAGATTCTCTTCCATACGAAGAGGAAGATTCAGACCTCCTTCAGGATTCCCCCGACGAAGCATCTTACAGCCCCCAGGAGACCCTGCCTCCCGACGAGAGCTATCTTTCGCTCGATGACCTTGCAAAAAGGATAGAGATCGCAGAGGTAAATGTGAGATTTACTCTACATAGTGCTCTGAAAAGTAGAACGAAATGTAAAAAGCCAAATGTGCTAAAGGTTGCCTAATTTTTAGAAATTTCCCCTGGTCTCAAACAGGAGGGAAACATTTAATTGACGTGAGCTTTTAACCACTAGGAGTTGTATTTATTTTAGCCGTGATGTTTAGGCTTCAGGAAGTTGCATGCCTCCAGATGGGAGCATTATGGACGCCACTTTTTATGTCCCTGTGTCTTCTGTGTGGCAGTCCCAGGAGTTGCCATCAGGATTAGTCACCTTCTTATAAGGAAATCTCATCTTTCTTCTCATACAACCAGAAGATAAAATAGAATGTATAGTCTCTGTTTCTTCCTCTTATTAATGCATTTTTTATTTGAAACAGTGTAACAGAGTGAAGGGAACATTTTAAAATACAGTAAGACTAAGAAACACTGGATGGATCTTTAAGCCCTTAAATCGGATGCTGTGAGTGTTCTCCTTCTTACAGTGTTAATTTCTAAGCTCTGGATTTGAGCAAACGGCACTTAACTACTTGGCTAAGACAAATATTAAAAATCAAAGTGTTAAAGTCTCTCTAAAAAGTAGGAGGCTGAACAAAACCAAAAAAGAAAATAAAAAGGAGGAGGAGAGGATCAAGGTGGCCACTCTCCTTTGTTTGATAATGTAATAATTTAAAGTTCGGGGCGGGGGGGCAGGGGAGGGGAAAAGATCCTCCGTGAAGGCCGCCGCCGCATTTTGCCAACGTTACCAGCCTTGGTTTTGAAACAGTTGTCACACTTCCATACTTCTGTGAATACAGGATGCAGAACGTAATTTCTTAATAACCGAGTGTTCCCATGAATGGTATTTCTGACGCCCTCAAGAACTGCTGTGGCCCCGGGGCCCACCGCCCTCCGCGGCGCTGAGCGGTCCCAGCGAGCCCTGTCCTCTCCCCGAGCCTCACCTCTCCCGCCGGTGACTCTGCCGCTCACGGGTTTCCTCACTGCTTGTCCCTCGTTCCACCGCTGAGTCCGTGATAGAACACAATGATGTGTGCTCTCTTGGCCAGTTTCCCCCCTTTTCCTGTTTCTTTGCTTTCATTTTCCTTCCACTTCTGCATTGCTCAGCTCTGGCTTCAGGTGGAACTTGGCTTTGACAACTGCCACCAACCCAGTGGGGGCATTTGGTGTGTTTTTTTTAAACAATTAGACTCATCCCATAAAATGAAATAACTTACACAAAATCTCACAGAGAACTGATGAAATTCACTAATATAGAGACATGTGTAAATGAAAAGGGCGTAAGTTTGGGAAGCTTTTTTGAATGCGGGAATAATTTTGCTAAGTAAAATGACCGCTTCATCCCTGACACTTTGCTGCTCTTGTGTAGAAAAAAGCATGACACAGTCATCAAAAGTGTAATCTCCACATCTCGACTGTTTGAAAAAAGCATCAAAAATAGGTATGCTCTTTTCATAAATTTTGTAAAAAGTTTATCATGTGTGCAGTGCCACTCATTTATTCTCTCATTCAGTAAGTTTTATGTCACGTCTAGGTGAGCACCACCTCGTTCCAGATGCAGTGATTAAAAGTTCAGATGAGGAACTTCCAATTACATATGAAGCCTACACTCGAACAGTTGTCTGACTCCAGGTCTTACCTGTTTACTGAATTTGAGTTTCCCAGTTTTGGGGAAGAGATGAAATTGCATCACAATACCCATAATGTATTTTAATGCCAGAACCCAAAGCCCCTTTACCAGGGAACCTGGTGATGCGAGCGAGTTGTTGACTCACTTGGTCCCGGGGCCTGGAAGGGCTGCATTGTCTTCTTTTTAAATCTGTCAGCTGCCCTTAGCATCAAAGCCTGAGAGGAGAAATAGGCTGCACAAATTCAAGGTGCCTTAGGATCCAGTCCCACACTGCTGAGTTAGGTCCATTCCGCGTATCATAAACTGTTTCATGGTGGGGCCGGGGGTGTAGTGAAGGAGTTATATTGTTTTCTAAATAAATGGCACTCAAATATTGGGTAAACTTGACTAAAATGAGTCTATTAACTTTGAAAGTAATCATATTCGCAGACTTGAACAACATGATATGCCATATGAAAATAAACCATTTTCTTCATTAATATATTCAGGTGTACTCTCTTTACAGCGATGTCATATGTTCAGGAAACTATATTCAATGCTTCAGATTCGAGTAATTTTAATTTTTAGAAATAATTCGTTATGTAATAGCTGCAAAAGTAGCCACTTGGCCACTGCTTGGTTCGTTTGCAAGCTTGTCATCTGAAAGAGGGCCGAATATGCTCACTGCCTGCAGGCTAAATCAACAGTATTTTCTCAGATATCTCAAGTCCACCCGTTTCACAGAACACAGAACAGGGGAGGATATAACCTGAAACTCTCTGATGGGGAGAGAGGTGACAGCCCCGGATTGCTCTGGGTTTGTCTTCAAAGAAGCTTTCTGATCGAAGTGACTCCTGTGGCGTCCATCTCTGTCTCTAGGCCAGATGACTGGGGTCAGGGAAGCTCAGTCACACTAAGGCTCGTCACCGTGGGATACCCTCACGATAAGATGGGAGTCCAGGGCTAGGCAGGAGTGGTTTGTAAAATCATGTAGGTCGCTGTTCTGTGGATCTCAGACAAAGGAGGGTCTTAGAAACAGTAATTATGGTTGTTCTGCCCAGAATGGCTCTTCGGAGGGGCAGGAGTCCAGCTTCCTGACAACAGAGGAAAGGCCGTAGGCAGCCTTCCAATTACAAAAGAGGGTTCATAGAAAATAGTTGACCCAGGATTTTTGTAACTGCCTGAAGAGCCCCAAAGGATAATCCACAGATTTCCTATCTTTTCTTTGTGCCAGATGGTCTCGTCTTTGCCTTTCTTCTTTACCCTGCTCCCTAAATGTTCCCATTAATTATGCTGCTCTGGATTGGCATGTCTCTTGCACCCAGCTCCTTTTCCTTTCCATTTTAATCATTCTGTTAGCTCACATTTCTACGGCCTCTTCCTGGGCTTTTGCAGCAGCTACCTAAAGTGTTTCCATTCCTCGTACCATCTTCAGCCCCTGCAAATGGTCTTACATTAGCACTGTACAAATGTGAGGTCTCAAACTGATACCCAAAAGGAAATGAATGGCTTAGCTGTAGCGTGATAAGGAGAAGGCTCTCTGGCCTCACCTAGAGGGATCCAGCATCACAAAACACTTCAGGTGAAACACACACACCTGAGCGTCTGGGCCTCACACATACGCTGTCGGTTTCAGCTTCTCCTAGGAAATATTTTTTGCCTTGTCTGTCTGTCCCCATGAGTCCTTTTGGCCCAGGATAAAGACCGCACTACATGGCTTGGTGTCCAGGACGTGGAAGTCCAGCCCACTCTGCCTTTCCAACGTCCTCTCCTGCCGCTCCTTTGTTCTCCGCCTGTACCCTGCTCAGGGTGGCCTCCTCACAGCCTCCCGGATACACCTTGCATACTGTCATCTCTGACCTTAACCTTCTGTGTCCCTCTGCTCTGGAGTGATGAACCTCCTTTGCATACACTTACTTCCTCCCCGCCCACAAGATCTAGGTTGTGCCTCTTTAGTCCGCAGAGGGCCAAGCGCCACGCCTGGGTTGTTGTCACGCTCCGTACGTGCTAACTGCTGCTGTTAGTGGACACTGAGGTCCACTGTGTGTATTCTTTTCCCACCTCTCCTCTGAACTTCAAATGACAGGCGGCTTCAGCATCACTCCTCCTAAAGTCCTAACTCACTGCCATCTTCCGTTGTCATTATAGGAGACACACAGTCTTCTGCACCAAATTCCACTCTCCTTAAGGGCGGAATCCTTTTGAATACATTCTTGTGTTCTTCACAAATCCAACACAGACTTTACAAACTATTGTAAATAACAGCCACCTCTACACAGTAAGACTTTTTTTTTCCATTTTCTTTTACTGGATTCACTTTGAAAAATAAATAACCTTTAAGGGAAAAAGCTATGTTATTCAAATAAATAGAGGTAGGTGCTGTCTCTATGTAAGTTTCTTATCCGTGTCACCATTTACTCTTCAGCCTAGTTATTGAGCAGCTGCTATATATTCTAGGGCACAGGTGAACACAGGTCAAGTTCTTCTTCTCATGAGACTGATGCCGTAGAGGGAGAGACTCATTCTAAACAAGTTCACATACAGTAACCAGTAGAGTCTCAGACATTGGAAAGGCCGTGGAGAAGCCTGAGCAGGGCCAGGGCATGCAGAGAGACCGCCCCAGGGCGGAGGGGCAGTGGGCTCTCTCTTTGTGGGCAGCGGGGGCAGCAGGGGGGCCCGCGCAGCTGGGGCTCGGTGGACAAGGACCCGGTGGGGGGTTCGGGTGGGAGAGGCAAGCTGGAGCTGCTTCCTGAAGGGCCTCGTGTGGTCAGGGGGAGAGACCGGAGTGAAATTCAAACGGGTGGCAAGCCGTGACTCTGAGCCGCAGAGCGAGGTGACCTGCTTTGTTTCCCGGCCACTCCGGGGAGACCGGACTGCAGGGGAGGCAGGGCCGAAGGAAGGCGGCCAGCGGGGTCACGGCAGTTATTCAGGTGAAAATTAACACAGGGTAGCCTTCAGGTAGTCACACACGTGTGGCGAAGATATATTTTTGAAGGAGGAACGGACAAGATGTGCTAATGGATTAGGTACGTGGTTTGGTGGCGAAGACCAGTTATGAGGGGTAGAGAATCAAGAACCAAAGAGTTCTTTGGAATCTACCTATTTAAACACTTTGCTGAGGGCTAAAAAGTGGGATGGTACCTTGGCATTCGTACTGTTTCATTTCCTATTTTATATGTATTAAATTGCTCCAGTAAACAAACAAACAAGACCAAAATTCAAGGTAGTGCCTAATCTAGAAACTTCGATACATTATAAAACTCCTATTTTTAAACAAATCTTTCTCTTTTTAAATCTTTTGAAAATTCAGCATTGACACGCTACATCATCATTTGCTTCTTCCCCTTTCACACTCCGCGCACGCAGACTGTAAGGCAGCGTCATGGCGATAAACATGGTGTTCCTTCTGGAAGACAGTTCCATCCTGTGCCTCCTCCCCAGCGCCTGCAGTGACTTGTTTTAATTTATTACAGTAGCAACTATGATATCTATCCAACTGTCTGGTTAATTGAACGACACAAAAGATCTTTCATCTGACCGACATCTCCCCCATGTCTCTGTATTGAGGAGTGTAGCCATTACTTTAAGCATCTTTTAGTTGAGGTGATGTATAAGACTCGAATTTGTTGCTAGGGGCATACGTTACTTTGAAAAGACAAAAGAAACATATTAGGTTTATTATATTATAACAGATGACACTGAACAAAGTGTTTTATTAAACTTACTTGGGCAACATCGGTTAATAGGGTTATGTAAGGTTCAAGTATACAGTATTATATCATCTGCATATCGCATTGTGTGCTCATCACCCAAACTGTACTCTTGCATCACCACATAATTGACCCTTTTCACCCTCTTCTAACTCCCCCTGCCTCCCTTCCTCCTTGGTGACCACCATACTATTTTCTGTGTCGATGAGTTTTTTCTTTGTTTTGTTCGTTCATTTTTTGCTTTCAGCGTATATCCCACATGTATCCCACACATGAGTGAAATTATCTCTGATTCTTGTTCTTTCCGGTCACAAATGCAGTGTTGCCATTTGTGACAACGTGCATGGATCTTGAGAGTATGTATCACTCTGAGCAAACTAAGTCAGACAGAATAAGCAAAGTTTTAGTAGTCATGGAAAATAAGATCTTCACATTAGGAAAATGGCAAGAGGTCTAACCTTGAGTTCGTATTCAAACTTTGCCAGTAGCTGGTGCCACAAGGTTACGCGCGTTACTTAAGCTTTCCAGGCGTGACACCTTCATCTGGAAAATGGGGCTGATAATGCTTGTATGAGAGAGCCATAAAGATTAAATACAACATATTGTGTAAATTTCTTTGCATAAAGCGTTCAGATTAACCAAATTATGGGTCTTTTTACAGAGCCCATGTCACTTGTCCCCTCGCTGAAGAATAACTAGCGAATCTGACATGTGCTCCCACAGTGAGGTGGATGGCACTTAAACTGTTTGTAATTTGCGAATAGGACTTATGAATGTTAATTCTCAGGTTAGTTGGAAACCAAACTTGTTCATGTTCAAAATTTACTAGCCTTGAGGTTCGGGATTGAGTAAAGTGCATGTCATTAAAAGACATTATTTGGTATCTATTTTTCTTTAAATTTTGGAAGGAGGGAGTTCTAACATCAAGATCAATGTTTACTTTGTCACCATAGGATTTACAACACCCATAGAATTTCGAAATAGTTTTGTTTTTACAACCAGTTCATTCTCCGAATGCTATTTAAGATGATCATTGATGTCTGAGCAGGAGTACAGAGTAACTACTTATTTGCAAATAGAGAGGATTGGGCCAGCTGGATGTTCTGTTGTTGCCATTGAATTTTGCACTTATTCATAGAGCACCACCAGGAACAATTATGTTAATTACAGCTGGAACATTCTTTTAGTTCATAATGGAAGGCCTTGGTATATTTTGTTTGGGTAGCAAAGATATTTAGTAATTCAAGTAGAAAACCAAATCCAGTTTTTAAAGCTTTACTTTCTGAGATTTAAAAACTTTTAACCTTTTAAGTTCGGTATTTTTTAAGTCGTTTGAAGGAGATACATTTCTGTGCGCCCTAAATCAGCTTCCCACCCTACCTAGAAACACCTGACAGTCTTTCACATGAGACCCCAGACAAATACGGTGACTTTATTGTGGCTTCACTTCCTTCTACCATAGAATTAAGGAAAACTCTACCAAAGTCATTTCTTAAACCCTTTATGCTTGACTGCCTTGGCATGGTACGTAGGAATTTCTGTCCTTGAGGTAGGTTCCAAGACGTCTGCCCAAAACTCTTGCCAGAACAGAAAGGCCCACACCCACCTGTTGTCCAAGAGTTGCCCCCTTGGCTTGCGTCTCTGGTACCTAAGCTTGGCCGCCCCATCCCTGGTCTGCATGTATAGACTGCAGGACCAGGGGGCAGTTAGAAAAGAAACAGGGAAGCCTGGAGAAGACACCTGAGCATGACTGAAAGGAAATAACGGAGAAGAGCACGCTGTACTCCAAACAACGGAGCAGGCCCTAGTGAAAGAATAGGTTTTCGGTGGGAAAGAAAAAGAAAAAGAAAATGTAGTACGTGGTTAGATTTGTAGCCAAGAATTAAGGGTTAGTAGGGGAGAGTGTCAAAACGTTAGCCCATCTACACAGCTGTAATTTCTTATATTCTGCTTCTTCCCTCTTTCAAAAAGTTGCCAAAGTTCGTTGCCACCCAGAGTAAATAAGATGGGGCCACTTCGGAAGGCTCGTGACCCTTCAGCGCACGACTTTCAGAGCCAAGCACCCCCGATCAGGCCGAGCAGGGGTGGAGGCAGGGGCCCGCAGCTGCTGCGCTGCGGCCAGCTGGTCGGTCTTGGGAGCACATCCTGTGCCTTTGCAGATTTCCAACGTTTTTCTCAGGCTTTGAACATGCATTTATCCTTAGCTGCAATGTCTTTTGATTTATGACTTGGATCTGTGTCTTGAATTTGCAGATTCAAAGTTCCTATCACAAAGATACACAGTTAACAGAAACACCACTCTGGGGCTCATTATCAGATTGTTTATTCCAAGTAGGGAAAATGCCTGTGGCATGTAAATTCACTGTTGGTAAATGTACAACTTTATTTAGTGGAGAAAATAGTGTATTAAAACCTCATATTTTTTACAGTTACTAAAAATCACCATCTATAGGAGTAATGTATTGATTAAATTAATTCTGATTTTCCCTCTCTTGCTCTTAAGGAAGTTAGTAGGACTACTTCCCCTTCCAGTCTGAGAAGGGCGCCTATAAAATCATTTTTCTTTGTTGTGTGAAAGGGCCCTTTAACATCGTTGCTTTCTAAAGCAAGATTTGAAAAGCTGTTTGTTCCTCTGCATATTTGTACTTATCATTTTAATATCACCGAAATACTTTAGTTTTCTCAGAAGAAGGACATCATCTGAAATACATACTTTCTATAAAAAGAATAAATTGCTAACATTGATTTTTTTTTTTTTTTTTTGAGATAATGGTTTCTCTAGACCCATGTGCAGGACAGCCCTGTAAAAGCCCACATGGAGTTATTTGGCCCTAAAAGCCATGAGTTATAAAAAGAACTAATAGAGTCTGTAATAGTTATGCACAGCGCATTATCAGAGGTGGCCGGCTGGACCTGGAGGTCACGTTAGGTATTCTGCGCCACTGAGCAGCTCGATGACACTGCAAGCGGCCCTCAGCTTACAGTGACCTGACACCTGCAAGTCGCTGGCATCTGCAGTGTGAGGCCCACAATGCCCACCTGTGCCATCACTGGTGCCAGGGCCAGGCAGGCGGCTCACAGGCCACCTTCTGTGAATCAGCCTCCCGCTCAGGCGGACCTTACAGGCCTCCTGCTTCCCGGCCGGGCTTCACCGCGGACCCCCTTCTCACTCCCCCTGCACCTTGGGGTCTTTTCACTCCTAAATGGCAAGGGTTTCTGTGTTTGTCTTTGTTCATAGATCAGGGGTGGGGTGGAGGCAGGAGGGAGGTACCCCAAGCAAAAACCAGGAGGAAACAGAATGGGGTAGCGGTGGGGGACCAAAGAGAGATTAGACAGCCAAGCAGTAAATATTCTAGACTTTTTGATCTGTTGCAACTACTCAGTTCTGCCAGTGAGGCCTAAAAGCAGCTGTACATAATATGTAAATGAATGGGTTTGGCTTTGTTCAGTTAAATGTTATTAAATTAAAATAGGCAGAGGGCCTTTGGCCTGCCGACCAGAGTTTGCCAGCTTGTGCATACTGCAAAGTCCTAAGTCCCTAGTAAACTGGCTCTGAGAGATACTCTCCAGGAAGGAAGTCCTTAAAAAACCTTGAGCAATTGAGCATTCTTTAGTAAATATATTGTTTCTCAGAGGAACTGAGGACAACACTGATTTTGCTGTTAAAAGTTAGTATCAGCCCTGGTATGGCTCAATGGACCGAGCACTGGTCTGTGAACCAGAAGGTCGCTGGCTCGATTCCCAGTCAGGGCACATGCCTGGGTTGAGGGCCAGGTCCCCAGGTGGGAGCACGCGAGAGGCAACAAACCAATGTTTCTCTCCCTCTCTTTCTCCCTCCCCTCCCCTCTCTCTGAAAATAAATAAATAAATATTTTTTTAATTGTTATCAAATATATTTTAAATCTCACGTGTTTATTTCTTTAAAATTGCTGATAAACGGCAAAAGCAGTGGTAGATTATCAGCCTCTATTACAAAGCAAAGCCCAGCACTAATAGCTGAACAAAGAGAGATCATAAGTGACCATTTCACAGGTTACTTCCCAGGGAAAGGGGGCAGCAAGGCCATTAAAGGAGGCTTGGCTTCCAGCCCTTGTCCTTTGTCACACTGCCTGGGCCTGGGGCTGCGCGGGGCTTCAGAAAAGCAGTTGTAGACGTGTGTTTGGCAGCCGTCTACATAGAAGTGAAAGTATTATTCTGTTAGATTGTGATGGTTGTGATTTTCAATAGGAATTAAAACACCCATTGAACTAACTTAGCCTTGTTACCAGTCCCTGTGAAATACCGCCAATACGTGCCACCATCATTTAACACACGCTTCCTTCTGCTGCCCGGCAGGTTGCGCCCGCTGAAGGGCTGGTCTCGATACTGAAGAAGAGGAGCGATGCCGTGGGCGACCGTCCTGCCCCGATGCAGCAGAAGCCGTCCAAGCGGAGAGTGCGGTTCCAGGAAATAGACGACCACTTGGATCAAGGTGAGTGAGGACACGGCCCGGCGCCAGTCTGGCCCGGGGCCAGTGCCTGGCGTCCTCCGAGGACCCAACTGCTGTACGACAAAAGGTAGCAGAGTTTGTAAAAGAACATGTGGACCTGGTTTGGTTTTCTTGTTGTTTTTTTTTTTTTAATCGCCTATAAAGACACAGAGAATTAAACTGTTAGTTCTTGAATTATTCCTAAGCATTTTGTTTGTTCAAAGTAGGCAAATGGCAAAATTCAACCCATGACCCTCCTATCCCATGGGCAGGCTCGATCCTCAGAACTCATTTCCATTTCCTTCTTTAGTGTTGTGATTTTTGAGTTTGGTTTGGTTTGGTTTGTTTTTTAGTGAGTCTGCTATTTTTGTCCTCTTTCAGCGGCAGCAGTTAATACTCCCATTTTGTGTGTGTGGAAAACATTTATGGATTACAAGTATATTCTCTTCGGGGACTTCTTGGCTCTATAGAAAGAAGTATCTCTTAAGAGCAGCAGTTTCACACCATTACTTTGTTCAACTCTCCTCCTGGGCCTAGGCTTAATAAGGTGGTTGCTAGGTTTACCTAAGGCCTTGGTAAACAAGGAGTAGAAATAGAGCCAAAAACCAGTGAGTGTGCTTCTCGTGTTTACAGAATTAACACGAGAATGTAGATGCACTTTTTAAGTATGACACAGAGTGATGGGGGCTTCCACGTTTTTTCAGCTGTAAAGCTGGTAGGAGCCGTGGGAATCACCTGCCCCCCGCGCCCCTCACTCGCCCTCGCTCCTTGCCTGTAGCTCTCCCGTTCCTCCCCAGATACAGTGCTTACCGCTTTGTCTGCACTACTGGGCCTAGAATTGCCACTCGCCAGGAGGAGCCCTGGACTTAGAGCTGACAGTCCGGTCAGTCTTACTCAGCGGCCGCCTTATCTTAAGCCAAGCCTCTCAGCTTGTGCCCAGCGGCCACATTGTCCCCGTGGCTTCTGCATTGGGGAGTGCACCTCTAAACACTGTTCCAGGGCGCGTAGCTAAGACAAAATGGAGGTTCTTGAAGAAACTTTATTCCAATTTTATGTGTAAATATATGGTTATCAAGAAAAATAAGGAAAGATACATAGATTATTAACATCGATAAGGCGATGGTGGGGATTCCTGCCAAAAGAGGAGAAGATGGTAAAAATACTCAACTGACAAAAAAACACACGTGACAGATGTGATCCTATTTATTCATTTGTATAAAAATGTGTTTGTAGATATACATATAAACTATTAAATCTATTTAACATAAAATCAATTAAACCGTAAATTTGTAAATCACAGACCAACATAATAAGGGAATCCTATTTCTGCAAAAGCCCTAAAACCATTTGTGTTTGATCTGGAAGGATACACAGCAAAATTAGCCGCATTTGCCTCTGGGTGGGAGGGGGGTGTGAGCGGCTAAGAGAAAAAGGGAGAGTCCCTTAGACTTCAACTTGGTGTTTGAATTTTCACAGGAATAATGTATTCACATGCTACCGTAAAATCTCCCAAAAGTAACCTATGCTAATGATGAGAAAATTCGGACAGTAAGGAAGTAAAAAAGTATAACTTCTTCAGTCCTCCCTTCAGGGTTTTCCCCAAGTATTGAAGTGTCTTCTTATCCTTTGGAGGCACATTCTGTTATATACAGACTTACACACGTGTCTTTTTTAACACAAATGGGTTCATTATGTACTATTATGTCACTTTTTAATTTGGCTATCAATCTCGGACAACTTCCTATGAGAGAATATATGAATTCACTTCATTCTGTGAAACAACTGCATAGTGTTCCATTATGTGACTGTTCTATAATATTCTATAATAATTTAACTATTCCATTGTAACTGGAATAAGTAAGTTATTCTCAGTTTCTTGTTATAACAAACTTCATTGCAGTGAACACGCTGCGTTAAGATGATACTGGTGTCTTGCGAATTTGTGGGCTGATTCCTGAAAGCGGATTGGCTGGGCTAAGTGACGGGGACCAGCCAGCCCGAGGCAGCCCTAGTTTACACCTGTTAACCCCACATTGGATTCAGTTAACATGCTCTTTCGCTCTCAGACGTGTTCCAGTCTTGCGGATAAATTAATTTAACATTTTAATAGCTACTGCTAAATTACCTGCCAGGAAGGTTTGGCACACCCTCATCCTGCTCATCACAAAACTTTTTGCTCCTCTCCAACTGCATTTCATTCTGGAATTATTAAGACTTTCTATATTTCTTCAATACAGAAAACTGATGTGGACATTTTTATTAAAAACAAACCTGCCAGAGTTATTAAACAAAATAAAAAGAAATCACTGTACCAGCTTGAACTTCACTATTCCACTAAATAATAAGAATGAAATTGACTATTATTAAGATGCAAGAATGATCCCACCCAACGTCATTTTTTATTGTTTAATATCAAATTGACTTTGCTCTCAGGTGGTCCCATGATATAAACTCCAAAGATATTATACTAGTGAGGTTTTTAATTTGTATTCTAAAATAATGCTACCAAAAAAGTATTGCCTTTTTCCTTCTTTTTTTATGGAAATGATCATACTCACTGTTTAAATGAGCTGGTTTTAAATGGAGCATTGACAGGCTCCCTGAGTGTGTATCTCTGTGGTGACCGATACATAGGTCCTCGTAGAGTCACAGGCGCTCTAGCTTTCTGTCAATGACACCTGTCCCCAGCAGACTTATAGTGAGACATGTAGTAAAGACAGCGGGCACTCGGATTTCCTTGCTGTGTCAGTTTAACCTCTCTCTGTTCTCACGTTTGTAGATGAGGTTGGAGGCGGCTCCTGCATCTTGCTGGTCTTGCTGTGCCTAGCAACGGTTTTCCTTAGCGTCGGAGGAACTGCATTATACTGTGCTTTTGGTGACATGGAGTCACCCGTTTGTACAGACTTTGCAGACAACGTGGACTTCTATTACACCAAGCTACTGCAGGGCGTGGCAGAACTGAAACACTGGGTCTACCTCTCCTAGCAGCGTGCAAGGCGGACACGCGCGCTGGCAGCGAGAATCGAAGAGAGAGACTGTCTCGGCGGCTTTTATTTTAGGAGTTGTGTCACGTGCGCCCCTCCCCCCAGTGAGGAACCGTGGACATCAGAAACAGCGACTTGAGATGGCGGTCCGGAGGGCCTCTTCGAGTCGCCTCTGTGGTGAGGCAGAGGTTGAGCTGAGAGCCCTGTGGACGGAGAGGTGGTCTTTGGAGAGCTGTCCCTCTCCTCCTCACTGCTTCCCAGAATAATGAGCTGCGCTGAGCAGAGTTAAACAGGGCAGTGTTGGAGCCACCCGTTTTTAGCTCTCTTTCCAAGCTAACGGCTAAAGGACACTCTTGGTTTACGTTGGTCCAAAGACATTGCTTCCAGCCATCGTGCAATAAGTTGTGTATGACCGAAAGAGTTACCTACGGTTTCGATGTCTTTTTTCGTTAACCTTGGGAGCGATGTAATTTAGGCTCTTTCCAGATGCTGTTCTCCATTTGTGAGATGGTTGTATGTGCGTGTGTGCATGCGTGTGTTTCCGATCATTTGCTTATGATTAACTGTCTCTACAGTTGAGACAGTTAATCATAAGCAAATACCCAACACAAAATAATGAAAGTTATCTTTATTCTTTTAACTTGACTATGGATGTGCAGGCACAAATCCTTAAAGATGGTTGGTTTAACTGTGGAACAAATGAGCTGTAGAAGTCTTGGCCCTGAAATGAGACACTGTGACAGATCTGCAACAATTAACTAGATTAACTAACCAGAAATGAATCACAGGCCTAGGGGTAAAGAGCTCCCTCTGAGTCTCAGGCGACCACTTTTATCATGGATTTGATGCTTCTTAAAGTATGATGGATGCTGGACTCAACTCAGCAAACACTTATTGAGCACCTATTATGTTCTGAGAATCTAAGAACTAAAATACAAAGAGAAAATATTAGTTCCTGCTTTAATTCTGGCCTTATGTTAAAAAAACACTTTGGCAAGTGAAATTAAATCACCATATATAATTCAGTATTAACAGATTGTGCATTCAAGTGTTTGAATGTGCATTCTTATCACGGGCTTGATTTAGACCTATTATGGAGTCGGTGAAAATTCAATCATGTCTTAAATAAGCAAATGTCTGATTTTTGTTTAAATCTGTCATTTGGGTGGCATTTCCTTTCCTAAGGCCTAACATTTAGAAAGCTTTGGTTTGGCTTTCTATCTCATTGGCTGCATTTTAAAAGAAACAAAACACATGAATTATAGTTTTTTAGCAAGTGATCATTATCTCATGTTTTTCTGTTAGGGTCATTTAAAAGAAAAAGGGGAAATTTCTTTCTAGTTGTTACTGGCTGGTACAGTACCTCCCTTTGTGTTTCTGCTTATTTATTTAGATTATATGAATTTTAAAGGGCTTTTTCTATATGTCAAAAGTATGTTGTTGAGCATGCATTCAGTTATCCCAATGTAGATATTTGATTACTATGTACTTAGCATTTTGATTTTCTATTAATTCAGGTCCTCCTGGTTTTAGGCTTATTTTTAAATTGTTTTATTTTCACTTACAATACTATTTGATTTGTCTCATGTCACCATAAACTGTAATATTTTCCAGGATTATAGATCAAAGATATTTATTTAGGAGTGTACAAGATACTGAAATTTAGATTCCTCATACCTAAGGCTGATTTTATTAGAAGATTATTTTAATGTTCTATTATAAATTTTAAGAATTTGTATTCAAAGTGTATGTAAAATATGTAAATGTCAACAGCCCTGCTGGCTGTGGGTCTATAAAAGACATTCACAAAGTCCCCTGCAAGGGACGTCCCTGTCACAGGCAAACCTCTTCTGTTTGCCCCTCTTGATTTCTAGTCAGGGGAATTTGGTGAGTCTGATTCCTGCCACTTCTATGTCAAGATAAATCAAAACTTCCCTCTTGTTCTCCCCACGTTAGGTCGCTGTCAAAGCGCTAAGTAAACGGCAGTGTTTATGTGCCCAGAGGCACCAGAACCACTGCTTCTCACACTGAAGGTTTCCCTCGACACTGAGCGGAAAGGATGGAGGGAATCCCTTGGTCCTCGGGGCCCAGCCGAGTCTCAGAGGAACCATGTGTGTCGTCACTGCTTCCCAGGGAGGGCGAGGGGAGTTCAGGAGCGCACCGCTGTCTCGACTTAAAATGGCATGAAAACCCCAACTAGACAAATTAGGTCAACATTTACTAAATGTAATAGTCATTTATTGCATGAATTGGAGCAGTTCCATCTGGTGATGAAAGAATTGTTATCTCACACATTAAAAATTCATCCAGCTTTACTATAATGTAATTTTTTTTCTGCCATGTGAAAGTTCAGACAACTGTTGGAAACTAATCTTCCTTAAGAACTGTGTTGGAGGGTACAGGCCAAACTTGTAATTTAAGATCAACACCAACAAAGTGTCTCAGAGAACTTATCTGAATCCTTGGGTGTTGACAAAAACTACTTTATATAAGTGAAAGTAAAATACCTTTGGAAGTTGATCTGGCCCCACGAGTAGACAGCCATCTTTTTTGGGAGGTCAAATAGGTCCCTGGTAAAGGCTCCCCTGCTTCTGAAACACCCACCCTGTCTGCCTGACGTAATAACTGGAATTTGCTCTAAAAATTTGTTTCTTTAGGTATAAAAATCAGAATCGCCTAGGAGGAGTACTTAATGGTAAAAGGCACCATTAGTGGTGGATTTGTGTGTTATGCTGAGAGGACTTGACATTTGAAGGCAGGCCTTAGCTTGGAAGGGCAGGCATAAATTGGTCCTCCTGGAGGCTGGGAGGCGGGCGCAACCGATGCTGGACAGCGAACTGCGCAGCCCGCTGGGAGTAAAACAGATTTAGGCCTTTACCTCACATAACACATAAACGTTAACTTGGAAAAATGAATCTAAATGTAAAACTGAAACTTCTAAAAGAAAGCAGGAGAAAATGTTTGCAACCTATGGGTAAGCAAAGATTTCTTATAGAACAAAATGCACCCATCATAAAAGAAATTGATTAACTGGACTTTAGGAACTTGTGTTCTTTGAGAAACAGGTTAAGAAAATTAATAAGCAAGCTGAAGATTGGAAGAAATATTCATATAATATACTTATGTACACATACACCCACGTATATATGTGATTCTCCTTGGCTTATGGTGGGTTTACATTGCAAGAAACCCATCGTATGTTGAAAATATAAGTTGGAACTGCATCTGCCACTACTCGGGAGCATCAGCTGTTCACCCTCTTGCCTGGGTGGCTGAGTAGCAGCTACAGCTGCTGCCGCTGCTGCCCAGCATCACGAAGGGTCGCTATGCACCGAGCACCACAGGGTATGTCGCTAGCCCCCAAAAAGATCAAATCCAAAATCCGAAGTACAGTTTCTCCTGAACGTGTATCACTTTCACACCATTATAAAGTCAAGAAAATCGTATGCCGAGCTGTCGTTAAGTCGGGGACCATCTATCTCTATATAATACCAAAGAATGACAGGAAAGCTACCAAAGTTAATACGTGAAGCCAGCAAAGTCGTAAGGCACGAGAGCAACACACAAAAGTCGGCTGTGTTTCTAAACAGCAACTAACAGGCTGGGAAGGAAATTAAGAACGCAATTCCGTTCATAATAGTATCTGAAAGAATGAAATACTTAGGAATAAATTTAACAAAGGTGAAGACTGGTACACTGAACAGCAACTACAAAACATTGCTGAAAGAAACTAAAGAATATCTGAATAAATGGAAAACTATCCTGTGTTCATGGATAGGAAGACAATATAGGGTTGGGGCAAAAGTCAGTTTACAGTTGTGAATATGCAAAATAGTTTATTCTTGTATTAGTATTAATCATTGTATTTTTCCATTAGAACTGTAAATGTACTTTTGCCCCACCTTTTTTTGTTAAAATGTCAGTACTCCCAAAGAGATCTATAGATTCAAGCAGACCCTACCAAAATTCCAGTAGCCTTTTTTTTTTCTTTTTGCAGAAGTGGAAAAACTGATCATCAAATTTATGTAGTATTGCAAGGGGACCTAAGTAGCCAAAACAGTCTTGAAAAAAGACAGAATTGGAGGACTCACATTTCTCAATTTCAAAACTTTCTACAAAGCTGTTGTAGTCAAAACTGTGTTACTAGCATAGAGGCAGACATACAGACTAACCAATGATACAGAGTTCAGAGTCCACAATTAAGCCCACATGTCTTTGGCTGTTTGATTTTTGATGAGGGTGCCAGGTATATTCAATGGAGAAAGAATACTCTCAAACAAACTGTATTTGGACAACTGGATGTCCACATGCAAAAAAATGGCATTAGACCCCTAACCTTATACAAAGTTAATGCAAAATGGGTTGACAACCTAACTATTAACTAAGTCCATAAAGTTCTTAAAAGAAAACATAAGGGTAAATCTTCAAGACAACGGATTTGGCAATGGATTCTTAAATAGGACACCAGAAACACAAGCAGCAAAAGAAAAAAATTAGACTTTATCAAAACTTTAAAAAATTTATGGATCAAAGGAAATTATCAAGAAAATAAAAAGACAACAGAATGGGAGAAAATATTTGGAAATTAAACATTTGATAAGGGATTCATTCATATCCAGAATATACAAAAAAAATTCTAGAACTCAACAAAAAGAAAACAAACCAATGTAAAAATGCACAAAGGACTTGGGTACACATTTCTCTAAAGAAGATATGTAAAGTTTTGAAAATAAAGTATGGTGGTATTGGTTACACAACACTGTGAATGTACTTAATACCACTAAATTATACACTTAACAGTGGTTGCCCTGACCAGTGTGGCTCAGTGGGTTGGGCATCGTCCCACAAAGCAAAAGGTTGCAAGTTCGATTTCGAGCCAGGGCACATGACTGGGTTGCAGGTTCAGTCCCCAGAAGAGGTGCATACAAGAGGCAGCAGATAGATGTTTCCCTCTCACATTGATGTTTTTCTCCCTCTCTTCCTCCCTCCCTTCTCTCTAAAAATAAAATATTTTTTTAATGGCTACTTTCATGTTACACATATTTTACCGCATACGTGTGCACATACACAAAAAAAACACTCCACCAAGTGTTGGTGAGGATATGAAACAACCAATTTCCCACACACAAGTAGTGAGAATATGAAATAATACCACCACTCTGGCAAACAGCTTGGCAGTTTCTCACAAATTTAAGTATGCATCTACTGCATGACCCAGGAATTCCACTCCTTGCTTTATCCATAATAGTCAAAAAATGGAAACACCCCACTCCCCCATTATTACAATAGGCACCTATTCAGCAATAAAAAAGAACAAACTATGGATGCATAAATGACATGAATTAATCTCAAAATAATCATTCTGGGTGAAAGAAACCAGAAACAAAAGAATACCTATTGTGTGTTTCCATTTACATAAAATGTTAGAAAATGCAAAATTATTTATAGTGACAAAGAGATCAGCGGTTCCCTGAGGGACAAAGGATAGTGGGAGGTCCGTCGTGGGCAACTTTGGGGATTGACAGAAATGGATCTTGATGGCAGTTGTAATTTCACGGGTACATACATTTTCAAAATGCATTGAGTTGTGCACTTTGTTTAGATGCAGTTATGTACATAAATTATACCTCAATAAAATTGTTATTTTTTAAAAAGAGTTCAGCTTGTAGCTTCATGACATCTCAAGGTCTTGGGAGGGGCAAGGGAATCCTAATGTGTGAAACAATGCCTTATTCCCTTTCACTGTTGTTGCTTAATTGTGTTACGGAAAAATGGTGACCTCCAAGGACCACCCCTCATTTGTACATGACTTAACTACTCAACCAGCTACTGAACAGCGTTGAGGCAAGGTAACTTGGTTCCCAATGCCTCAATTTCAGTCCTAATTTTGTTCACAGCTTTGTCATCCTTCTAGATCCTTCTGAAAAGTTGAGATGGCGATTTAAATCTATGCCTTTCTTTTTTTTCATTCAATGCAGCCGTCCAAATTCCAAGCCCAATCTAATTATAGATACTCTGTAAGGACAACCTGATCTGCTTCTGACCGGAATGCATTGATCAAATGTGAGGTTTTGTGATGTTTATTGCTTTTCGTAATTGCCTCAGATCACGGGTCAGGAAGGAGATATGCACTTAGGGAGCAGAGCAGGCTCACATCATTCATTGGAATGACAACAGCCCATAAATGGCTGCTGCTTGTTTTCCAAGGACAAGATTGGGGGTTGGTAAGACCTGAGCAAACCGAGCAAAGAAGGAAAAAAAAAACTCTTGCCTAAGTGTCTGGTCTGAGAATGAATTTGGTCTACAAGTACCTAAATATAGTCAGTTTGCTTTTTTTTCCTATGTCTTTTTTTTTTTTAATTGAGAAAACAACTGGCTGGGAGGAGTAGTTTGGTCGACTCTGGAGGGAACACTGAGGATACAGGATAGTTCTTTGGTACAGAAGAGCCAAGGGAGAGAGGCAGTCCCTGCCTTGGAAACCCTGACAAGGAAGGAGGTCACATGAACTAGCTGCCTAGCCTTCTCTTGACACTTCAATTTTCTCGCCTATGTAATTTCTAAGACAAGTTGAAACTTTAAAATATGCTGGTTCTTTGAATATCCAGAAGCATGCTACTTCCATCATTGAGAAAAGAACTCAGATGTCTGCATTTGGTGCGTCGATGCAATAGTTGGATTAGCTTGGATGGGAGTTCTTTGAAGATGCATGTGAAGCTAAGAGGTGGAATGTACTCATTGATCCACTGGGCCCAAACCCCCTGCTTGAGGAGGGGCTGCCACAGGTGGTTCCTTACATGAGGGGGCTCGCGAAAGGGCCTATCCCCTGCAAATCAAGAGCTACACAACAGATCTTGTGTAAACATGGCCTGGCTGTTTAAAATCACGTCCTTTTAGACTTAACAGGAAGTCAGCGTAGGCACTGTCTGGTTTGGTCTATTGTGTCAGAAATGGAGCTGGGATGGAGGTGGTTCAGTGACCCTCGTAGGGTCAGGATCAACAGGGTTCGTGAAAGGGTCTTCCCTTCTAAACCAGAAGCCGGAAGTAGCTACAGACGAATTCCCCGGGAGGGGCGCGGAAGGGGGGTGCTGTGTCCCCTTACTGCGCTTCTGTTACCTGCAGCTGTGTCACCCAGATCGCTGCTACTCTGGGTCTTACACACAGAAAGGACCGCAGAAACCATTCATACCTGCAGCCTCCAGGCACTCGGGCAGTTGGTGTGCAGCATCGTGCGCTTCTGCGGGCGACCCTGGGGGAGCCAGGAGGGAGGCCGAGGCCTTCCCTGGCGGACCCCGTGCGCGCCCTTGCTGCCTAGGAGCCAGGCGAAGTAACAGCATGCCCAGTTATTGCGTGAGACGTGCTTATACCGAAAAACAACACTTGATGTTTACCTGAAGTTCGCATTTAACTGGGTATCCTATATTTCTCTTGCTAAATCTGGCAGTCTTGTGGCACAGATTACTGAGGACCGGGGTGGGGGTGGGGGGCCGGAGGCGGAAGGGAGGGGGCGGCGCTCATCAGGGCAAGAGAAGCCGCCAGCCCGGATCAGACACAAGGGGCTCTGGGGAGCAGTTCAGCTCCCACTCCCACATTTCCTGAGCCGCTGCCCTGTCCTGTGCCTGTCAACCGACGTCAGCATCAGGGCTGCTGGGGACCAACGCCCCTGCGAAGGGGCGGAATGTGGCCAGAACTTGTGGGCGTTTGTGGTACTTAAAACTCTGAGCCTCGGGCATTTTTAAATGTTTTCACTCTTTCACAAAAGAATGTAATCAGAGCTTAGAATGCAAAAGATTAATTTAGTGCTTCCCCTGTGTGCCATGTGTCCTATAGTGCCCAACACACTGAAGATCCAAATTCGCAAAACTGTGTTTCACTCCCCGTGTTCAGAGAGCAGCACTAATAACACAATTACGAGACTGGGCCTGTAAACCCATTTTGTTTCGCTCGTAGGCCATCTTGCTTTTATTCAGGCCTGGTTCCAGGCAGAAGATTACTGGCTGTGCCTGGCTGAAACTAAATTATTCACTTCCTCCTCTACCACGGAAGACGGCTTTTAGTTTGGGGTGCATTCCCGGGCTTGGCTTCGGGGGCCACCGCTTTCCCCTGGCAACTGCCAGCCCCTCGGCCTTTTTCTCTTCAGTCTGTGAGACCCGTTGCTCAGTATGGCAGCTTTCACCTTCTCTGACCTCTTCGGGACAGCAACCCCCATTTCCTGTTAAAAATGATTCCTCGTAAAGAGAAGTGTATTAGTGTTAGCTGTGGCCCAAATCCATCCGGTCTCTTCCCTTCTGTGCAGAGTGATGAATTGGCCAAAGGGAAGGAAGAGGAGGGTGGAGGAGCAGGCGAGGCCAGTCCCCACAGAGCCACAGCCGTGTGCGCAGGTGCCAGGCACCATGTGCAGACCGAGCTCCGTGTGTCCCCGGAGGTGGCCACCCCTGAGCTCCCCGGCCACTGGGCATTCAAATATGGGAGACAGAAAATGCCACGTTTGCCTGAACGTCGGCAAAGCATCCTGGATTTGTCCGAAGAAAAAGCAAGTAAGAATTGAGGGGAAAGCAATAAAAGATAATAGAATTTTAGAAGTCATACATATTGATGAGAGTGTGCATATAACTTTTTTTCCCATCTCACCACTCAGTCTAGTGAGGCATAAATACTTCAGAGATCGATTATTTAAATAACAATAAATGTCAATAGGAAATATGGAAATGGTAAACAAAAAATATCACAAAATGCAAGCCTGACAGAGACCCCCTAATGCCATCTTTGAGCTCTGACAGCTTTGTCCTTTCCCCCTATAGAAGCTAATACACCCCCCAGCCCATCACCGCCCTGGTTTCTCATTCCCAACCTTGGCTACTTGGGTTTCTGCCTCTGGCAACTGAAAAGAACTCAGATATACCATTTTCTAGACTTCACCAGAACCAATTCTGGCTGCATTATTCGATTCTGCGTAGCCAGTGAAGAGAAAGAGGAACATTTCCAAACTAGGCAAAGGCAAAACTTTGAGGCCTGTTCACCCAGATTCAAGACAGTTTCTATTTTTAAAAGGCTCGCACCAGAGTTAAGTTCAGGTTCTGTTCTCAACACTGGGAGTGTCTGCTGGTTTCCATGACGACCCTGGGCAGCTAGGCTGATACCAAAACAAAAGCCAGACGACTTGGGGATTTTACCTTTATTGTGTGGTCAGAACATAGTTAATTGAAAAGAAAATGCTTAGTCTCCTCCTCTGCTCTCTCTTGCGTCTTCAGTTTTCCCTCCTCAGGCGGGTGGAGGAACAAGAAGCAAAGGGGGAGCTCCTCTCACACCGCCCTGTGTGCAGGTTCACCTTCCAGACGCCTCCTCCCCGCAGGCTTGATGCCTGTGACACAGGGTGGGCTGGAGGGGTTCCTGGAGACGGTTGCTCCAAATAGCTCTGCGTTTGTTTCATAAATAAGCTCTGTGGCAGGCTCGCTTCTTTTCCTCTGAAGAAGGGATTCCTAAGAGCAGCATATGGGTCACAGGCTGTGGGTCTCAGGGGTGGGGAAGAAGCACAGATGTATCTGCCTCTGAGGGTGCCAAGGACAGCTCCCAAGCCTTTGACAGACCCTTCTGCCATCTCCTGGCTCTCCTGTCTGCTCCCTGGGGAACGAGGCCTCCTGGGAATGTTGTGCCTGAGGATGGCGCTATCACAGGAGGCACTGCACGCTTGGATGAGCGACTGCAATGTCCGCCTTCTCACATCTTCCCTGAAAGAAGCCTTCCCTTCCAGGTGCTCAGCTGGAAAATCCCCAGGCTTCTGAGGGTTTCCTCAGCCCATGAAAACTCATGACTGGATAGTGTATCACCAAGGGTGGGGACAAGGTTTTGTACCACCCTGTTCACTACAGGGCCTGTCCCATCCTAGACTCAGTGTATACACCTTTTTAACTGAAGGAAGAGAGCCAACTTTTACTGAGCACCTATTACATGCCAGGCACTCTGGGAGGCACTTGCATGCACGTCAAATTACTTGGGAGGCAGGATGGCAGAAGAACCGTGGGCAAGAGCTCTGGCATCAGAAAGACCTGGACTTACATCCCAGTTGTCCCACTTATTAGCTGTGTGGCACTCAGCTTGTTACTTAACCTCTCTGAACCTGTTTCCTTATCTGTAGAATAAGGATCATAATAAATCATGCCTGTTATGAGGATTAAATTAGGCAACACAGGTAAAGCCCATTGTCTGGCACTCAGGAGACATTCAATAAAGAGCACCTATTTTGTTGTTGTTAGTAGTAGGAGCCCCAGAATTGCTCTGTGATCCCAGAGCATCTTCTATGATAGAACATTGTAATAGAGAAAGTTTAAGTCTTGAATAGTTTCAGAGTTTATAAGCCTGAACATAGTGGCTCCTCAAATACTGGCTGGAAAGTTCCAAAGTCTGGGTATTCCTGCTTGGTACTTGGCCCGGAGATTTGTTTATTCTGTGCTTACTGAGTTCTGGGCAAAGTGCTAGACAACACGAGCTTGACCTTAAGAAGCTGTAGAGACAAGGCCAACAAATAGAACACTTGTAAGCCAATACAAAACAGGATATATTGTTAAATCATACTTCTGGCAGAAGTGCTGGGTAAGTTAAGAGGGAAAAGCAAGTCACTGAGCACCCACTATGTCCTAGGCCCAGCGTTTAAAACATCATGTTAAGTTTACATTAATCCTGTGAGGTGGATTTTATATCTACATTATTAACAATAAAGAAACTGATTGAGATTCGCTGGCTTCGGAGGACATGCAATTAGTAAGTGGCTGAGCCAGAACTTGAACACAGGTCTCCCGGCTCTATCGCCGGGCAGAATACGTCCTCCCAAATGAAAATAAATATCCTCACCCATCTACTAGCAGAGGAAACTGGAAGTCAGAGGCACTAGGTGGCTTTCCCAGGTCACTGCAGGAGCCGCTGGATTTAAGTGCGGGCCAGTCCATCCGCTGATCTTGGCTTTCCCCTCCCACCTTGCAGCGGGTCCTGGGCTCCTCTCTTTATGCCCCGGGAAGGCCAACCCGCGCGTGCGGGCTTTTGAAGGGTGTGGGGTCCACGCGGAGCCAGCCCCTGGGCCTCCTGAGAGCACGCCCCTCGCTTTACAGATGAGGAGAGCGAGGCCTGGAGAGGCTCCGGCCACTCCTGCCACTGCCCTCGCCACGCCGGTGCCAACTTGAGGCAGCGGCCGCTCCCCCGGGGAAGCCTCCCTGTATTCCTACCTACGCAGACCACCTACTCCTTCCCCAGGACCTTCCCCACGAAGCGCCTCCTCACTCTCCCCGACCCAGCTCCATCCGTCGGCTTGGTGGCTGCTGAGAAAGCAGCTGTAGGTGGTCACGTGATAGCATTAATTAATGATTATCAGTTTCCATGTATTGGCTCCTGGTAGCACTTAGCAAATGTTTGTTTCAAGAGACAAAAAAATCAATGAATAAACCAGGGCACTTAATGGAGAACCAGGCTGGGGGATGTGCTGGGTGCTTAGGTGAGGTGGGTGGCCTTTCGCAGCGCCACCTGGTGGGTACCCGAGGAACCTCATCAGGCTGGGCTCAGGGATTCGGGTCCTGGAGGCGGGGCGGGGGTGTGACCGGGTGAAGCTCTGCAGAAGTCCCTGGAGGGGTGGGGTCTCAAACTGTGCTCCCCGGCTGGGTGACAGACACTGCCGGCTGCCCTGCGTTCGGCTTGGCTGGGGCCGCAGGCCGGGCTTCTGGATCAGGCAGACCATTGGCTCCATTGCTGGGTAAGCTTGCTGGCTGCGCTTTCTGGTCAGGTCGGGCCTCCACCTGTGCGCCACAGTTGGCTGGGGCTTGAGACTGGGCTCAGAGGTCAGGTAGGGTCACTATCTGGGCTCCCTGCTCAGGTGGGGGCAGAGGCTGTGCAGACAGTGGGTCAGAGCCACTGGCTTGGCATCCTGCCTGGGAGGGGCCATAGGCTGTTCTCTGTGGCTGCTGGGTGTCTCCAGCCTTGCTTCCCAGAGGGCTAGACTGGGGACTCAGCTGAGCAGTTAGAGGAAGCTATGAATATGCGTCCCTGTCTGAGTATGGCCATAGAAGGGGGGGGGGGGTGTGAAGTGGTGAACAGCCTATGTCCCACCTTGCAGACATCACCCCCCCTCATGCCTACTCTTATCCTTACTGAGCTCATAGATACAAATGGATCAATCCAATGTGGATGTTTGGGCCTCAAGATAACATGTTTGATGGTGGCTTACCGGGGTCTTGCCAATCAACATCAGTTTCTCTGCCTTGATTCTGAGGAGTATGGCTGGATAGGCAACTTGCAGGACAGGGGTCTGGTAGAATGGTGTTCACCAAGGAGGATGGCACTTACTCCTTGTTATTAAGCCTGTATACTCCTGGCAGGGCACTTAGAACTCGTTCTTATCCACTGATGACCAAGGACACACTCAAGGGCTAAATGATGGTGCAAATATGACTCTACAGTTCCCTTTAGATAACCTTCCACCCTGTGCTCAGGCCACAATGTGGGGAGGGCACCTTGAAGCCTCTCTTCTTTTCCTTCTATCTCTTCTCTCCCCTTCCAGCTTTACCTCTCACGACCTCCTGCATTCCAGACACTACCTGACCCTGGGTACTTCAGAGAGGAGACAAGCACCAAGAAGACAAACAAACCTCTTCCATGTTGATATCGATTGCTCAATATTACTAAATGTTTTTATGGGGTTTCACAATGCTAGGAGACCCCCTGGGATGAGGGCAGGGCAAGCCAACCTGGCTCCTGCCACAGACACACATGACTTGACAAATGGACAGGCTCAGAAGAAGCGTCTGTAACAGGAATGGCAACTGTGGCTTGCCATGTTTACATCATATTCCTATGTCCCATAAGCGTCCTTTATGTGGTAGCACATTTAAAAACAAGGGAAAGGCTAGTGAGACTCTTACACTCGACACGTTTCTGCTGGTGTAAAAATGCTGATTTTTATGAGAATGCTCTCAGGAAGAGAGTGAAACACAGATTGTTTGTCTCCTGAGTGGCTCCCATGGGATTCAAACACGGCTTAGGCTAAGGCTGTGGGGTGCAGAGACACTATTTATAGCCAGAACCATGGGAGGCATTATCATGAGAATGCCCAGGGTGCTTCCATCCTGGGAGCACACGTGTCAATCAAAACCTGCGGCTTTGGGGCAAGAGGAACCGAAGAGCACCATCTAGCGGCGAACGTAAGAGCTGTTTCTGAGGAAACTGCTTCGTGATGAAGTCAAGGACCATTTCTCACAGAAGGTGAGAGCCAGAAAGAGACTTGAGGACCTTGGAAATAAAACTCAAAGTGTTAAAGGACAGTATATGGGGCTTAGACATGTGTAAACAGAGGTCAGAGTATCCATACCACAATGAAATATTTCCTTTTTCTATGAAGAACTTTGTGTGCATAAAACAACAGTGGCAACTGAATCATTGTCATTAAATTAAGAATCCCAGCCCTTACCTCTGGGACATATTATGTGCCAATGTACTTATCACATTGTTCAATAAGTTGCATAATCTTTATTTGCAATTACAAAATATTTACTATTCAAAATGTTCCAATTTACAGTAATGGGCTGTTTTCTTACTAGAATATAGGAAAGATCTTGGCGAAAACAATGTTCAGAGAAAATGTACACTATAGAAAAAGTTAATGAAAACTCTTTTTGAAATAAAGTTTACATTTGTGTATGTGCATGGATGTGGGGGCGGCGGGGGTGCGGAGAGGGAGTCAGTCCAAAGGTCTAAAAACTAGCAAAATTCACCATTTCCTGGAATGTCCATAAGTGTCAGATAAACGTTAGACTGTCTAGAAGTATGTCCCATGGGGGATTGGCAAGCCTGGGTCTAGATGAGACCAAACCTTGATTCCTCGTGTTTCTGCCTATATTCTTGGCAAGCAGGAATGAGGAACACTTTCAGGCAACAAAATCACAGTCTTCCTGATGACTCCGAGTCACCCTGCTGTGTGGATGGCGACTCACATGTGCAGGAAGCAGATGGCAAAACCAGGAGTGTGTCTGGCAGCTAGATGTGGGTACACGGTTAGCTTGAGTCAACATGGCTAAATATGTATTATTAGATTAGACATATGACTTCTCTTTACTCATTTGGAAAATATTTTAATTTTCATAACAAATTTATCCAGATTAGAAGAAATAACTACTATAGTTGGGGTGCAAAGATGTTTTAGCTTTTGATGCCAGAATGTATCCTGGATTATTCTGAAGTCATCCGAGACATCATATTATTTTATCTGTAAAAAAAAAATTCACTGTATCTCTAAAAGATAAGACTTTTGAAAAGTTAACCACAATACCATTAGCACACCTAAGAAAAATAACATTAACACTTTAATAGCATGAAATAGTTATTGTTCAAATTACCCCAGTTAACTTGTCATTTTTTAAATGCCACATTTTTAATAAATTTCAAATATATCTATTTATTTCAATAAATGTTGATGGACTCATTGGATATCTGTATGACAAAAAAAGAAAATGAATCTTAGGTCAGAAGTCCGGCGTGGCATGATTGGGTACTGCGTGCTTATGCCATTGTTATTAACTAAACTCTACACTTTTATTCGGACTTTACCACTTTTCTCTGATGTCCTTTTTCTGTTCAAGGCTACTACATTACATTTAGTCCTCCGACTACATTACGTATAGTCCTCCTAGGCTCCCGCAGTCTGTGACAGTTTCTAGACTGTCCTTGTTTCTGACGACCTTGACAGTCTGAGGAGTCCCGGTCAGGCATCTTGCAGAATATTCACCGCAGACAAAGGGTATGAGTTTTGCGGAGGAAGACCGCAGAGATGACGTCATTCTTATCACATCGCTTCCAGGTTATGTGCAATCAACACGGCTTATCAACGACGATGTGCACCTTGCACATTTGGCTGAAAGTGGTGTTTCACAGGTTTCTCAACAGTAAAGTTATCCCCTTCCCCCTCTTGCCATATTCTACTCTGAAAGTTCCTAAGCAACACCTATGTTCAAAGGAGAGTTGGATTTCTCCCCTGGCAGAGGCTCTGTACTGGGCGATTTGTCTCTCTTCCCCATTTATTTCTCTATTTAGTGTTCAATCGTTTATTTACATCAATGTTTTTGACTATGTGACTAACAGTTGTCAAGAACCATTATTTCTTTTGCATTTTGAGGATTTCCTGAACCACCATTCCTTTTACGTCGCAGCTCAAATGGCTGGAGCTCTGGCAGTTTTTTCCCCACGGGAGCCTCCACATTTAACAGCTGTGTCACCGACCCTGAACTGGGGTCCTGGAGGCGTCGGGCACCGAGGTGATGGGGTTAGGGGCTCATGTCAGCAGGGGCCGCGGAGCTGGGCCGCGGGCAGGGCTGAAACGCCCCATGGAGAACCCAGAACCCACACTTGTCCAACGTCCTTCGAAAACGAAAGCCCGTCTGGGGGTGGACCGTTCCCTTCGGCCATCAGAAGGTTTTCGCAAATTTTTTCTTCGCGCAACCGCCTCCTGCAACAGATAACCGGCTGATGTCACAGCCGCCTCCTCCTGGGGGGCGGTAAAAGCTGAGCGGGACCATCGACGGGAGAGAGGACGGGCGGCTGTCACGTCAGCTCCTGCCAGCCCGGGAAGCGGGTCGCTCGCGAGGGCCACAGGTTTCGGCGCAGAGGCGGCGCGGCGCGGCGCGGCTCTACGAGGCCCGGGCGTGAGCGCGGCCCCGGCTCGGCGGCGCGCGAGGCGCGTCGGGAGCGCGGCGCGCAGAGGGTGGCAGGGGCGGTTGCTGCGCCCAGTACGGAGGTCGCTGCCTGAAGCGCAGGCGCCGTAGACGCACGCCGCTCGGGGCCTCGGCTGGCTGTGGGATCGTCATGGCGACGCATCAGCGGCCTTTCCGACTGGTGGTGTTCGGCGCCTCTGGCTTCACCGGCCAGTTCGTGACCGAGGAGGTGGCCCGGGAGCAGGCGGACCCGCAGGGGAGCGCCCGCCTGCCCTGGGCCGTGGCGGGCCGTTGCCGGGAGAAGCTGCGGCGAGTGCTGGAGAAGGCTGCCCTGAAGCTGGGTAAAGAGGACTGGGTGGGACGCGGCACCGCGGCGCCGCTCGCAGCCCGGGGCCCTTCCCCCGGCCGCGGGGCTCCCGCCGCTGGGAAGGAGCGGCTCCTCCGTGGGAGCGACGCTGGGGCTCCCGGAGCCCTGCTTGAGGGCCGCAGGAGGACAGCCATGCTTTATTCAGAGCTGTGGCTTTGTTCTACTCCCCACGTTAAATAATTTCTTTTCCGCTTTTTGAGTTTCTCCTTTAATTTGGGGCGTCCCACTGGCGAGATAGTCGAGAACTTCAGTTTAGGATGTTTTGCTTTGTTTTGTTTTGTTTTGTTATTTCGCTCCGTCTCCCTGCAGAGCACGGGTATCTGGTGCAGCTGGAGATGCTTCGATGTTTGGTCGGATGGGAAAGTACACTGTTGGTTTGATAAGATTGTACTCTCCCTTCGTCTCGCGTTTTGGAGGCGGGAGCGAAAGCTTAAGAGTTGTACTGGGGACTTGGTTGTGGCGTTTAAAAAAAATTTTTTTTTTCTCGTAAGAATCCTCCCGCAAGCTTATTCTTACCTACCGACCTCGCACCCAACGGCAGTTTTCATTTCTGGTTTGGCCGGTTGCGTATTCTTTCAGCCTCCATTCCACGGATTTGTACTGAGTGCTCTTCTCTAGGCCAGGGCTTGTTCTAAGTGCCTGGGTACAGACCTGAGAGAGAGACAGACGCACAGACCCTGCCCTCCTGGTGGGGGACACGTCTAAGTGAGAACCCGATAGCCTTTAAATGAGGCTTTTCCCACCCTTGTTGCCCGCCCCCCGGCTCCATGCAGGCAAGTAGCACCTTTTAGAGTTCTGGGGATACTAGATTCTTCTGCCTGGTTTTCATCTCACTTTATCATTCCACACGGGTGGAGAGCTGTTTCTGGTCGAAATGTAACATCTATTGTGTTGGTGGTCACGTGCACAAGATACCACGCGGGCTGGACTCTTCCTGCAACTCTTGGTGCTGCCACCACCAGACAGAGGATCTTGACCAAAGAGCTTTTTGGTTTTTCTTTACTTTTCCAAAAGAAATAATTTCACTATTAAAATATACTTACATTTCTTTTTCCTGTTCAGTAAGACTGTGCAGGTATAGCCTAGTGACCGACTTTTTGTACGGTAATCCCCAGAACCGGTGATTCTGAGGAATACACTTTGACCTGTCAAAACCTGCATTACTCTCTTGAGTGAGTTCCAGTTATTTCCTTCTGATGAGCCTGAGTGTTCTTATCTAGACTCTTCTTTTCACCTGAGTCCTCGCTTGTTTTCATGTTGATATTAACAACTGCCCTCTACCCACATACTTTCATCATATGTAATTGTGTCATAGCTGTTGAGAAACCTTTTATAATTCTTGTCAGAGAGAAAGTCAGAACAAACATCTATCCAGAATCTGAACGATTGTAAACTTGTCGTTGTACACAAGACTGTCATTTACATGCTACTTATGTTAGATTTTTTTTTAAAGATTGATAATGTTTTTAATCACCCTTAGTATTCCATTTTCCTCACAACCTTTTTCTTTTTCTTTTTTAATTACCTGGTTAAAAACAGTTTTCTCCTTCGTTTGAGAGGGAAAGTTAACTTTTGGGATTTTGCTCTCACTGGTTACTATAAAAAGAAGATCTGGAAGATCTACTGTTGTATCAGGATTCACTTAAAATGATTTATTTCTTATTTTAGGAAGACCAACGCTGTCATCTGAAGTTGGAATAATAATTTGTGATATCACTAATCCAGCCTCACTTGATGAAATGGCCAAACAGGCAACAGTTGTCCTCAATTGTGTAGGACCAGTAAGTAATCGGCCCTTCTTTGTATCAGAACAAACAGCCTATTCATTCCTCGCAGAATCTCGTATTTTATATTCCAGAGGAACATGGAGCAGGGGACAGAACAGTTGGTTCAGAGCCTTTACCCCATATGGGGTTCTCACTTCTTGGGATTAGCAAATTGGACATGACCAAAATCTCCTGGAGGGGTGAGTGGCCGACTCCCTCTGACACCGTATTCAGGGAGTGTGTGCTGGCTCATTCATTTTGTTTATTATTTACTGCTCTAATCGCCAAGCTTTTCTTCCCCTTTCCTATATGCCCCTTATGTTAAAAAATTCTTTGAGCAGGTACCCCTAATATACTTCTTATTTATTTATAAGGTATATTTTTGTATAAATAACATTTGTTAAAAACGTGTACAAAAGTAGAGATTAAAAGAGGACTTGTTCACTTAGTATTTATTGAATACTTGTTAGACGGGGTGGTCAAAGTAAGTTTACAATAATTAATAAATTAATAATATAAGAATAAACTGTTTTGTGTACTCTCAACTGGAAACCTGCTTTTGCCCATCCTGGTATGTAAACTGCATTAGCCTAGGTACCTGGGACATAATGGTGAACCCAATAGAATCTCTCACGGAGCGTACAGTCCAGTGGTGAAGGCAGAAAGATAAGGTTATAATGGTAGGTAGTGGTAGGTGCTTTGAAGAAAAAGAAAGCAGAGTAGGGAGATGGACACATCAGTCTGTATGACATGGGGGGTCAGGGAAGGTCTCCGTGAGGAGCTGACATTTTCCTGGGGACCTGAGAGGCAAGGGACCTTCTGATGGGCGAGGAGAAGGGTGGCCCAGGGAAGAGCAGGTGCAAAGGTCCTGCGGTGAGCATATGCTTGGCAAGGCCGAAGAATGAGAGAGAGGCCGGTGTGGCTGGCCATGAGCAGGGCAGAGGTGGGCAGTGAGATTGGAGCGGTGCCCGGGGGTTGTAGGCTCTGACAGCCCGAGGTTTGGATTTTCTTCTAAAGGTGACCGAGTCAGTGGATGGCGGGAAACAAGGGTGTGATTTGATGCACAGCGCTGAAGCTCTCTGACTTCCGGGAGGAGAAGCAGGTGGTAGGGGAGTAGCAGGGATGTGCGAAGCGGTCCAGTTCAGAGTGTATCTTGAAAGGAGAGCCACCGACTATTGCCCTGGTACTTACTGGATGTGAAGGAGACATTTTTGGCCTGTGTAACAGCGAATGCTGGGGTCCTTTCCCAGTCTGAGGGAGCCATTGCAATTGGCAGAACGTTTGAACACTCAGCATCTGGAAAATGGTTGATAAATTAAAAAGTGAAAGCAGGAAAGCTTTTAATTATTATCGAGTAAAAATGTACTTAAATTGTTTATTTAGCTTATCTCATGCTTAACTAGCTTCGACTCTGTGGCCCTTTGCTTGAGCTACTCCAATACACCTCCCAGCCAGCTCCTTTGCCCACCCCTCCCCGGGACTCTGGGAAAAACCCGGTCCTGGTGATTCCAGCCCTCTGCTTGCCCTCTACCTGAACGTGAGTAGCCCAGCGTGGCTGGAGAAAAGTGCGTCCCCCTGCAGGCTGATCCCACGCTAAACACGTGACTGTGACCCTCACGCGGGGCCGCTGCGCCTCCCGCAGGCCTGCTCCCTTTCCCCAGGCTGCTGTTCTCTCCCGTCTCGGAAGTGCAGTTTTACAACTTCTTTTTCCTCACGCGTTTAGCATTCTCTCTCTTCTTTCTCACTGCTATTAGTGATTTTTATTTTATTTCATTTCAAATTTTTATTGTATTTATTGGGGTGACATTGGTTAATAAAATTATGTAAGTTACAAGTGTACATCTCTCTGATGCCTCACCGGTACACGGTACTGTGTGTTCGCCACCCCAAACCAAGTTTCCTTCCGTGCCCATTTATCCCCCTTCACCCTCCTCTACCTCCCCCCTCCCCTCCTTTCCCTCTGGTAATCACCATGCTGTTGTCTGTGTATGAGGGTTTTTTTCATTATTACCATTATTGTATTTTTTTCTGTTACCATTTATCCCCCTGATACCCTCCATTCCCCAACTCCCCGACAATCACCACATTATTGTCCTTGTTCAGAATTTTTTTTTTTTTTTTTTAAATATGAAGATAGAAGCTGTCAGAACAGATAAAATTCAGTGTTGATAGCATGGCAACCAGGGTCCCTCCTGATATGTTCATCACTTGTTTTTCATCCCTTACCATCCTCTCGACTGCCCTGTGCTTCCGGTATCCTGAACAGACCTCTTTTTTAAACTTTTGCCTATGCTTTGTCCTTTATCTGGAATTTTTTTTTTTTTTGAGTAAATCCTTACTCTTCTTCAGAATTTAGCTCAAATGAATCACTTGAACAAAACTTCCCATTTTTGTCTTCAGTTAGAGGTAAGGACGTGTTCCTCTGTAATTCTATCCTATGAGAGTTGGTATATTCCAGTTACATTATTTTCTCAGCCTATCTTTAGGCTGCTTTATTAGTATTTGATTTCTTAGTAACCAAGATAGTACTTCCAAAACTGAATGGCAGTTCGTTCAGTCAAGCTTGCTGCATAAGAGTAAACTGTTTTCTTTATTCCCCCAGTATCGATTTTACGGAGAACCTATAGTAAAAGCATGTGTCGAAAATGGGACTAGCTGTATTGACATCTGTGGAGAACCTCAGGTATGTAAAACAGAAAAGAAAAACAGGAAATAGCACAGTTTTCCGCTGAGGTGGAAGGTAGTTAGTGCAATTTTGCAGACGTTTCAGAGGGCGATGTCTCCTCCCTAGCGGAGCGGCCTAGTAGAAGCTGCAGGAGAGCGCGAGGCAGGGCCTTGACTTCAGTTGTCTTGAATCCTGTTCTTTCATACCCTCTCATTTGTTTCAAGTCCTTTGTATATAGGATTTGCTGCCCTTTTTTTTTTTTTTTTTTTTTTTACAGCTACTACATGCTGTAAACTGAATTAATTAAAATAGTGTGCTATGAGTAATTCTTGGAATCTTGTTTCTATAACTTTCATTATAAATTCCCTTTTTAAAATCACATCTTTACAACATTACAGAAAAATAAATGTAAAATCCCCTCAACTTAAAAACTTTTGTATGTTCACATTCATTGACTGCTTACCACGTGCCTTACAGTGTACTAAATAAGCATTTTATGTACCTGTTTAAACATTCCTAGAAAGTAGGCGTCATCTTTTTCTCTCTTTTATGATGAGGAGATTGAAGCTTGGAAAGGTTAAGTAACTTGTTCAAAGTCACACAACCAGTAAATAGAAAAACTGGGACTTGAATTGAGGTTTGCCTGACTGCAGGGAGCAGTGTGTTGATAACACTGAGCTATGCTGCTCCTTTAAAACTATAACCCCTATGTCCCCATAGTCCACTGACTTCTCTCGTCAGTGTGCCAATATGGTACCTACTTACAGTTTATCAATTGATCATATATATTGGAAAATACTAGGAAAATACAAATTACCAAAATTTATTCATGAAGAGTTAGGGAACATGAATATAACAGAAACCAATGCCTATTGTATTTAAAATATTCCAGAGCAGAGAAAATGGTGAAAAACTTACAAACTACCATAAAGTAATACCCAAAACCTAATAAAGGTCCAGAATATACAAAGAACTCTTATAAGTCATAGTACCAATTCAGGTCCTCCAATTAAAAATGGGCACAGGGATGAGAAGAGACAGGCCCGTGCAGAAGAATTCCAGGGGACGCAGGCGGCTGCTCTGCCCCGGAGGACTGAGAGCACAGGGCGGGGCGGGGGTGGGGGGAGAATAACCTCACGGGGGAAAGCCTGGAAAACGCCCCCTTAGTCACGCATTCAAGGTCGGCAGCGGGGATAGGCCATGTGGATAGTATGCACTGTTGATACGATGTCATGAAATGGCACTCGACCCCTGTGGTCTTCCCTCCGAAAACCTATAAGACCATTCCCGTCATGAGAAAAACATGCACTAAATTCCAGGAGAGGGCACTCTACAAAGTGCCTGACCAGTTCTCAAACCTGTCAAGATCATCACAATCAAGGAGAGTCTGAGAAGCTCTCACAGTCAGAAGGACTTTAAGGAGACAGGATGATAAATGTAACATGGTGTCCTGGACGAAGTCCTGGCACAGAAAAAGGACATTAGGTGATGCTAAGGAAATACTGAATAAAGTACAGACTTTAGTGAATGATAAGGTAATGGTTTTGTTTTATTAATTATAACAAATAATACATGCATTGATACATGTCTCTGATGATGTTCACTTGGATAATGTTACTTAGGGTATCTTTTTTGCTTGCTTTGTATTTTTCTGTGTTAATAAGTATTTTTATAAGAGGTATTACTTTTGCATTAAGACATTCTAAAAAACAATAATAGTGTCATGAAGTCAGATCAGCGCCTTGGCACATGTCTGCTAAATAAGTGAAAAACATTTTGACAGTTACTATATCGCCACAGAGCTGTATGGGTTAGCATTTTCAAAATTTAATTGCTTTGTCGTTAATCATTTGGTATTGGTCAAGATGTTTCTGTATAACTCTGGCTCAGATCTTTTCTCTTGAATTTGTTTAGTTTCTGGAACTAATGTATTGGAAGTATAATGAGAAAGCTGCGGAAAAAGGGGTTTATATCATTGGAAGCAGTGGCTTTGACTCCATTCCGGCCGATCTGGGAGTAATATATACGAGCAATAAAATTAATGGTAATTATTGATCAGTTAGCAGTAATTGAATTTAACAATAGAAGGGCTTCAGTTGTGTTGAACTAAAACCTGGTTGGAAAAAGAAACATAACTACAAATGGGTAATGTTAAAATGCATGCTTTGTTTTTAACATAACTATGCTTGTTATAAAATGCTAAGAAAAATTTTAATAAATAATGACATTTTGAAAGAATAATATATCAAGACCAAGGTTTATTAGAAAGTTATGTTATCATTACATCAGAATATCAGAAGTGAACACTGTATGTCCCTCTCAGTAAATGCCTTGAAAATTCCTAGGATTTATTGATTTCAAATTTTTAGAAACTGAAGAATAGAATACTTTCTTAACAAAATAAATGTCAGAGAGCAATAGCCAACCTCATACTTAATGATGCAACACTTGAACCGTTCCCAATAAAATGAAAACCATGAATTGAACATCTTTAAAACAGTCTTTCAATCCTTACACCTGGTATGTCTCTATTTATTTAAAACAGTCTCTAAGTCTGCAGAGTTCAGATGTTTTCTTCATGATAGTCCTGCATATGTTAGGTCGAGGTTATTCCCAAACATTTAATAAAAGTTTTTGTTACTTTGAATAGGTCTTTTCTTTTTCTTTTCAAGATTTATTTATTTTTAGAGCGAGGGGGAGGGAGGAAGAAGGAGAGGGAGAGTAACATTGATGTGAGAGGGAAACGTCACCCAGGTGCCCCTTGCACGCCCCCAGCCTGCGCCCTGGCCTGCAGCCCCGGCGGGAGCCCTGACCGGGGCTCGGTTTGTGTGGCGACGTCCAGCCTGCTGAGCCACAGCATCAGGGCTCTTTTTTTCCCTTTTTAAGGGCAAAATAATACTTTAAGGTTTGTTTAAAAACTTTTTTCAGATACTAACCCTAGAGTCGGCATTTTAACAATTATCCTAGCTGATTTTTGATGCACGTGGTCCCCATTTTTTTACATACGGCTTTAGTGGTCCATGTTCTTCTGTGGAGCGGGTCAGATCACAGAGCCATGTAGTCAGGCCACGTTCTCGTAACAACCCTTAGAATCATCTCTGGTGGGAGTCACTGTAGTGCTCTGCTCCTAGTTTGTGTCGCTGGTCAGACCAGTGACGGTCAGTTATGTGGCTCTCGTTCTCTTCTGCTGTGGCAACCTGGTTCATGACGTGGTTTTTCATTATTTTGCTCAGTGTCAACTTGACACAGCACGGATGTTTTAATTTTCTCTTGGAATTAAACCTGGGAACACTGTCTCTTATGAAACTGATATATTTCATTTTATCAGGTTTTGAGAATTGGCTATCCCATTAGGTATTTCTTTTGTCTTACTGCTCTGGAGAATTTCAAAGATAAATTAAATACTTAATCACTATTACTTATATACTAATCTTCAGGGTTAATGTAATTGATTTCTCCCCCCCTCCTTTTTTTTCCTAGTTTTGATGTTCTATTTTTATTTTACACTTATATTTTTATTTCATTTCAATAATCTTAAGTATTTTACAAGCCATCACAAAGGCCATTTTGATAGGTATTCTGTACATTAATTGTATGTAACTGTGGATAAGTATTCTTAAAAGCTGTCCTATTGGGAAAACAAGTAATTCCCATAGATGTAATTTTGATCACTGTGTTCTGCTGGCCTTCCAGAATGAGAGAGCAAAATTGTTGCCTTAGAGGAAGAGGATTTTTTAGCGTCAGTTTAAATATTGAAAATATTTTGTCAGTATTGGCAGTTAGAGTTTATGTTCAACTCCTCTTTCTGACAATTCACCTGGCTTCAGCTGCTTTTTAAGTCTGTTTATAAAAACATAATAAAATTGTTATCAGTATTGACTTTCTGACTATTCAGCTGTCAGCTTAGTAAAAGCAGTCCCTGAATGACTAGGAATAGTTCATTGTTACTTGTCCTGGCTAAATAGATTTTATTTGATTTTACTTTGACCATTTTCCTACTCTTATAGGTATTTTGACTGCAGTGGAAAGTTTCCTGACTTTACGTTCAGGACCCGAGGTTAGTTTTTCTGTTCGTCAGATATTTTCTAAGTTAATATTTAAAACATTTGGGAAATGATACATGCCTTTTTAAAAAAGATATTTTTGGAATTTTTAGTGTATTAAAGTCACTGTGTTTAATTTTAAAAAATGAAAGGTACTAGATTGTTGTTGGGAATTCCTTTGACTTAAGAATAAACTCTACTTAAAAAAAAAAAAAACTGAACAGTTTGTTACATTAGAATGAATTACCATGATCCTAACTAAAGTTTCTATCACTGTTATGCAGTAAATATTGTCAGCCAAGACAGTCATCACCTTAGTGCAGAGTCTGTGCATTTTTATTATGTGCCAGACTTGGAGTTAGGTACTTTATGGCCATGCAAGAAATGCATGATGTAAATATAATCTTACTGAGTTTATAGTCTATTTGGGAACACAAGATAGTTGCATTTCTGGGAAGAGACTGTGTTTTATGATAGTACTTTTATTGCCATAGGGTCAAGCCCAGTTCTGTGTCTTTACTTGAAGCTTCATAAGTATTTTTTCCCTTTTAAAAATATTCATTCAACAAGTATTGTGCAGTGGTGCAAATCTACATAGTTGTTCAAGGTAGTGTGACACATAAATGAATAAGATGCAAATCCTGCCCTTAAAGAGGTCATTTAGCTTGGCAGGAGATAGGAAGTGTTATTAAAGGGATCAGATCAAATACTGTGGGATTCTGAGAATGGAAAGTATGTGTAGCTGGGAGGCCAGAGATCAAGAATGCTTCGGAGAAGCCGGGATATGGACTGAGTTTCAAGGGTTGGTGCTGCAGAGATGTGGATAAGGGAGAGGAAATAGTATAATACAGATGTAACTCTGGCATGGTGTGGAGCATGTTTAAGTAAAAGCAATGGTCTGTTCACCTGGATTGTGGGTTCAGATCAATGAACACAAAGAACTATAGAAAACATACTAACATCTTTGGTTACAGAGAGTGTATACTAGAGTATCAGACTAAAGGGAAGGGATAGTGGGCCTGAGTAATTAACTTGGGAATGCCTCATAGAGGCCTTAACTAAGTTCAGCCTTAAAGTGTGGATAGCAGTTGGAAGGTCAGGCAGCAACCTGAACAAAGGCTCAGAAACAAGAGTAAAAGGCATGCTCGGAGCTCTGGGTAGCATGTGTTAGAAATCCAACTCAACCAATAAAACAGGAAGGAATTGATGGATTCCTGTAACTAAATGTCTAGAAGTGAATAGTGTGATTGGGTCTAGATGTGAAATGGTCTTATCGGAGCCCTTTTCGTTCCCTCTTCCCTCTTCCTGTCTCTTTCCTTACTCCTGAGGCCCCTCTGTGCTGGCTCTCTTGACAGGGCTGGGAAGCTGCTGGCTGTCGCATGCATTGTTCCTGAGACTCATGGTTTCCCAGGGACAGCTGCCAGTTTAGATACCGAGTGATAGGGAAGATTCGTCAAGATGGGTCATTTGGCCATTCTTGAGCCCGTCCGTGCGACCTGGAGGCATGGAGTGAGCAGATTTCCTGGGCCTGGGTCACAGGCCTCTGGAGGTGGGATCATAGGGTCAAGTCCACCTGAACAACAGGGAACAAGTACGAAATAGGAAGGAGAGTTGATTTGTTGAGCAGAAGAAGGGGTTGGGGGTTGCAGAGAATGGACACAGGACTGACAGCAGTGTTGACCACAGGGAGATAGTGAGAACAGTAGAGCTAGGATGGAGGCTCTTTATGGAGGAGCAGCAGGAACCCTGGTCGGTGTGTGTCGGTTGGCGGGAGCGTTGTCCCGTAAACTGAAAGGTCCCATGGTCAGGGCACATGCCTGGGGTGTGGGTTCAGTCCCTGGTTGGGGCACATATTAGAGGCAACCCATCTATGTTTCTCTCCCTCTCTCTCCCCCTCCCTTCCCCTATCTCTAAAATCAGTGAGCATGGACTTGGATGAGGATTAAAAAAAAGAGAAAATCTCTTTATATTTGGGTGTTAAGAACTACTGGCATATTCCGAACTTAGGTCATCAACCCAGACCTTTTTCCTCAACTCTTAATAACTAATTGCCCAGTGGGCCTCTCCACTTGAGCATTGGGTAGACATCTCCATAACTGACCCCCTGCTTTCTCCTTCCAAATGTGCTCTAACCGTAGCTTACTTGTATCAATTTCAGGCAGTAGTGATGTGTCCTTCCAAGTGTTCAGGCCAAACAGTGCAGTCATTGCTGTCTCTTCTCAGAAATCATATCTGATCTCAGGAAATCCTGTTGATTCTGCCTTCAGAATATGTCAAAGTCTGACCGCCTTTCACCACTTCTCTTGCCACCTCCTCTTTCCCTGCAGTCTTTTCTCAACACGACAGCCAGGACGATCCTGTTCAGAACATAACTCACATCGTGTTCCTCCTCAGCTCCACGTTCTGTCATTTCAATCAAAATCTCAAATAGGTTTTTATTTATGTGTTTTGTGTTGGTGTGCAGCTCGACAAATTAATTCTAAAATGTGTATGGAATGCAGAGGGCCAAGAATAGCGAAGACCTTCTTGAAGGTGAATAAGGTAGAAAGGATGCTCTTGGTTATCAAGATTAGTTATTCACGTCAGTGTGTTGCATTGGCAGAGGGTATCAGTGGGCAGGGGGAATAGAATAAACACTCAGAGTAATTTGTGCAGACATGAACACTTTATGTAACGGGACTTTCCAGGAGATGATGCTGGGACAGTTGGGTGTCTGTATGGGTGAAAAATGAAATTGGACTCATACTTTGCACTGTTCACCAAAGTCAAATTTAGGTGGATTGTAGATCTAAGTGCAAAGGGCAGAAGAGTAACACTTTTAGAAGAGGACATACTGCATGGCCTCAAGGTCGGAAATGGCTTCTTTTTTTTCCCCCAGAAATCTTTTTCATTGAGGTATAATTGGCATATTAGTTTCAGGTACACAATATAATAATTATATATTTGTATGTATTGCAAAATCATCATAGTAAGACTAGTTAACATCTGTCACCATACATCCAATTTTTTTTCTTGTGATAAGAACTTTTAAGATTTTTTTTCTCTTAGCAACTTTTAGATATGCAATACAGTGTTAACTGTAGTCACCATGCTGTACAGGGAATGGCTTTTTAAAAGAGATACAGAGGCATTTACGTATATATTAGGCATAATCAGAAAGTGACACATTTGTGCATATTTGAAATTGAGAACATCTGTTTATCAAAAGACATACTAAGACAATGGGAAGGTCGGCTGCAGAGTATGAGTTACTTTAACACATGATGAGTCCCGACATCACAGTCTGAGCGAAAGCAGCTGAACGCGAAGGGTCCTGTGCTGTGTGGTTCCGTTTCTGTAAAGTTAATGGGCAAAACTCACAGCGCTGTTTAGGAGTGAATGCTTAGTCTGGGAGACTCTAAAGAGAAGCCGGGGTTTTTCTTGATCACCATAAAAGCAGGACAGAAGGAGGGCCCTCTGGGCTGCCTGGGTGTTTGCTCCGTACTTTCATTAAATTGTGCATGTATGTTTTGTGCACCTTCTTTATGTTATATTTTTCAATGAGATAAGGTAAAATATTTTTTAAATGAATGTAGTATTTTGCCTTCTTCAGGGCTTATTTGTGTAAGAAGATAGTCTTAGGTTTTTTGAAAAGCTTTTTTCTCCCAGCGTTGGGAAATCTTTACTTTTGTAAATGGGTCAGATTGGCTGGGCCCCACTTTAGAATAGTTTCATAGGTCAAACTCTTAGGACTTTTAGTCCTGTGATAAAGTTGGTTGTGAATCTTTCTAAGTGGCTTTGTTCAAACAAGCTAAACAACATGCAAGGCAGGACATGATACAGTTATATACAATCAAAATTATAAATGAAATCATCCCTGAAAGCCTTCTAAATCATCCAAATAGTTTGTGTGGAGGAATGTTCAAGCTTAAGGCAAAATTTGATGCAGGCTGTTGCTCTACTCGCTCAGTCATTTTGAATGTGATGGCCACACAGTGCACATGCCCACTTAATAGTATCTGCCATCCCCACGGACTAGTACAGTGAAGCCGTCATTGTTCACGCATGTGCATTCCAGTCCACTCTCCTTGGCTGCCAGGTTACATTAATGTCCTGCAAATGTTCTTGTCACATTAACAGTGGCTGGGCTTTTTCCACACAGACCTCATATGATCAATTCGTTGAATGAAAACGAGAAAGTGAAATCAATGGCTTATTGAAAACAGCGTAAATAATGGTAAGAGGGAAGAAGAAAGGGCATTTGTTGGTGTAAATACAAAATATGACCAGACTAATGAGTGTTATTGCTGCCTAGCTGGTCATGAAAATTCCATCTCAAAATTATTAAATAAAGGATTATGCCTTGCATAAATAGAGGTAAAAATTTTTTTGTGCCAATTATAACATACTTGGTTTTGCATTTTAGTATCTCTTAAGACTTGTTTAACTCTTGAATTGTTTTATTAGGGTATGTGCATTCATGATGGTACCTGGAAGTCAGCAGTCTATGGTTTTGGAGATCAGAGTAACTTGAAAAAACTACGAAAAGAAGCAAATCTGAAACCTGTCCCAATTGTTGGTCCAAAATTAAAAAGAAGGTATATTAATTCAAAATCCATTCCTTAGTATGTCTGGTCTAAGTGTTTTGTGTTGACCTGACTTAATTAAGTATGCTAGTAAGAAAAGCCTGGAGACTATTTTATAGTAAATCCAGATTGTTTTCAAAGATAAATTACAATTAATATGTTAACTGAAGCTTAAGTACTTTGTATATAATAATTCATTTGTACCCTAGGAAAAATTAGTTTTTTTACTTTTCATTATCAACATCAAAATTAAACATCAGTTAAATTTTGTGCAGTAAAACCATCAACTTAAAGTGTGTTGCTCTTGTGTAGATTAATCAATCAATATATCGATAACATTTATATGTAAGAACTCCAACTGCAGACTGCAGTGTTTATCTGTTGAAATGAGTGTTCTTTTTATCATTGGTCAGTGAAATGATGGGCTAAGACATAGTTAAACTACATGTATTAAGTGCCCATGATGTGAAGAATACTTCTCTGTGCAGTTGTCACTTGTTTGGCTGTAGGTGTAGAGAACAAAGGTCAGAGATTGAAATATTAACTAAGAGCAGATCTGCCATCTTTATTGTTATCCCTGCCTCAAGCAGAGTTAAAATTTTTGTTTGGAAATTTACCTGTTAAAATTGTGGTCAGTGTAAATGGAGAAAATGCAACCTGGGTCTATCTTGCAGGTGGCCGATTTCTTACTGCAGAGAGCTCAGCAGCTACTCCATTCCTTTCTTGGGAGCAGATGTGTCTGTCGTGAAGCGGACTCAGCGTTACTTGCATGAAAATTTAGAGCAATCACCTGTAAGTGTTCATGATTTATTTTTTAATATTTTTTGTTTGTTACAGTTCTCCCACAGTTTGATTAGGATTTTTGTGTTCATAAAGCAAAAAATGAAGTAGCTAAATAATGTGTGTAACAGTTTCTGGAAGTATTCAGAATCAGGAGTATAGAGCATTGTGCGTTTTGGGGGGGTGATAATAGCCTTCCCCATAATTTATATCTGGCCTGCCGAATACCTTTGTAATGTAACACAACAGCACCAACTCAGAGCAGGAAGCTCTGGTTCATGAACACCCGACCACCCCTGTGCAACACTGCGGCTGCCAGAATGCTCCTTTTGCGCTGCTGGAGGAGTCCGGGTGCTCTCCTCCTCTCCTGGCTGCCTCCGAGTATCACTCTGCTCCTTTTGTCTGTTTTTTTTTTTTTTGTTTTTTTAAATTTTTGGGGGGATTTTTTTTGTTTTTTTTTTTTGAGGGAAGTACACAATTGCTCCCTCTGCTGAGACTCTGCTGAACGGAAACCAACTCAAGTTAAAAGATATGGATACTGTCTTATAAAAGAGGTTGTGAGTGTAGTTTACATTCTGTAATGTATAATTGCTAAATTCAGGTATATTATTGAACTTTTTATTTATGGATTATGTGGACTTTTGTGTTCAAGTGAGAAAGCTAAATACTATTTGCAATTATTTCTTTTAAAAGCATGCTCCCAGTGTCTGGTTTCTGAACAGGTTTTCGGAACATAACACTCATACAGTGGAACTGCTTTTGCTCAGCATTTATGACTACAGAATAAGCTATAAGTAGCTAACATTCTTACGTTACTTGCCTGAAACAGGAGGCCAGCATTCTGACTTGATGATCTTCACCTAGGTTCAGTATGCTGCGTACGTGACTGTGGGAGGCATCGCCTCTGTTATTAAGCTGATGTTTGCAGGGCTTTTCTTTTTATTCTTTGTGAAGTTTGGCATTGGAAGGCAGCTGCTCATAAAAGTGAGTGATATTTTTATGAAATTCGATCTAAAAGCATTTTCCATGAGTTTTTAAAAAGATATCACTGAGAGATTTTTTTTTCCCTCTTTAGTTCCCATGGCTCTTCTCCTTTGGTTATTTTTCAAAACAAGGTCCAACACAGAAACAGGTAACTCATTCTTTTGTATCCAGGTCTCTAAAATAATATTTTCCTTACTTGGTTTTTCCTTTTCCTCAGTGCAGTGACAATGACAGTAACAGCTAAGACTTCATGGAGCACTTACCATGTATCAGACACCCTCTCACATTCTTTGCGTAAACTAAATTAATTTTTTCAAACACCTCTAGAAGTGGGTATCATCTCCATTTTACAGATGGGGAAACTGAGGCACAATATGGTTTAAAAACTTGCCCAAGGTCCTATAGTGAATAAACAGCCAAGTTGGGATGAGCACTCAGCCATCTCGCTCCACAAATTATATTCTCTATTTCACTGAGATTTCGATTATTCTTACTCTTTCGTTTTTCTCCTCTGTTACCGCCTCTTTTTGACCTCCTCTTGTCCCCTCTCCTCAGGCTTCCCTGCCCCTTCCGCATATCCTGGATCCGCGAGGTAGATAAATGGAATTCCGTTTGTCGAGTGTGCTCAACATCAGGCCTTCGTTTTGGACCGTTTGGTTACAGATCCCAAGTCAGGCCTTAGGTCGTTGAGCCTTCACCTTTTACACCAGGCACTGCCGGAAGTGGGGGGGGAAGGAATTCCACAGCTGAGAGGATGCCAGCACCACACATCCATGCTCCCCCTCACTGGAGCTTTTAACATCACCTGCCAGTACTTTTTACTCTTCATTAGTCATCTCTCCACCTCCCCTCAGGGGCTTTTTTCAAAACCAGCCCAGCCCCACTGTCTTCCCCACGTGTGCAGTTATCACAGGTCCTGCCTTACTGAGAACCTCGGTGGTGTGCCCCGCCCCCACCGCCGGGACTCCTGTTCCCAGACCCTCGCCTCTTCCCTGCTCCCTTGGAGAGACGTTCTCCTGCGCAGGGTGAACCTGCCACCGGCCCCCTGAGGCGCAGGCGCTGCAGGCCGGGGCTGAGTGCTCTGCGGCCGCCTTGGTGCAGGTGCGCCCTGCTCCTCCCCAGCAGGAGAGAATCCAAGGGTGTGCGTGGCCTGGTTCCCGTGGCCAGAGTCTGGCAGCTCCTAGAGCAGAACCAGCCTGAGTCCTCGCCGCCACGGCTCCTTTGGATCAGAGTCCCTCCTGACCTCGTAGGGCGCCTACTCCTGTTCTGTCCCGTAAATGCTCCTGCTGTCTCTCCACAGGCTCTTTCTCATCCCGCAAACGGGCCAGTGTCCTCCCCCACCTGAAAAAGGCCTCAGCCCTTCTTCCCCCTTCATTGTCCCCTTGCTGAAGTCACCATATTCCAGTTACGTCTCAGAGCCTAATGTGGTACCTGACCTGTAGTTGATAGTTGATTAAAATGTATTGACCATGACTGAATTCATTGTTATTTTATTTCTCAACTTAGTGATTGTGATAGATGTTCAGATAAGTCTTCTAAAACTTTAATTTTTTGAACTGAATGTTTACATCTCTAAACGCAGCAATTATATATCCGTGCCTCAAGCCCGCATTGTCACTGCTTGCTGGCTATTTTGGTCTTGTCACCTCAGATCGCTCTCTAGAACCAGACTGCCATATTCTGCCACCCTAAGGCAAAAGCTGCCAGCAGCTCCTGCCCCGACAGTGCCTGTTTTAGTGGTGCTGTCCTTTAAGCCACCACGTAAGACTCACCTTTCTTCCTCCCCATTCCTCACCACCTCCCGTGCCCCAGCATCACAGCCACCAGTGCTAGTGTCTTCCGCCCTGGGTGGGTAGCTCAGCTGCTGAGAGTGTCGTTAGTACACCGGGGTCGCGGGTCTGATCCCCGGTCAGGGTGCGAGCAAGAGACAATGAACGAATGCATGGGTGAGTGGAAAAACAGGTCAGCCTCTCTCTCCCTCTCAACTCAATATTTAAAAGAAACAAACTTGCTTCTTCAAAGAGTTAATTTTTGCTCCATGCCTGAAGGATAACGGTATTCTGGCAGATAGAAAATTGACGTTTTTATCAATTGAAAATTTCTCATGTGGAGTAGAATAATAGGTTAGATTGTGTTCAGGGGGAAATGACATACTTCTTAAATAAACTCTTTGCTTTCTTTTTCTTAGATGGATGCCTCATCATTTACAATGACATTCTTTGGTCAAGGATACAGCCAAGGCTCTAGTCCCGATAAGAGCAAACCCAACATCAGGATCTGTACTCAGGTGAAAGGACCAGGTATTTCACAGATGACTTAAAGGGGCTGGGGAACCGTACATTGTCTTAAACTGTAAGGGGGAATGCTATTCCTTCCAAAGTATAATTGTTTTAGAAATACATTTGCACAGTTTATTTAAGTATTACTGATAAATGATTCAGTCAAAAGGAGGATTGAGTTTATTGGTGTGTTCCTACCTCTGTTTTTCTTTTTTGGTATGATTCAGTAATTCTGAATGGCAGATTTCAGTACTAAAAAGACAAGGGGCTGGGTGATACTTATCCATTTGATCCAAGGTTTCTTTGGAGTCTGGTTACCCTGACATTGTTTCTTGTCATTGTCATGTCATTGCTAGGAGAATTAAATGAGTCTAGTAAATTTAAAGCACTTAACACAATTCCTAACACTTCATGTGTACGATGTAAATGTTGTTATTTTTAGTAAGTGAACAAAGTATTCATGGAGATAATTCTGGATACCTAGAGTTAGATATAAAGCCCACTATTTGGTTTTTGGGTGTTGTTGAGTGCATACGTGACCAGAACTTTCTTTCCCTTGATCGCGCGCTCTCTGCAGAGGCCGGCTACGTAGTGACTTCCATAGCCATGGTCCAGGCGGCTGTGACTCTTCTGAGTGACATCTCTGACCTTCCGAAGGTGTAAGTCTTGTTTCTTCTGATTTGAAGATCCCTTTTTCATCTGTTGTGTTTTAGCTTATTTTGATTTGATTTTCAGGCATCGAACCTGCACCTAAGCATTTTCAGTTTCATTGATACAAAGATAGAGGTGAATTAAACTTGTGAGAAGGACTGTTCCTTACGGGCCTCTGGAAACAGAGGTAACCAAGAGGAGACAGGCAGTTTGAGCCACGCACTTCGGCCTGGGCTCGCTGGGCCCTGCCGCCAGCACGAACTGGCTGGTGGCATCCTGACTGGATGATCACCAAGGGGACGATCTTCCTGGAGCATCAGGCTGCTCCTTAAACGTAGGCCGCCCTCACAAAGGGGCACGGGCCCTGAGGCTTAGAAATAAATAAGTTCGGGTGTGACCTGAAACAGTATTAATAAACAGAAAAATTGTAATAAAATGAAACCTAAGTAAATATTTTCAAATACTTGTGTACCCTTTGAAAATATTTAGCATTTACATTTAGCCATTGCATTTAAAGAAACTTTTTTCACCCAGTTGAAGTCTTGTTTATGCTTTGTTAATAATCAGCTACCTAAATTTATTTCACGGAGGCCTTCACTTAACCCTCCTGACCCGAGGGCCGTCTTCATGACCGGCGGCAGTTGCTCGGGTCGATGGCCCTCGGTGTGCCCCTCGAGCACACCGTGTTGTGGCAGCAGTCGCACTGGCCACCGAACAGTGTAGTGCTGGCCACCAGCTTCCCCTGAGTAATAGCCGCTTGCTCATTTGGCGGATTTTGGGAACGGAACCAAAACTAGTCCACAGTAGAAGCGAAAGGATGAGTGTCCCTGAGCTGCATCGTGACCCCGCAGTGAGTCCTCCAGCGCGAGGCCCTGGCAGGACCAGCCGGGGCTGGCTTTGTGCACTGTCGCGCTCCCTCCTTGTCTTTCAGGGGCGGGGTCTTCACGCCTGGAGCGGCTTTCTGCAGGACAAAGCTGATTGACAGACTCAGCCAACGTGGCATTGAATTCAATGTCATTAGCAGCTCTGAAGTCTAAGGATTTGAAGAATTGACCAGTCATAAAATGCATGAATTAACAACTTTTTAATTTGATATTTGAAATTCTTCTATAAGCCTGTGTATGTGGAAAAGATCATCAAATCTAAAATATGTACACATTAAAAGCAGGAAATTATACTAGCTTACCCTAAATTTTAAATCTTAGCTGATTCTCTGATTTTATTGCTTCTGAGAGAGAACTAACATTTGACTGACCTCTTCCCTGAATTCGTGGGCGGTTCCTGGGAGCGAGCGGCGGGCAGCCCTGGGGTGGGCGGGCCGGTCGGTGTTGCTGACAGACCCGGGGCCAGCGCCCGGCTGCCCTCCTGGCCCTGACATCCCGCGGGTCTTGCTCCCCGTCTCTCTCCATGTGCGTGGGCCTCTGCCAGGTGAGACTGCACTGCTTGCTCTTCTAGCTTAGTTTTTTTCACCCATCTACACTGATTGATTTTGGACATAGCCTAAGCTGAATAATAAAGGACTGTCAATTGAGTAGTGGTTTGTGTCTGACCTGCCTGGCGTTTGAGCGGTGGTGGAAACGTGCTTCCCGTGGACTGCTAACAATGGACCTCGTCGTTTGTTTTCCCTGGTTCAGTACCTGTGGGTAGTTTTGAGGATACAGCTGGTAAGTTTCTATTGATTTTCACTGCCTAAGCAGAATTTTTCACTAATTTACTTTTTGCATTTTAACTGTTTTCCCCTAAGGGCCTAAAACAAGGCACAGCACAGGACTTTCCCTTTTGAAGCAAGCACATAATGAACACACACACAGTGTTCCGCGCCTTTCAGTTATGTAAGGGGACAGCCACTGCCTCTGTGGGATTCCTGCTCTGTGATGAGAAGCAGGACAGACAGGAATGTTACCGTGTTGGGAGTCCCTGCTGTGCTGCCAGCATAGAGGGAGGAGGGTCTCTAACTCGAAGGAGGAGGTTCTTGGTGGTGGCACTTCCATCCTAACTTTGCTCCCTCTGCCCCAGGATCTGGCCTCACCTTGTAAAAGTTTTTTATCATCTCTAAAATTCGGAAGATGTGCGGAAGCAGCAGATCTCACGGCCAGCTGTGTATCAGTTAGAGGCATTTGCACCTGGGAGGCCCGGAGGCCGGGGGGTGGGGGCACCTGTGGTTTCGGTCTGTGTCTGGGAGCCGCTGAGCGAGGCTGCAGGTGTGTGAGCGCTCTTTCTAGCTTTGCACTGAATGCTCATCTTAGTGTGGGTACTAGTGTGCGACAACTTGTGTAACTGTCCTCCCGCCTGAGATACAAGTGTGTCTCTGATTTTTTTTTTTTTTAACTTTTTATTTACTGGTTTGAGAGAGAGCCATCAATCCATTGTTTTACTTACCTATGCATTCACTGGTTGATTCTTCTATGTGCGCTGACTGGGGATAGAACCTGCAACCCTGGCATATTCGGCTGACACTCTTAACCAACTGAGCTACCCACCCAGGGTTTAATTTTATTTTTAAACCCCCCTACCCCCAAGCCTCCACCTGCTCTTGTTGCAGAAAAGTAGGTGATACGCTTGCTGTAAATTGTTCGAGAATTTTGAGGCTCAGTCCAGAAGGTGGGACCTGCTGCCCATGGCCTCGTCGCCGTTCTGCCTCATGCGGAGGCTTTCTGGGATTCGGCGATGCTTTGCTGATGCCAGCCCTGCCATCACCACGTGGCACTCCACACGGGCTCTAAGGTTGCTGGTTGTCTTTTAGTTCCTGTGGGTATAGTATACTCAGTCAGGACCTGAGCCACAGGCAAACCCCAGCCTTTCCCATAAGCCCCTGGGCCCTGGTGTTAAACAGAACTCACCGGCCTAGATCCCCCACCTTCCCAGGGAGACTTTGGAACCCTCGATAACCTATCCGACCAGTAGAGGTTCAATGTCATCCTGTTTGATTTCCCTAACTTTTTATTTTACAGAGAAAGGACTGGGATTGTCACCTCTTGTTTTCTCCTTCTTGGTTTCTTATGCAAATCGAGTCCTGGCGTTATGCTAGCCCTAGCCGGCCGGCCAGGTGGTTAGGAATGCAGTCTCTGTAGAGTCAGCCCCCCAGTGGCCTGGACAAGCCTCCTTTATTTAACCCTTAAAGCCTCAAAATGGGAGAAAGAATAGTGCCAAATCTAGGGTTATGGTGAAAATTAAATGAGCTATTAGATGACTAGCACTTAGACCAACGCCTAGGCACAGCAGCAGCACTCCTTAGGTCTCGAAAGAGGTCTGCACAGCCCTTCGCAGGCCAGTAAGTGCCCGGCAGCCCTTAACTGAGACCCATCTTCGTGGTGTCATGATTGCTTCGAGACTGACGGACTCCAGCAGATCCCGCCAACAATGTTAATCCCTGTCACCCCAGACCTGTGTCGGACGCATCCCGCGGTGCAGACGTTAAAGCTGCTTAGTGAACAGAATGTGTTTCAGACAACCCTGTGAGGACAGAAAACATGGAGGTAGAATACAACATTTTTTCAAAGCAATGACACAAAATAATGGTTGGCTCTATGTCAGAGAGCAGGAAATTTATCAAAAGGGTTTTATTTGAAGTTTCAAACTGTTTACCATGAAATATTAATGACAAATACTCCTTATTTGCTTCTGCATGCCAGGGACTACCATCCTAAGGGCTTTATATTTATTAACTGTTACCATTCCTGTATAGCAGAAGGAAAGAGAAGCTTAGAGAGGTATTTTTGCCTGAAACTACACAATTAACAAGCGGTGGCTTAAACAGGACTTGGCAGTCTGATCCCAGAGCTCAGAATGCCAGCCGTTCACTTGAGACAGCTCCCACTTCATCGTCACCCTGGACATGGATTCATTTTACATGCTTTTAAATCAAAATGAAGGACAGTTTTGCTTTAAAATGGAAGAAGAAATGAGTAATTAATTACTTAATAGGTTGGGAATTAGGTTGAATATGTTGAGTCCACAATTTGGCTCTGATAGCTAAGTTCATGAAGCTTAATAGCTGCCCAAGTAATCTTCGTAACGTGAAGCTCATTGTTTTCAGTTGGTGTATCCTCATTATTCGCTCTGCAATAAACATTCTCTCTTCTTTTTCACTATAAGAGCTACATCATTTTTCAGTTTCCACAAGCTGGATTCAAGTAGATCCCCAAAGTCCTTTAACATCAGTGACTGTTGGTGTACAAATGGTCGAAGCATTTGATCATCTTCCTAAAAAAAAATCAGCAAGAGGGAAAATATGATAGTAGTAGACTTACATCATTAAAGTAAAAATATGTGAGTAGGGTGCCCAGTAAATTCTCCCTTTGGGCCAGGAAGCTGCATTTGAGAGTTGCCAGCAGAGACAATAAGCTGCCTGGGTGCGTGTTCAGTTTCAAGAAGGCCCCCTGAATGGCCCTTTAGTTACTACCAACAGGAAAAATTAGTGAGGTAATTCAAGCATTTGAGATTGGAATGGTAGACAGGTGGGCAAACGTAGGTTTACAGTTGTGAGTGTGCAAAACAGTTTATTCTCGTATTATTTATTGTGTTATTTCCCAGGTGAACAACTGTAAGCCTACTTTTGCCCACCCCCTAAGCTCTTTGGACACGCGGAGTGGAGAGTCTCCTGCTGGCTCACACATTAGGGTGTGGCGTTTGGGCCTCTTAGGGAAGGTAGTGTGAAGGCCAGCTGGGCACCTATGTAAGGGTTTCTGCCAAGTTTTTCAGCTGGTCCCTCATCTGAGCCACACAACGGAAAATGATTTGAGTGACTGTTTTCTCAGTTCTCCCAAATATGCTATATAACTAATAACATTCTAAATATGTCAGAAAAACTGATTCATTACATCCCCTGGGTGCCTCAGTGAGGTGGTTTGTGGCAGAACCATCTAGAGGGCTTGTTAGAGCACAGATTCCAGGCCCCACACCCAGAGGTTCTGATTCTACTGAACCTAGGAGTCAGGAGTGGGGCCCTGGAATTTGCAAGACCCTGGATGATGCTGAAGCTGCTAGTGGGGACCACACTTCGAGAGCCTCTGCTGCGGGGCATTAGGGCTGCACTCTGCAGAAGTGAGTTTGCTCTGTGAGGAGCTGAGTTGCAGGCTTCCAGGGTAGATGCATCCTCGACTTGCATTAGGTAACCGCAGGCAATTCTTTAGGTGGTTCACTAATTGATGCTCCTTCTAGCAGCGCATGAGAGTTTCCGTCGTTGCTTCATTTCTTCCCCCAAACTTGGTATTTTCAGACTTTAATTTTTGCTACTATGGTGGGTTTATAATAGTATTGCATTGTAGTTTCAATTAGTATTCCCCAGATTATTAATGAGGTTAATTAATCACTTTTTCATGTATTTATTGACCTTTTTGATTTCCCCTTTTGTGACGTTCCAGTTCAAGTCGTTTGAGGTTTTTTTTTTTTAAGTTGGGTTATCTTTTCTGGTTTGTGGTTCTTTATTTTGGGTATTCATTCACTATGTGTTAAATGTGTTGCAAATAACTGTTCCTGTCCCTCTTGACTTCATTTTAGTATCTGGACCAAACTTCACAGTTTTAATGTAGGTGAGTCTTTTTCCTTAAAGCTGGGTCTTTTTTTGTGTCTTGTTTGAGAAATTCTATTCCACTGTGAAGTCATGGAGAGTCTCCTCAGTCAACTTCCAAAGAGCATTAGGGTTTTACCTTTCACATTTAGGTCTGTAATTCTTACCAAAATTGATTTCTGAGATTAGTTTTAGGTAAGATTACAATTTTATTTTTCCTTGTACATAGTCTTAATCCTTCTGGCACCGCTTATTGAAAAGCCCTCCTTGCCCCTCACCTGTGGTTCCACCTCGACTGTATGCAGCGTATACCATGTCTCTGGTCCCGAGTGAATCTATTCCTGGGCCTCCTGTTCTTTTCCTTTGGTGCTCTTATCTCTAGCTGGGCCACACCTTGCTGTTCTGTAGTAGTAGTGAAAGAAGCCTAGGTATCAGGTAGGGCAAGTCTTTCTGCCTTGTTTCTGGGACTTGGTCGTGGCTTGGTTTGTCTTTGCTTTTCCATCTAGATCACTATCAGCTTCCATTACATTTTATTGGAATTCCAGTGAGTCTTGGGCAGACTCGGCAAATATTTAATAGCATATTTCTCTGTCTATTTAGATCTTTAATTTCTCTCAAACAAGTTTTAAAATTTTCTGCATAGAAGTAGGTGGTTTTATAGGAGTACATAGGCCTAAGTACAGCAACGTCCTCAAATAATGTCAATTCATTCAATGTTATTTCATTATAATGTTAAAGTTCCTATAGTGAGGTGCTATAGGAACTTAGCTCTTGGATTTGAGTTGTTTCAAGTCACAGAACTTATCAACAATGTTCAGTGAGGACTTACTGTACTGCCTATATTTGATGTGATTATAAATGGTATCTTTTTTTAAAATTTAAATTTTTTTTTTAGAGAGAGGGAAAGGGAGGGAGAAAGGGATAGAAACATCAGTGTGTGGTTGCCTCTTGCATGCCCCTTACCGGGGACCTGGCCCACAACTCACGCATGTGCCCTGACTAGGAATCAAACCCGACAACCCTTTGGTTCACAGTCCGGCACTCAATCCACTGAGCCACACCAGCCAGGGCTAAATGGTATCGTTTATAAAAATGTTTTCTCCTTGGTGCTTTTGTATTCTAACAGTTAATTTTTTAAATATTGGTTTTTGTGTCCAGAAACTTTGTAATTCTGTTTATCTATAAATACTTTGGATTTTTTGTTTACATAAATATGTCTTTTGGGAATAACAACAGGCAGCTGGTGTAGTGGAAGAGTAGAGACAGTGGAGCAACCCTGGCTGGGTCGGGAGGTCGGCACTGCTGCTTACTAGTTGTGCATCCCTGCACCTCTCTGTGTCTTAGCGCCATCAACTCTAAAATAAGACTCATAACAGTTCCTACCTTATGGGGTTGTTGTGAGAATTGAGTCAGTAACTGTAACGCATGAAGTATTGTATAAATGTATGCTTCTGTCGGTATTGCTTTTTTCCCTTTCCAGTCTTCATACCTAAAATTTCACACCTTGCCGCACCAGGTAGAACCTAAAGGACAACATCCACACAGGTGAAGGTGGCTGGCATCCCTGCCTTCTTCCTGAGGGGGAGGGCAGAGCTTCCAGTGAGTCACCACTGAGCATTATGCTTGCTAAGTGTTTGTTTAAGATAGCCTTTATCAGATTAAGGAGTGTTCACTGTACGCCTGGTGTGCTTAGAGTAGAAGGAACCATGATTTTTCGCCTCTAATATCTAAATGTGATGAGTTATATGGCTCCCGGGACTCCGGGCACTTACAGGAGGCTTACAGCGTCTCAGCTGGAGGAGCTGCCCTCGCGCCGTGCTCATGCTTTGGTAGAACACCTTGAGGGCTTTGGCGAGTTCTCTGTCACAGCCGGCCCGCCGCGCGCACATTCGAGTCACCTCTGGGGCTGCTGGCAGTTGCGCTGCCATCCCAGCAGGCTTCAGGGCATCAGAAGGCTTCTGTGCTGAGGAAGCAAGGAATGACAGCATTTATCTATTCACGCACATATTTGTCCAGGTGGCATTCTGCCCATCGGCATTTATCAGGCACCAATTTGGACTGCCTTTTTTTTTGTGAAACAAAATGTGGATTAATTGATTCAAAAGCTCATTTCTGAGAAAGACACACACACATCGAAATATAGGCGTTTAGACAGAAGCCCAACCACCACGTCTCAGGCAGCCTCTCACCGTGTTGACTGGACCCAGTTTTCTCAAGGGATTCCCGGAGAACCACGTTTTCCTCTCTCAGGGCTCTGTTGACCTTTCTGAGCAGGTCCGTCTCCTGTTCTAACTTGAGCAGCTTCAGGTAAAGTTCCGATATCTGGTTGGATGGAGTCTACAAAAAACATGTCACATGAGCGTTTTCCTGGGCTATCTGCATGTCCTCTGAGACTGGCAGTTTTCACCACCACATGGGTCCTGGCGGGGGGCGGGGGGCGGAGAGCAGGATTTAGCCCCTCTGGGCGCAGGAGTGAACCCAGCTCACGTTTGTTAAGGTGAAGAAATGTTGCAGATCCCAAGCACCGTCATGTGAGATTTTTGAGTCGCCTGTGACACCCACTCTAATGGCACATAAATGTACACACCTGGCTCAGAGTCGTCAGAGTAGAAATGTTCTTGGTGTCCACCATGACGTGGCCTTCACCTGTGACCAAGAGGTCCTGCCGAGAGCAGCTCAGTTCGGCACAGCCCTCTGTAGTGTGGGGGAGACACCATCGAGGAAAGAGCGTCTTGCTTGTCAGCCCCAGGGTTGTGTGAGGAGACATCACACCACGTCACCACCTGGGGACTAGGACCCAGGGCCCCGGGGGAAGATAGGTCGTGGCCACTGCTGTGCAGACCCTGATTCTACCCCTCCCTCCCCCACCTCCCCACAGCCTTGGATACCTGATTCTAGAATGCCCCGTGCAGGAGAGGAAGTAAACTTGGTACCTTGAAGACCCCATAGGTCAACAATGAGAGCGTTTGTCTGTAAATAACTCAGGAACTCCTGAGATGTGTTTAGGGCTGCAAAGTGGACAGACTCTTCGATTTGGGGATTCACAATTTTCCATACAGGCTTGGTGTATAAAGTGTGTGGAAGATCATAAATTCTGTACCTGAGAAAAGAACATAAAATGTTAAGACCAGAAGGGAAACACTAGCAAAGAAAAGGGCCTGGTGAGCCCAGGATTTACAGCCTGCATCACCTAACTGACCCATAACTTAGTCCTGATTGTCACCTCCAACTCCGAGCCACTCAACACGAACATCATCGCTACGCATGTAACATCAAATGTGGAACAAAAAAGAAAAAGGATTTTGATAAATACTTTCTACTTAGGTAATCCAGAGTTGAAATTCATTTTCCATTTGAGGTGGTGGTTTGGTTTTCTTCAGTCTCCCTTTCTTTATTGCTTTATCTTTTAATAATACCCTTTTAGCCTACTTAGTTTAAGCAGATCTGGTACTTCTGACATATTGTAACATAGTCCTTTTGTTTCCAAGTAAAAAACAAAACAACCATTCTACTTAGATAATATAATTTTACTGGATACTCTTTCTGATAATGAAAATTTCTGACTGCCATTTCAATCACTCAGAAGGGTCAGTACCCATTGATCACCATCCCTCAGCCTGGAGGGATGTGTGGCTTTTCTCTGTTACAGACGGGGGAATAGTCATTTTGGGGTTGAGCAAGCAGAGAGACTGAAGAAAATTTCATGATAAACTCATTTTTTAAAAACGTGAGGGAAGGCTCCCTCCCACAGGGCCCCCCAGCGGGCTGCCTGCACGCAGCTGCTCTGAGGGACGGCCAGTACCCCATCTGAATGCCCCGCTCTGCAGCTTCCTTCAGCCACTTGGCACCAAGGCACCGCACGATGCGGATCTGGAAATCCAACCTCTTGCCCAGCAGCTCCCGAGGGTCAATAACCACGTCCTCCTCACCGCATGCTCTAGAAACAGAAGAGGTGAACACCGATCACAGGTCAGCCTGGACCCAAGCAAGTTAGGGCTGCGATGTCAAAGGGAACTGCAGACTCCTTGAGAGATGGCCACATTCACTGAAGGGACAATAGGTATAGTGACCAGCTGTAGAACCCCTTCATTCAAGGGTCACTTAACAAGAGCCCGCTCTGTGGTGGTGCTTCAAGGTAAGATACGGCCCTTCTCAAGGAGGAAGCAGGGAGATAACAGCTTCTGCAATAGGCACCCAGGAGTGGGTGAAGGTCTAGGTAGGTCCCCAGTGGACAGAGGGGCTGCTGCCCCGGGAAGGCCAGGTGACTGCCCAGATGCAGCCTCTCCAGGTGTCACTTTCTTGCTGAACTCGTCAGGGTCAACCCCAGGCCCAGAAACCGATTTGGGCAGCTTTCCAACCGGGGTCCCTCCCACATCAACCACGCTCACAGCGCCTGACACCGATGAACTAGAACGCTCCCTTATTGCTCCGCGACAGGAAATACTACAATCAGTCAGCCCAGAGGCCTGAGACCGTCAAATGACCAGAAAGCTGCTTAGAGTCCCAGTAAAGGCAGTGAGCTGATGGCCAGCTTGGCCTCTGCGTCACAGGCCCTTGTGATTCACTCGCTCCCTCCTTGAGCCCGCTGCCTCTCCACAAAGACAGAAGGGTCGCACTGGGTGGGCGAGGACCCTGGCACCCAGACCACTTTAACTTCTATAAAAACCGCCTCAATTGCCTGTGGCCTAAAGAGAGGAAACAGATGAGACGCCCTGAGAGATGGGTGTGGGTCCTGGAGCAGGGATCCCGCAAAGCCCCTGCCAGCAGAGAGGGTTGGTTACAGCATCGAATGAGGCCACGCAAGGAAACAAAGACACCAGAGTCCCTCCCTTGAGAAAGGAACAAAGCAGTGATCCGAGCCTGTGTCACGGGTGGAAAGGGGCGAGCTCGCTGCTCTGGCTCGTGGCCCCAGCCAGCGGAGCTGTGGGGGCGGGGCCTTCCATGTGGGGAAGGGCACACTGCCCGTGGGGGGGTGCCAGGCCTCACAGGCGTTGCCGCACTTGGCTGCCAGTCTGAGGGCCCGTGACAGGGAGCCAGCCCAGGCCTTTGGTTCCTATCCAGAATCCCCCTCCTACTCCTGCCTCTTCTCAGGGTGCCTTCCTCATGCTGTGGTCCCCCAGGGCAGTGGTGAGTGGCTTGAATGCTGCCAGGCATGGATTTGCAACATCCCAGGTCAGCCAATTTGGCTGTCGTGGCAAAGAACAGATTCGATGAGCTCAATTCATAAATGAACGCGCTCGTTTGTTTGTCCTGATAAATGACCTCTTTGGGGTACCAAGTTGACCGCCCCACCCGGCAGGAGCACTCAGTCTTGCTTGAGTTTTCCCCAAGCGGCAGACCCAGAATGAGGCAAGAGGAAGGAGGAGATACCCACTGTCCTGCTGGGGAGCAGGGGGCCACGTGGACGTGCAGCGCCGCCGCCTCCAGCCCATCGTCGTCCAGAAACTCCACCTGCTCCTCGAGCCCCAGGCCATAGGCCAGCGGCTGGAGCCACACGTGGGCCGAGCCCAGGTGGACGGCCTCAACAGGGTCCCAGAAAGGGTCGTCCTCCTGTGCCACGTGGCTGTCTTCTCCATCTAGGAAGCGCTGGTAAAGTTCCTCCATTAGGAATTTCCTGTTGATGAACTTGGCTTTGGACCAAATCCACACCTGGAAACACAGAGGTAGGTCGCCAGCATTTGATTCCACTCGCTGCTCTAATGATTCGTTTCTGTGATTCTGTGATTCTTCCCAGTGTACTCTCTCTGATGGGCTGGGCTTTGGGGACCCAAGACCACACAACACTGTCACCAAACTTAGCTTTGGTGGGGTCCTTCAAGAGCCCCACACTCACCCCGACCTGTTGCCGGAGCCCCAGAAACAACCGGGAGGAGGTGATGGGGTCAGCTCTCCTGGGGAAGTGCAGGTGCTTGAGGAACACAGAAGGATGGCCCTCAGAGAAGTCCTCCTCACCTTACCTGGCGAAGGGGCACTCTGCTTGCTTATTCACTGACCTTACACCAGGGAACTCAGCTTGCACTGCCCAGCAGGCCCAGTGCGGTCACAGGGGCCATGAGAGTAGAGAGGGAGGCAGAGAAGAGGGTCGGAGGAGGAGCGACACGGGTCAGAGAGGTGGGGGAAGCGGCCCCAGGCCAGGCGTGCTGGCAGCTTCTAGAGGCTTGAAAGACAAGGAGACAGATTCTCCCCCGAGTCTCCAGAGAGCAAAGAATCCGGGCCAACATCCTGCTTTCAACCCCGTAAGATCTTGCTGGGCCTCTAACCTGCAGGGCTGTGTGCGCTGGCCCTGTGAGCAGAGGATCCAGGACAACAGCCTGCCCTCTCTGTCCCTGCCCCAGGTGAGGGACAGGGCCTGTTTCAGCACTGGCTGCTGAGAGAGGGGACAAAAGCATAAGCCTCAGGGTAAGGGATTCCAGTTGGATAGGAAATGACCATAAATGTCACATCAGAAGCGGTTTCCAGGCAAAACGAGCAATTCCTTCTCTGGGCAACTTGAAAAACAACAAAAAGTAGCAGGTAAGTCATTCTTTCAAGTGCTATGTGTCTCCACAAAACAGGCCCCCTCAGACCTCGCCAACTCTGTTTCTCGCGAGTGAAGTGGGGAGCACAGGGCTGTCCTGCCAGGGGCACCATGAAGGCGGAACGAGAGCCCAGCTGGGAACAGCGCAACAGGGATTCCGGCCGCGGCGGGTGTTTGCAGGCAAGGGCACTGAGACGGTGGCTCCAGATGCTGAAATCAGGCCACTGCCCCATGACTTGTGCTATTGGGCCTCAGCCCTGTGACAGGTGAAACTGATGTTGTCCTTGGCAGGTCAGCCAGGCCCGGCGGCGCGGGCAGGGACACTTGTGCTGGAGGACCCGAGGCCTGGCGCACACTCCCTGGCTGGCAGTGTGTGCCCGCAGCCGCTGGGCAGGGACTGCCCCACAGCAACTTCGGGCTGGCAGCACTTCCAGTGTAGAACAGCCTCTGCAGCCCTCACGCGGCCCCGGCTTGCTCCTGAACTTGCCCGTAACGCGTGACTGTCAGTCACATGAAGCTGCCTGCAGACGATGCTGTCTCCTCCCAGGAGCTGTGCTGGCATCCTCGGTCTACGTGGTCGGAGGGTGAATGTGTTCAGGACCCACCACCAGCAGTGCTACTCATGTGCACCTGGGACCCACCTGCGTTCCACCAGGCTTGTCTTCTACACATATACACACAATGTCCCTAGAAAATACACGAAGGTACTACCGGGCTTTCAGAGGACACCTGAGGAAGGTGGGGCTTCATCTGAGGGAAGGTCACTGGTACTTTTAAAAGGTAAAAATGGACAACCTTGAAGATGACAGATCAGAAAAATTAACCTCAAGAGGAACTCCCGGGGCCGTGGGGGAGTTCTAGCATGAGAACTGCACTGGGAGCGTGAGGGGAGCCAGCGTCAAATGCGCTGCCACAGACCAAAGGTGTGTGTCCCCACAATTCTGTGTTCACACTTAACCCCCAGTGTGAGGGTGTTAGGAGGTGGGGCCTTTGGGAGGGGATGAGGTCGTGAGGGTGGGGCCCCCGTGAATGGGATAAGTGTCCTTGTAAAAGAGGCCTCAGGGGACTCCCCGGCCCCTTCCACCACATGAGGACACAGCGAGGAGACGGCTGTCTATGAACTAAGAAGAAGGTTCTCAGCAGACACCGGGCCAGCTGGCACTTTGATCTTGGACCTAGCCCCCAGACCTGTGAGAGATGTGTGTTGTTTGGGCCACTTGGTCTTTGGTGTTTGCTAGAGGAGCCTGAATGGATTAAGATGCGTCTGCCCCTTCCTCTGTCCCAGCAAATGTAAAGGAGGCCCCCTTGGCCACTGATCAGAGGAGAGGAAATAGGCAAAGTCTCAGAAGCGTGGACTCAGTGTGGCCCTCACTCAGGCCACTCCATGGGTGCTCACGGCCGGGAGGCCAGTGAAACTCCAGCGGGGACCCTGGTAGCCCCCGTGCCTGGCAGACAAGCACAAGCCCCTTGAACAGGACAGTAAGTACCCACGTATTCACTATCTAACATGAGCATACACATTTATGGTCTTTGTGTTATATTTCACAGCCTTAGAAAGTTTTTAGAAGTCGATCTTGGTCTAGAAAATTCTGGCATTAGGGCAATAAGCAGAAAAGTTAAACCCAGAGACGTCTCAGGAGAGCAAATCATCCAGTGACTGAGAAGTCCCCAGCTGCGGCCAGCCCCTCCAGGGGCACATTTGCTACCAGACTCGCTGCTAAGGAGGGGCAAGTGCACTGAGGACTTGGGAGGGAGCAGCCCACCCAGAGGTCGCCTGAGAACGAGGGGCACATCCTCTGAAGGGGGGCTAAGGAGCGAGCATTCAGCTAGCGGCTGCTCCGAACACGTCCCTCACAGAAGGGACACCAGGAGATAGGCCCACGCTTCTCCGCCAGGCAGAGGGAGAGGAAAACGGGCCCGCCGTCCCCAAAAAGGCAGGGGACTGACCAGATCAGCCAGCAGAGCTGTGAGACAGCCTTTTCTGGGTTCTTACTGCAAGTGTGCGTTTCCCCGTTGCTTCCAAATGGCAGGTCTTGCCCACGTGGACACACACGTGTACATACATACTCACATGTAAGTGGACACTATTACCAGTCAGAGGAACTTTCGGGCTCACTCCTGCTACTACAGCCTTTGAGTCGTGTTAAAACAGACAGGGCTCAACGCTGCTGGTTAGGAGAGATCCCAGGACTGGGCACTGAGTGGGAGTGGGGCCCCGGGGGGCAGGCTCGGAGCAGGGTTCTCATCTCCCAAGAATCTCCCCCAGAGTCCCACCCCTTCACTGGGTCTCCACAGGCTGTGGCTGGTAAAGCTGACCTTGTCCTCAGAAAGCCCTTGCGGAGGCCCATGCCCACCCCTGGAGGCAGCCTCACCGCGTGAGTCCTCTGGTTGGTCACCTTCACCATGACCTCTTTCTGAAGGTCATAGCCCCTGGAATCTGATGACGCCAAGTTCTTCACTTTCAATTCCATTTTAAGTCCCTGGTAAGAGAAACAGTTCTTACTAAATAACCCTTCATTTACCAGGCTGTGGCATCTTTTCCATTTGCTTTTCATTTTCTGCACACGCAGCCTTTCTGAAAGAAGATGGTCCAACTCTTGCTTCTCGCAATTGCCACCAAGATGCATGACAAAACACTAGAATTCCTCACCAAAATCCCAGTGCAGGCCTTACTGAAGCGATTACATTTCTGCCAAAATCCTGGTGCAGGCCTTACAGAAGCAATTATATTCCTGATGAGTTTCCTGAGGGCTGGGACCCTGTGTCCTGGGGAGCTGACCCCAGCCCAGGCCTTCCCTGCAGCTCAGGCGCCCTCAGGAGGCAGGACCATCTGGGTGGGGCGGTTACGGCGAGCACGCGTTAGCCTGCCGTCCTGCTGGCGTAGTGGCCGGGGCTGGCCAGTGGCAAAAGGAACGACACTAGGGGCTGGGGATGGGAGGCCTGGGTGTTGGCCTCGAGCCTGTCCCCAGTCCACTGGGGGCCTTGGCCACAGCCCCTCACCCCTCCGGGCCCGTGTGTCATCACCTGCCCCGTGCAGCCAGGTCAGGGCAGTGGGAGTGAGGGGCTTGAACCTGTTCTCTGAGGTCCTTTCTGGAGCTGGTGTGGCTCTTTCCTGCCTCTTACCTTCCTCAGCTCTTCACTCATTTGATTTGCTTCCGCGACCAGTGGCATCAGCTTGACATAGTCCTGGAACACAGCCAGGACACTGGGGCCTGCTTGCCTGTCTCCACCGTCCCTGGCCCCTGGGAGTGAAGCAGAGCACAAGTCGGGGCCGGTTTGTGTTCTGGGATACTTGTCGGCCGTGAGGAAACTGATAGCCTCGTCAGCTTATTTGGTCGCTCATTTAATTGTTCATCAAATATCTACATCTTTAAATTACAAGCATGTGACTTAAAAAAAAAAACAACAGTAACGCGGGGAAAGCAGCACTGCCTGGCTTTCACTTAGGTAGTGGCTCATCTGGACCCATGCATGCGGGCGGCGTGGTGACAGGGGACCCCCTGCCTCCCACCCCATTCCTGTTGCAGGGTCCTTGACCCAAGGCGGCTCTGGACGGTCCAGGGAGGACAGGTTGAGCAGGCTGGCTAGAAGGACGGGCTGGGGGTCTGTCCCCGAGCTGCCTGTTCTTACTGCTGTTCTACGTGGGGAGGCCTGGCGGGGCACAGAGGCTGTGGGAGAAGCAATGCCCCGCCAGGCCCAACTTGGCGCTGCCTTTGTCTGCAAGCCTCAGCTCTTTAGGGTCTCCCTGGCCGGGCTTCACGCTGTGCGCTTGGCCCTGAGGTCTGACTCCCCAGAACCACCCGCCAGCTGCCTTGGCGAGGACCCATGGTCCTCACTGGGTGCTGAGTGCCATTAGCCCAGGGTCTAGGGCCTATTCAGCCTCCTCGCCCTGGGCCGGCAGCAGGTGTGCAGTGGAGCCTGTGAATAACTGAATGGATAGATGGAGTATCAGGCTTGGCACTGCTCAGTCTGATTTTGTTTATGGTCAGGAACGTCAAGAGAAAGCAAGAAGATGCACTTCAAATCAATCTATTTTGTTAAAATTCTGAGGTACAAGAAGCTCCATGTAGGGGGAAGGGAGGAACTGTTCCGCACCGATGAGGGCGCATCCCGCCGCGCTCTGCCCACGGGCAGGCCCAGGCCGGGCCGGTGTGCCTGGGGAAAGCGTGTGCTGGCGCAGCCCAGGGGGCGGGGAGGGCGGGCCTCGGATCCTCCCTCAGAGCTGCGGGCAGAGCTGGCAGAGCTCCGAGCACCCTCGCGTGTGAGGCGTCCCAGAGCACCGGTGGGGGGTAGGGGATGGGAGGCGATCGGGGCGTATTTGACTTGAAAACCTGGGGCTGTAATTTCTTCTAGGCCAGGCCTGGATGTCCATCACCCTCTCTCCAGCCCAGAGCAGGCTCCCGGCCAGCATCTCTGGCTGTTGGGCCACAGCTTCTGGGGGCCCCAGAGGCCCTGGGTGGGTCCAGGAGGCGAGCCAGGGCTTCCTGGCCAAGGCGCCATGGGAAAGGTGCCTGTGAGGGAGTCGCACGACAACCACAGGAGAAAGGTTTCACATGTAGAGAGAATGTCACGAAAAGTCATCCAAAACAGGGAAATGAGGCGAAAGAATAACCTTTAAATGTCACAGCAGAGCCTTGTGTGAGGAGTCCCTAACTGCCCCAGGGAAGGCAGCGCTGCATAGTTAGTACCTACCATTGGTTAGGGCCTGGGCTCTGAGCTGTCAGATATCAATTTACAGAAGATCGGCGCATTAAAATGACTTTTGTCCCGTGGAATATTACTGCCCTGAAGCCATTCACTAGCTTCATCTGATTTGCAGTCTCCCTTCAGCATCCTCCTCTCTGCGTGCTCTACAGACCACCCTCCTCCCTGTTCCCGTGAACCGTCTTCAGCCCCAGTCATGAGAGAAACAACTTAAATGACTGAAGTCTTTGATATGTGCTCACTCTATACTTGTACGGAAATCATATCTAATTTTCTGAACAGTGGGGTTTGGCACAAAAGATCACACTAAGCAAAGCAGGGGAGCACACGGTGAGAGCAGCTGCTTTCACGTCAGCCTGTGGAACATGCTGGGAGTTGGGGCGCAGGGCCGCTCACCGAGCTTGTCCACGCTCACTCCCTCTGCGGCTGCTCTCTCCAGCTGGAAAAAGTCATAATCGAAGCGGCTCAAGTCCTCACCGCCTCGCTCTGAAGGAAACCCGACATAGAGGTAGGCGCTGTTGGATCCCAAAATGACGCGGTCCTAAGGAGGGGAGGGTCAGCTCAGAGGGAGGATGCTGACCTCACGCGATCCTCGCCCTGGAGGGCCACCCTGGAGGGCTGAGGTCAGCCTGCTCCAGGAGGGCCCCCAGCTGGGGGAGGAGCCCAGTGATGAGGAAGAGGGGTGGCGCCCGGCTGCTGTGTGCAGGCTTTGAGTTATTTCTTCCTTAATTCCAGATGGAGCACTCATCCTCTGTCAGACATGGGGAATCAGCGGGGCCCAAGGAGGCCCAACCTGTCCCCTCTGGGACTTGCAGACCAGGGAGGTAATACTCTGTGAGAGGTGCGTGAAGGAGAAGGCAGTGCTTCTGCAGAGCATGCAAGGGGGCCTGATTCACACTGAGGATTAGAGGACTCCTCCGAGGTGTACTGTTTAAGGTGGGACTTCTAGGGTGAGAAGTTTAGGGGAGGCAGCAAAAAACCGGGCCTGGGGTGTTTTGAGCAAACCAAGAGTGTGACCAGGGGAAGCGTGAGCAGAGCAGTGAGGCCGGAGGGGGCAGCTCAGCCAGGTGTCATAAAAGGGCAGCAGCCAGAGGGTTTCCAGAAGGGAGGGGCCTAACCCAGTTCGCTCATCTAAAAGGCCCCCTGGCTGCCATGTGGAGGATGGATGGGAAAGGGGGGCAGGCTGTGGGGAAGCTGCTGGAGGAGCCTGAGGTGCTGGGGACTTGGGCCAGGTGGCAGGTGGCGGGGAGGAGATGGAGAGAGCCCGATGCTGCACAGTGCCTCTCAAAGGCAGGCTTTAACAAATCTAAAATGCCATATAGTGTCAGAGTTGGGTGGTCACTTAATTTAGTTCACCCCTCTGTTTTATAGGGGAGACCCAGAGAAGAGAAGTGGCTTCCCAAGAACACATCACAAATTACCTTCAGAGCTCCCAACCATGCAGCTGTGACCACGTCATTGTTGTGCACGAGGTGGTGGCCCCTAGCCCTGCCCAGCCTCCCTCTAGCACCCTCCCTGGTCTGACTTAGAAAATCCTGTGGCCGGGCAGGGAAGTTCACCAAATGCTGCAGCTTCGTCTTGGTCGTGATGGGCACCCCGTTAACGACAACCTTGCATTTGCTGTGCGGAGTGACTGTCACTTTACCATCCAAATTTGTGAAGGAAGCGTGCTTATCTGAAATTCTAAAAAGACAGTAGTTTGTGTAAGTGACCAAAAGAATTACGATTTTAGTTAAGAGTTTAGGTTGTTTCTTCTCATTTGCACACTTAAGAAAAATCCCCCAGCTGCTGAAGTGTGGCTTCATGCCTTTGCGGGGCTGCTGTGGGAGGAGACGGGGGAGTGGGTACAGCGGGACCCTGTATACGGAGCTGGGAGACAACCGGGCAATTCTGACATTGAAGGACCCGTAATAACTTCAAGCTGATGGGTGCAAGGAGCTGGGAGACAGACGCAGAGGGCATGGCTATAGTCCTAAAAAACTCACCAGAGGGAGGGATTGAGTGGAAGGGAAATGATAACAGATGTTTCAGAAGAGATGCCTGGGAAGGTGACTAATATGAGCCTTGCACATAACAGGGAAGGTTAGACCTGAGTCTTTATTAGCAAGTCCAGACTTTGTATATTATAAGATCTGGGGCTAGATATTAGAGGGGTCAGATTAGCTGCCCCTGAATGTCAAGGAGTCTGCACTCCTTGGCTGTCATGGAAGGTTCTGGACGTTGAGATACATGTCTATCCATAGCTCTTGTTTGCTTGGGGCACAGGGATCCTGGGGGAGAGGAGTTCAGCTACTCACAGACCCGTGTGTTGGACCAGAGGTCCTCATAGGAATTGGTCCGGAGGGACGTGAGGGGAACCCCCAGGAAGAATCAGGAGAAAGGGCCTAGGGGCTGGTGCTGCAGGATGAGGCAGTGCCAACCCATCCTTCAGTCAGTGCTGACCCCCTATCCTCCAGGGCCCGCATGCTGTGGCTCCGGAGGGCTGAGGGGGCTTAGGTACGTGCGGAGGGTGGTGGTCAGGAAGGCCTCTCCCTGGAGGAACCGATCAAGCCTATTGGCAAGAAATGTGGGGGCAGCCCAGGACACCGTGGTCCCGAAGGAGGAGAGGGGGCCCAAGAGCAGAAGCCCCTCCAGAAAAGAAGCCACAGCAGTGGGAGGTACTCTGAGCTTATGTAACCGACCACAGGGGTCCCTGAGGGTATCCTTGGGGATGGTCACCTGTGAGTCAGGGCACACTGGTCCAGGCTGCAAGCACAGAGATCCAAGGATGCTTTTGCTTTTGGCAGTGACCACGGCAGACCTGCAGTGGGCCTGCCCTTTTAACCCTCTTCGTTTCCTGGCTGGGTCTACTACTGTCCAGTTGTGAAGAACTGTCACACAGAGTCTAGCAACTGACTCTCTTTTGTCCCAAGATCGGAGTCAAGGAAACAAAGTGCAGCAGGAGGGATTTCAGTGAGAGAGTGAGAAGGCCTTCCCGAACCGGGCCTCTGCCAGACCTGGAGAGGGCTGGGGGGGAAGGACTGGCGACCGCATGTTTTCGGTGGTCCCCAGGCTTTGCAGCCTGGCCTGACGGATGCTGGCTGAGTGTTGAGAACCCCTCTGGTCTGAGCGGGCACAGTCCTCTAAGGCTGAACAGAGACAGTTGGCATGAACTTACCCCAGACCTTGAAGAGTGATGGCATTTGAAGCAGCTCGACCGGCATCACATGAACCTGTGAAGAGTTAGCATAACTTACTTTCAGATTTTTTTCAGGATTTGACCTTAAGTTAATGCATCTGATGTTTGGGGAGTGCCATTTCCTCTCCAATAGGATCACGGGAAGAGATTTTCCCACTGGGGTTTTTAATCAGCGTGGTGCTTGGACTTACTTTACCTTTGCGTACTTTCTGACTTTGTGTGTCGGGTGGGGGTTCCTAAATTTTTAGACATCCCACCTTCTTCACGGGGATTCTGGAGGAAGACGCAGTTGAGCCTGGGCCTTAGGAGCCACACTGAAGCCTGGCCACAGGGCAGGTCCTGGTCTGTGAGGCGCTGCTTCTGCCCGGTGCTGAAGGTACCACCCAGACCCCCTGGGGGCTGGCTGCCTCCTCCCGCCACCCCCATCTGCAGGAACCCCCTTCTTCCTTGAGTGCTCATAGGGCTAGGGCGGGGAAAGCTGGGTGTTACTATAATTCTGATGTCACTTTCCAATGGATGAATGCATAAACAAAACATGGTACACACATACAGTGGAACATCATTCAGCCTTAAAAAGGAAGGAAGTTCTGGCACGTGCTACAACATGACTGGATCTGGAGGGTGTTATGCTGAGTAAAATAAGCCAGACACAAAAGGACAGATGCTGTAATATTCCACTTACCGGCAGAACCCGGAGGAGTCAGATTCACAGGGACAGAAAGAAGAGCGGTGGCCGCCAGGGGCCGAGGGGGGCGGAGAAACGGGAGTTAATGCTTAATGGGCCCAGGGTTTCAGTTCAAGAAGATGGGAAAGTTCTGGAGACGGATGGGGGTGGTGGCCGCACAGCCATGTGAACATGCTTGGTGCCCCTGAGCTACATCCCCAAAAGTGGCTAACACGGTCAGTGCTGTGTTATGGCTATTTTACCAAAATAAAAAGGGAAAGAAACGTGCTCTGGGCGCAGGACACAGGGGCAGGGCCAGGGTGCCCGGGGTCAGTACCAGCCTGAATGAAGTACTTGAGAACCCCCGTGAGCTGCGGGTCCTCGTTGACGTTGAGGAGATGAGGGAGTGTCTTCAGCATCTGCCGCTCCTGCAGGAGAAATGCAGAGGGTCCCCGTCACCAGGCAGGCCAGCACGCTCAAGAGAGCAACACGTCTTTCCTGTCCACTTCTCACCAAAGCCACCTGTCCGGGCATCCTGTGAAATCACCTGGCGAAGCAAACCGAGCGGAGGGAAGCCCAATGGGACTGGGGGCTTCCCTGAGCGCAGGGGTGAGACCCTCAGCAGGTGGCGGTCACAGGCCTGAGTCCCCTGGACAGGGCTGTTCCAAAGCATAGCCAGTGCCTGACTCTCTTCCCCTTCCCAGCTGCCCTCGCATTGTCCCCTCCACTTTGACTCCACCTCCGCCATTTCCTTCAGGCTCCTGGCGTCCCCAGCTGTCCTCCCTGGGAAATCCTTCCCCGGGCCTCCACTTAACCTGCTACCCACACCTCTTCCCCTCCAGTCCTGCTGGCCAGCTCAGATAAGCAGAGGTCGTGGCCAGGTGGCGTGTGGCCCTGACGTCTCCTGGTGACCTCAGGGCACACCCTTCTTTAGTGCAGCATCAATTGACTGGGTATTGTGGGTACGGAGGACTGATAGAGCTGGAATAAACTACGCAGGCACAAGGACAGCTTCTAAGCCTTGGAGTTCCCCTAAAGAGGAAAGAAGGTAAAAATCCTTCCCATTTTATAGTCCTGGCTGCTGTGAGCGCCCCATGCTGAGCCGATCGTCCCAGAACCCTCGGACCCACGCTTGACCTGGCCTCCCGAGGCCAACTCTCCCCCTCCCGCCGCCCCCACTCCACTGCCACCGCCAGAGGCTCGCAGGTGTGCTGGGCCTTGGGAGCCTTTCAGAGCCCAGACCGGTCCCCTCCCGCCACTCCCGAAGTGTTCCAAGTGTGGCCACGACTTTGGGAGTTGTTCCGAGCCTGTGGCTTTGGGGAGTAAGGTCACGGTGAGGGCGCGGTGTTGACAGGAGGCCAAGGGGGCATGTCCCTGACCCACGTGCGAAAGTCACACCGTGGCGCTTCTATGATCTGTGAGTGCCAGGGCAGATGGCGTGGTTCAGGGGTCCCAGAAGACAAGTCAGGCTCCTGAAACTCTCCCCACACTCTAATCGTCAGCAACCTTGGACTCCCACCCACAACCGCACTCGTCGGCACGCAGCAAGCCCTCTGCGCTGCCTTCCCTTTCGGGCCCTGCCCTCTTCGCCCCTAGAGCTGAAGAGATTATCACTGTTAGTCACACATTACACTGCACACCTCGCCCACTCACTGAAAATCACCCCACAGCTGCGCAGATGGAGGTGCGTGTCTGGCCCCGGGGCTCCCGGGCCGCAGCCTCGCGCAGGCCGCGAGGCTCACCTGGGCGATGGCCACGTGGTGCTGCCGCCATTCCTCCCGCGCCTGCGCCAGCCGGTGCGCCCAGGTGGGCTGCTGAGGCGGAGGCCCGCGCCCGGATTCCGCCGGCGGACGCGCGGGCTGCGCTGCGGGGAGGGAGGAGCTTGAGCAACAGGCTGAGGGAGGCGAGGCCACCCTAAGTCTCGCTCTCGGCGGGAACGCGAGATGCCCGGCGGGAGTCGGGGGCCGAGCTGCGCAGGCGTGTGAGGAAGACTTCGCTCGGTAAGTCCTGCGAAGCGCTGTCGCCTTTTAATTCGGAGAGCACTAGAGGAAGGAGGTCCTCGCGGGCGGAGGCGGGAAGCTCTGCGTTCAGTGTCTTACGTCTGCCGGCGTGTGGACGTGTTTCACTTAATACCCTGGTTGCGGGGAACCTCTCCACGGGCCGCGGGCAGAACGCGTTAGCCTGCGTGTTTCGCGGGGTTTGTGTCCGCGCTTGGGGACCGTGAACTAGAAGGACAAGCACGTGGAGGTTTGGGTGGCGCGGAGGTCTGTGACCTGGCGCAACCGTGCCTGCAGCGGGCTAGGCCCAGCTCGAATTTAGTAAGAGCTTTGCTGGGGCCGCAGTCTTAGTGAGTCAGGATGAGGGGACCCAGGGGTGTGCGGGGTTGCGGGGGGCGACCTGCCCTCTGAGCTGGTGTGGAAGCAGCGTAGGGTGTGGGGGGCGGGGAATGCCCGCGCGTGCAGGACTGTGTTGGGTCATTGGTCGGTGGCACTGCCACCACCAGAGTCCCTGTGGTGTGAGGGAGCCCCGCCGGGGGCGGGGGGGGCGGGGAACGGGCTAGGCCCCGAGGGCGGGACGGTGACTGTGGGCCTGAGCGCTGGGCGCGAGAGGTGTTAGACTTTCCGGAGCACTGTTGCGATGCTGAATGCTTTTTACCAGTTTTACTTTATTTTCCATTTTGCCTTTTTACCTATCTTACTCAATCATTAAGGGGCACAAGGTTATATGCACCCCCGAACCTCCTTCAAAATGGAAGCCGGGGCCGTAACCCACGGCGGTGCTTCCTGCTAATTGCCCAGCGGCAGCAGCTGGGCCCTCGGGGCGGACGGCTGCCTGCACGAAGTGGCTCCGCTGCGCCACCGCGGGGGCGGCGTTCCTGGGGGGCGGGGGGCGTTGCTGCGAAAGCTTCTTGAGCTTCACACATCACCTGCCGCATCACAGAACGTGAGCCCGTCGAACAACGATCGTGACGTGACCTCGGTCCCGCGGTGGCGAGGATAGGTAGTCCCAGTGGAAACAGTGGACTCAAATATGGCAATAAAATGGATGAAAATGATCATTTTAAAGGGGAGGAACGTAATTTCTTACAACTGCATGTGAATCTACATCTATCTCGAAATGGTTTTTGTTTTTCAAAGTCAGGGCCAGAATGTTCTGGACAAGGCCCCTGGGGCGCTCCGGCTGCTGGCGTGGACTCAGTGTACCTGCCATGCCACAGTTGCCGCCTCCGAGCAGCAGTTTGCTGTGCTCCGCCCTCGACTCTCTCGGCAGGGTCGCGGTGTTGACCACAGCTTTGTTCCGGACCTTTTTAGCCCTTTTGGATGCAAGCAGGACACACGCTTAGGCCCTGGACCCCTGTGCACTGGGCATGCGCTGATCTCAAGGGTCCAGTGGGAGCCTTTCACCCCCAACTGGCTGCAGATTCCCCACTGTTTGGCAGCAGGAAACGGCAGGGAGATAGAGCTCACCGCCTAAAGTGTGGCACCCATGCATCCTCCGTGGATGTGCGCTCAGGGTTCCACCCCCACCCAGAGCTGGAGTGGCAGAATCATAGGCCCAGGAGCGTCCTGCGTCCCCCATTCTATTTCCTCTTGTTTCATTTCCTCCCACTCTTTTCTCAGGAATCTTTTTGCTCTGCCTTCTTCTCCCAGTTCCCTTTCCAAAATGCCAGTCCACTAAGGGCGTTGGAAGAAGTTGCCTGATTTAGAACTTAGAACCATATGGGTAATAAAAATATACCTTTCAGCATATCTTAATGTTGATAAAGTCTCCTCATAGCAGATGTCAGCTGGACTGATGGCTGCAATCTGTAAAAAAAAAAAAAAAAAAATGCCTTTCAGGTTTTGTTGTTTTATGTAGGGGCTTATTTTTATTGTTGATCTATTGTAACATCCGTAGGACATCTTGTAATTTACAGTATTGTCCAAGCTTTGCAACTCAGAAAGCCGAGGCTTAGAGAAAAGCAATGTGCCAAGGGTCCCCCAGATAATGACTGGCGGAACTGGGGCTTAAACCAGCTGATTAACTTGCACACCTGTGCCGTGGACCCCTCACTCCAGTGCCCGTGGCACTGGGTCCCCAGCAGACCTGCGCAAGGTTTAAATGACAGTTGAATGTTAGCATTATGGAGACCAGTAAAAGTCGCTCATGACCAGGTAGCCACGCGGAGGGCTTCATGTCTGGCTATTAACTTTGCATTCATTGTTCTAGAATTCAAATGAGAACACACTTTTTGAGAAACTGGAGGTGAGCAGGGTCACTGAGGGTGAACAGGGGAGATGTGACTGTCATATCCTGTGACATGTCATCACGTGGTGGCCTGCCACCTGTGGCCTGGAGGCCCTGATCCAGAGTATGTGAGCTGGGCGAAGACTCCTTTGTTTAGCTTTGCAGCCATTGTAAAAAGCTCATGCGTTTACCCACCTCATTTAATCACGACAGCAGTGCAGGTGCTGCTTGACCTACGATGGGGTGGCAGCCTGATAAACCCACTGAAAGCTGAAGGTGCACCTAGTACACCCAGCCTCCTGAACATCACAGCGTAGCCCAGCCTGGCCTCGACGTGCTCAGAGCACTTCCGTGACCTGGAGTTGGCCAGGTATCTTGAGTTTTATCTCAAGAAACACTGCCTTCCTCCTCCTCTCCTTTCTGGAGGCAGGAGACACAGGCATTTTGTAAACATGATGGGACGCAAAAACACAAAACGCAGTGTGTAGAAACATGCTGGCAGCCCAGGGCACTGGCTGCGTTGCCCTTGTGACTGCGTGGCTGGGCGTGGTGCTGTGGCTCACCGCCCAGCCACACAGGAGAGTGTGCCGCGTGCGAGTCCCCAGCCTGGGAAAAGATCAACATCTGTCACTGGAAGTATGGTTTCTCCTGCCTGTGTATTGCTTTTGTACCATCGTAAAGTTGAAAAATCATAAAGCCGAACAGTTGTAAATCACGGACTGTTTGTATTTTTAAGTGAATACTGTTATCTTTGAGAATGAAAAAAAATGGGGTTTTAGGATAAGTGCACTGAAACTGGGTGGATTGGGGCCCTAGGGATTCTAGAGCTGGGATGTTGGCTTGGTAGTTGCTCTTTTTTATTTGCCTCCTGAGCTGCCCCCTGACCTGCCCGCAGCGTGTTTGCATTGAGAGGTGTCACGCCTCCCTCAGGGTCTCCTCTCGCAGGTCTGGGAGGCGTCCTGTCTCTCATGAGCCTTTGCACACGTCTGGTCAGACCTGTTGGGCTCGTCCTTGTAGCCTGCCATTCAGAGGGCATCTTATGGGCCACCCTTTATTCCAGGTTCTTGGAGGATGTCCCATGGAGACCCCCAGAGCTGAAAACCAGACAAACTTTAAAATGAAGTATTTTAAAGTAGTTAGGCAAGATTAAACAATAGAGATGGTTCCTGCACATTTTGGAGAGAAAAGCCGGTTAACAGGTCCCAGCAGGAGCATTTCCCTGCAGGCCAGGACAAGGCTAGAGTTGGAATTTGTCCCATTGCGACGGCCCCTGCACCCGCACTTTAACACATTCCACATTGCGCCCCCTTTGCCCACACTCACTAATGAGGGTCTGCAGCCTTTGCTGAGACGACACACACCAGCGACTCTCCGGAGGGAGCACCTGCTGTGTGTGTCTAACAGGCTAGTTAACTTCCAGTCTTGCCATGAAATGACTGCTGATTTAGAATAATATGACATTGTTATTTTTAAAATCAGTCATTTTTTTTCTGATAATAAAACTCATATGTCTCTATTAGGGAACCTGGAAACTACAAAAAAAAGAATAAAAAATTAAAATGAGCAGCTTAGAAAGAGTCTTTGAACATTGTAGTGGGAAGAGCCCCCGGAGTCAGGAGACAGTACGTAATCATGTGCTGTGTGAGTGCAAAGTGCTAGCTAGCGGGGAAGGGAGCGTAACTGCAAGGGCAACAGCAGTAGCTGGACCCGTCTAAAGGCATAAGGAAGGCATTCACCAGAGTGGTCCGGCTGTTTCCGCCCAGCGCCGCCTGGAGCAGCTTGGTGAGGACCGAGTCTCTGTAGGGGACGTGCAAGACTCTCCTCCCCACGGCTGCGTCGGCCAGAGCGCTGAAAGGAGCAGAAGACACAGAACAACACGTTAAAAACATGTCTCAAGAATTCTGCCTCCCTGGGAGTAAGTGGGAGAGAGGAGTCTCGCATCCCTCCTGGACCCTGTAGATCTGAGACACAACTCTAGTGATGGAAAGAACGTCTACCTTGCCCACTGAAATCAACTGCAGGTGCACGGGAACTGAAGTGTCACAGGTAGATACCTTTCTGGCTCTAATTCTCTTAAGTAAAACTAACATGTAGAACTTAAACCATAATCCTAATCAGTTAGGCAAAACTAATCCTCCGTGACAAAAGTCAATTTCTCTTGGTGGGAGTAAAAGCTAGGAGCGGCTAGAAGGGAGCTTTCTGGATTTTGAAAATGTTGTAAATCCCATTTTTCCCTTCTTTCACTTGGCTTTGACTTATAAAAATCCCTTTTTAAGTTTATTCTTTCTCTATTTAAAATACGTATATAATGGGTTCCAAAGTGAAATCTGTGAAGTAAGATGTATTCAGAGAAGTCGAGAGTTTACCCCTGTTCTCTCCCCCTTGTTCAGTCTCTCCCTTAGCAGTAATGGAAGTTTCACTTTATCTAGTTTTTATTCTATCTTCCCATTGCTGTTTTTATTTTTTAATTTTATTTTTATAGTTTATAGTCCTTATTTTTTATTAGTTTCAAGTGTATAGCATAGTGGTCAGATTGCCAAGTGATCCACTTGGTGTTTTAAGTAACCACCAGGCCCCATAGATAGTTATTGCAATATTGGTGACTCTATTCCCTACGCTGTACTTTATGTCCCCGTGACTATTTGGTAACTACCAATCTGCGCTTAACTCCTTCCCCTTTTTCACCCAGCCCCCAATGCCCCTCCCCCCAGCCACCACCAGTCTGTCTCTGAGTCTGTTTCAGTTCTGTATGTTCATTTATATTGTTCTTTAGATTCCACATGTGAATGGAATCATACGGTATTTGTGCTTCTCTGTCCCAGTTTCACTTAGCGTAATGCCCTCTAGGTCCATCCATGCTGTTACAAATGATAAGATTTCATTCTTCTTTTATAGCCAAGTAATATCCCATTATGTAAGTGTACCACAGCTTTTTCATCCACTTGTATACTGATGGGCACTTGGGTTGCTTCCATAGCTGGGCTACTGTAAATAATGCTGCAGTGAACATAAGGGTGCATATATTCTTTCAAATTAGTGTTTTGGATTTACTCAGGTATATTCCCAGCAGTGGAACCGCTAGGTCATGAGGCAGGTCCATTTTTAATTTCTTGAGGAACTTTTATACTGTTTTTCCCAGTGGCTGCCCAGTCTGCATTCCCACCAACAGTGCACAACTTTCCCTTTTCTCCACATTCTCATCATCATCGTTGTTTGCTGATTTAAGAAATATTTAATATCTTAATATGGCTGATAGTTACATAGACAGACACACATAGATTCATTAAAATGAACATTTAAAATTTGTGCACTTCTCTGTATATAATTTATACCTTAACTTAAGAAAGCAAGACCCAGAGGACAATATTTTGTCCTTTTACTAAAGTTCAAAAATGAGTGTTACTAAATAGTAATATTCACATGTGATAAAACAAGAAATGATGAAAGAAGGAGGGAGGGAGGGGGAGAGAGAACATAGAGTTCAAGACAGCGGTTATCTCCAAGGAAAGCACAGGAAAGGAATACCAGCTCTTTATTGGGTTGGGTGGTGGTTTTATTAGTGTTCATTTTATTAAAAAGCAATTAACTAGCTTAAAATAAAATATATAGGAGGACCAGCCAATGGTTCCAATGAGTCATGAACCAAGATTTATGATTAGCCTAAGTTTTGATACCTGAGGTCATTTTTATGGCACAAGTAAATACCGATCCACCGATTGTTTACCTGATAACGTTTCCTAAATTAGTTAAACTTAAGTTAACTCGTGATCCTTCCCTCAGTCTGTCTCCTTCAGAGCCTGAAGATTTCTGCCTTTCACTTCCCGCTAAATCCACCAAATTAATACTGGATTGCTTGGTGAGGCCGCTGTCTGGGAAAACCTGCAGGGAAGTGGCACACGTCATGCTGTTAGCGTGGTAGCAGGCGGCCCATGAGGCCAATCGAGTTCACATTTTTAAATATTTCTGTCTAATTCTATTTCACACTCAAAGAGATATACTACAATTTACAAGTTACAAGGTCATCCTCTTAACAATGACATTTTACAGTAACACATTACCAGGCCCAAGGGGCTTAATTGCCCTTCCCCAATTCTGCGAAGTTATTTCCAGGGATATGTTAGATGCCAATTAGATGCTCTCAAATTTCTATGGTTAATAAATATTTTAAATATAAAATACTGTGAAGTCTGTACAGGAAGTTAACTGTTCAGTGAGGCATGGTTGTGTGGAGGAGAGAGCGTGGATTTTAGAACACCACAGAATCCCCTGCTGGTTACGCTGCCGTGAGCAAATGACGACTCATCGAGCCGTAACTTTCTCAGTTGTAAAACAGGGACAACACCACATCGCTGGGCTGTTCTGAGAGTAAAAGATAATCAATTCGACGGTTCTAACCAGACCTGACATACAGTAGTAGGTATCATCATTACTGACACCAATAAACATTGTGATGCCAGGTCTCCATAGATCTGTAGACTCACTTTTTTCCACTCATTTCTTCTCTTCCAAAATATCAGGGTAAAAATATAGGCAAACCATCTATAAAGTTTATGAATTTTCCTAACATGGTGAGACTAAGGGAATCATACTTCAAAGTGTCCCAAGTTCTTTAAACTGCTGTATGTTATTTAAGCCCCTCCCCACCACCCCTGCGAGAAGGGTCCTTCATCCATTTTTCCAGAACAGGAAACTAGACTCGGGAACCAAGTCGTACATGGCCAGCATTTCCCCTCTGTTCCTGGTCAGAGCGGACACCCTTCGTTCGTTGTTACCGTGTTACTGGTGCTGTAGCTTAGAGGGGACAGTTGTGGTAAAATCATAGCCAATTGTAACATTTACCCAGGCCTTGTAGACAGTCGTCCCTCGACTTGGTGCAGGGGATTTGTTCGAGGACCCTTCTTGCGTACCAAAATCTGAGGATGCTCAAGTCCTTTATATAAATAGCATAATGTTTGTATGTAACCTATACACATCCTCCTATATACTTTAAGTCATCTGTAAATTACTTATATAGTACCTAATACAGTGTAAATGCTTTGTAAATATTGTTACACTGTACTGTTGAAGGAATAACGCCAAGAAAAAAGCCTACAGTTCAGTAGAGATACAACCAAGGTAGTCCTGACTACAAAGTGCACATCAGCAACAATGTAACCTGTTTTCCTGAATATTTTTGATCCATAATTGGGGATATGGAGGGCTGATTGTAACCATTTCTGAATCAAACTGGCAACATAGTAGCAGTCACTCTGACATCCACACCAAGGAGTATCTTGTTTATCACAGATTCTGGTTAGTAGAGTTACATGGATTATGTAGTTTCCAAGACTGGTTTGGTCCTTCCAGCACTGCACTGTCTGGTGGTCCCCTAGGCTCGGGGCCCTGAGAGCTGGTCCTCGTTCCATCAGTGAGCCAGGCTGGGCATGGATGTGGGGGAAGGCAGGGAAATACTAAGCACCTCGCTTTCTCCTGCTTATGACCTTACAACCTCCTAACTGGAAGCGGCCCTCTTGATCCATCAGTCAAGTGTGAAAGGACTCTCCCATGCTCACCAGCTCCTTGTGCTGCTGGGAGCCGTCCCCGGGATGCCCTTGGCGAGAGGAGGGGACAGTGGCACTTACTCTGCCTCACCTGCTTGAACTGAAGGGTGATGACCATGTGGGACCTGCTGCTGCTGGCGTTCACATTGGTCGAAGCTGTGGTCCTCATTTTCATTCCTTGTTCCATCAGCCTTTCAACCTGTGCATAGTTCTCACAAGGCACAGACGTCAGACCATCCACGTAGAAGCCCAGCTCTGCATCCTCCCTTACTTTCAGTCCTCTGGGCTTCTTGGTCCTAGACAGCAAATCCCTTACCTGGGTGGAGAAAAGGATTAACACCTGTCCCCTCCGGGAAGGCAGGGATTTCTGTTTACCTTTAGAAAGCTCTGCTTAGAATATATCAGGTGCTCAAAAAATATTTATTGGATGAATAAATGTGCATTAAACTTCTGTAGGTACCTCCTAATTTAAGTAAAATATACGGAAAATGGCAAACAAGTAAATAGGGAGACCTATTGTAATTAGTGATATCAAAAGCATAATTTTTTTTTTTAGAAACTCAGTTTTACTATTTTCAAGTACTGAGAGTGCTCCAATTCCCTTAAACCAGGTGGTGTTGGTGCACAGCCGCGCCCATTCGCTTTCATATCATTTCTGGCTGCTTTTGTGCCCCAAGAGCAGAGGTGAGCAGTTGCAAGGGAGACCCTGTGGCCCTTAAGGCCTGAAATACTGGGTTGGCCAAAAAGTCTGTATGGTTTTTTCTGTAGAATAAAAGACATACTTTTCATTTTCACCAATAGCATTGATTTGAATATTTTGAGTATGTCGGCCATCTCCCATGCGGTGTAATGTCGATTGTTCTCAATTAATTTCTCAATTTGACTGCTGTCAACTTCAACTGGTCTACCTGACCGTGGAGTGTTATCCAGCAAGAAATCTCCAGCACAAACCCTCGCAAACCGCTTTTGACATGTTTAGTCAGCCACAGCGCCTTCCCCATATGCTGCACCAATCTTTTTTTGTGTTTCACTTGCATTGTCACCTTTTTTGAAATAATAAAGCGTAATATGCCAAAAATGTTTCATATATTCTTCCACCTTCAGTATTAAAATGGCTACATAAAAATTCACCAATTTTGATAAGTTTTTTTTTTAATGCATGCTGCTATGACAGCTATCACAATACAATCTCACAAAATTGTTTCATGTGAAGTTGAAGATAACTAAGCGTTAGTAGAGCCACTGTACGGAGAAGACTAGGCAAACTTTTTGGCCAACCCAGTATGAACCATCTGGCCCTTTGAAGCTTAAGTTTGCCAGGCTGTGGACCACACCGTGCTGACCAAAGTCAGCTGCCCTAGGTCATGAGAGGGCTGACATTTGACCTGGATCTTGACATTTGATGGCCCCTATACGGGCAGAGAAAGGACAGGCACAGGATAGTGACCTGTTCTAAGAAGGAGGAACGGCACTCTGTGGCCGACGCTGAGGGTGCACGGAGACAGGGACACGCGATGGAGCTGGGGAGGGAGCTTGGGGCTGGTCAGTGCCGGACCAGGGGGCTCAGGCGCGCTCTGTGGGATGGGGAGGGGCACAGGTGCATGTGGGGCTGCGGAGATTCTCGGGTTGTGTGTCAGAAAGGAGGATCACTGTCACCTGTTCGTTGTAAATTTCCAGCATGCTGAATGTCACCTGCAGAGGAAAGAGGCCAAAGTAAATGAAGAGTCTCTTCGAACTGTCATCTTTGAAGAAAAGAAGTAACATGGAAACAATATAAGTGCCCCACAAAGGGAAACGCTGGCATTAAATGTAACAAAACTCTGTTTCACATGTAATATGAGGTTCTCAAATAATTTTAATGACATGGAGGAAATTCTTAATACAAGTTTTTGAAAAATGCAAGTGTGTATGTTTATGTGTCTCAGTCTCAGTTTGAGTTGGGAACAGAAAAAGGCCGCTCTTCGTGGCTGACCCGCCCGTCTGAAGACTGCCGTGTTTTTGAAATATTGCCAGCCAAGCTCTCGCCCTTAAACAAGACTGGAGGGATCGGAATGGCTCTAATGTAGAGAAAGGGCCCTAAGGCTCCTTTTTAAAGAAAATTTTAATTTTCTTTTTCAATTACACATTCACATTCACATTCAGTATTATTTTGTGTTAGTTTCAGGTGTACAGCATAGCAGGTAGACAGTTGTGTTCTTGACGAAGTTTCTAGCGCCTCCTGGCAGCTCACACAATTATCGCAGTATTATTGACTGCGGGCCCCATGCTGACCGTTCTGTCCCCGTTGCTGGTTTGTAACTGCCCGTTTGTCCTTCTTAATAATCCCTTCATCTCTTTCACCCAGGCACCCAGCCCCCGCCCCTCTGGCAACTAGCAGTCCACTCTCTGTATCTATGAGTATGTTTCTATTTTGTTTGTTTATTTTGTTCTTTGGATTCCACATAAAAGAGAAGTCATGTGGTATTTGTCTTTCTCTGACTGACCGTATTTTGCTGTGTATAATGTGTATGTTTTTGCCCAAAGTTTTGAGGGAAAAATAAGGATGTGCATTATACACGGGTATGATGATTATATACCATGGGGTATAAGAATGCACACAAAAACGTGGGTGCACATTATACGTAGCAAAATACGGTATTTTATGAAGCATAATACCCTCTAGGTCCATCCATACTGTTGCAAATGGTAAGGTTTCAGTATTTTTTTTGTCACTGAGTGATACTCCATTGTATATATGTACCACTGCTTTTTTATCTATGGGCACTTGGGCTGCTTCCGTATCTTGGCTATTGTAAATAATGGTGCAGTGAACATAGGGGTGCATGTAATTTTTTAAATTAGTGTTTTGAGATCTTCAGATATACACCCAGAAGTGCAATTGCTGGATCATAAGGCAGTTTATTTTTAATTTTTGGAGGGTCCCCCTTTCTCCACATCCTCGCCAGCACTTGTTTGTTGATGTGTTGATGACAGCCATGCCGACAGGCATGAGGTGATACCTCATTGTGGTTTTAATTTGTATTTCTCTGATGGCTAGTGATATTGAGCATCTTTTCATATGTTTATTGGCTGTCTGTATGTCCTCTTTGGAGAATTTTCTGTTTGAGTTATCTGCCCATTTTTTAACTGGATTGTTATTTTGGTGTTGAGTTGTATGAGTTCTTTATAGATTTTGGATATTAACCCCTATTGGCTGTATCATTCAAGAATATCTCCTCCCATTGAGTACGTTGTCTTTTCATTTTGTTGATGGTTTCCTTTGCTGTGCAAAATTTTTTAGTTTGATGTTTTCATTTTTTCCCATTTATTTTTTCTTTTGTTTTCCTTGCCTGAGGAGCTATGTCAGAATATTGCTAAGAGAAATGTCTGAGATTTTATTGCCTATGTTTTCTTCTAGGAGTTTTATGGCTTCAAGTATAACATTTAAGTCTTTAATCCATTTTGAGTTTATTCTTGTATATGGTGTAAGAAGGTGGTCTTATTTCATTTTTCTGCCCATACCCAATTTTCCCAACAGTATTTATTGAATAGATTTATCTTTACCTCGTTGTACATTCTTGCCTCCTTTGTCATATGTTAATAGACCAGATAGGTGTGGGTTTATTTCTGGTCTCTCTATTCTGTTCCATTTATCTATGTGTCTGTGTTTATGTCAATGACATGCTGTTTTGATTCATATAGCCTTGTAGTATAGTTTGATATCAGGTAGCATGGTAACCTCCAATTTTGTTGTTGTTAAGATTGCTGTGGGTATTTGGGGTCTTTTGAGGTTCTATACAAATTAATGGATTATTTGTTTTATTTCTATGAAAAACATCATTGGTATTTTGATAGGAATTGTGTTGAATGTGTAAATTGCTTTGGGTAATACAGACATTTTAATGATAACTCTTTCTATCCATGAGCATGGCATATGCTTCCATTTATTTCTATCTTCTTCAGTTTCTTACAATTTTCCAAGTACAAATCTTTTACCTCCTTGGTTAAATTTATTAGGGTTTTTTTTTTAATGTGATTGTGAATGAGATTGTTTTCTTAGTTTTCCTTTCTAGTAATTCATTATTAGTGTATATAAATGCAACTGATTGGATACTTATTTTGTATCTGCTACTTTACTGAATTCATTTATCAGTTTAGTAGGATTTTTGGTGGAATCTCTAGGGTCCTTTATATAGAGTATTATGTTATCTGCAAATAATGACAGTTTTATTTTTTCCTTTCTAGTTTGGATAATTTTTATTTCTTCTTCTTGCCTGAATGTTACAGCTAGGACTTCTAGTAGTACGCTGAACAGGAGAGGTGACAGCGGACATCTCTGTCTTGTCTCCAACCTTAACAGAAACACTTAGATTTTGCCCGTTCAGTGTGATGCTGGCTGTAGGTTGTGAATACGTTGCTGTGGAATACTCGTGTGCAAGTTGCGTGTGGGCATGGGCTTTCCTTTCTCTTGGACGTCTGAGTTTTTAAACTAAACATGCATTAGTTTGAAAAAAGTTAAATTGACAAATTAGAAATGTACTGAAATGTTAATAGTATCTAATTGGATGATAAGATTATGGGTAATTTCTGTTCTCCAATTTAGACACGTTATTTTTAAAATCAGGGAAGAGTTAAGGTAAAAAGATGATGCGTCATTAAATTTTCATAACAAAGATTTAATCTCTTTTGCTGTTTAGAGGAAACAGAAACCTGAGCTATGCTTACAGATACTTGCTGACATTTAACTGTCATGTTATAAAGCTAATCACATTAATGGTTACTCTCTGTCTTGAAAATGTTACCAACCTTCAAATGACCCTAAAGTTCAGTCTTTGGTCTCTATGCTTGGACAAGTAAGAAACTATGCTGGGGCAATCAAGAAGCAAAATAACATTATTTAGAAATAAAGATCAGTAAATGATAATGAGAACACACCGACAGCCTTAGTAGAAGAGGGCAGTGTGGGAAATCCTAGACTCGAGTTAGGGCTGGTATTAAAGATGTCTGCTTCTCTGATGCTCAAAATGCCTTTTACAAATATTCCTTCGGGTTTGTGTCCATAAACCAGGAAATTCAACATCTTATTTGGCTGCAACTTGATTTTGTAACCATGTAGTAAGGATTTTAGTATGAAAAGTTAACATTATCCTAAAATGGAGATGCTGCTCATCTCTGTTTGGGGTGGAGGTTTCCAAAATGGGGGAAATTTTCCTCAAAGTGTTTTGGAATAACGCGTACCTGGTATTCTTGGTCTCCCTGCTGGTTCTCAATCGCTTGGAAGAGCTCCTCACACACGCTGGGGACGATGCCCCTGTTTGCACCAAACCCGATCATGGAGTAGCTCTTCCCAGAGCCAGTCTGGCCGTAGGCCAGGAGGGTGGCGTTGTAGCCTTGCCAGGCGCTGTCCAGGATTCCTCTGCCCAGATCGCGGAAAACCTCCCTCTGGAAAGAAGGTCACAGGCATCAGGTTTATTTAGCACAGGCTTTTCATGGGGCCCTGAAAGCCTCCTGCATATTCTGGTTTGGATGAATTGCACCTTAAGTAGCATCATACAACCTCCTTGAAATATGATTTCAGATGCCCTCTTAGAACCAATGGACAAAGCCCGAAACCAAAAAGGGTTTTCTCAATTTGGAAAACACTGGTCACAAGGGGTCACCATGGGTCTCCAGCTAGCGAGTAGCCATCAATAATGAATGTGGATGTTACAACCTTTCTAGAACACAGGCTAGTTCATTCAAATTCAGCAAGTCTACAAAAATTTCAAGGCATTGAGGGACAGAGTGGTCAAGAGTTTTCTACTTCTCTCAGTTCTTCAATCCGAACAATAACTTCACAAGATTTCTACACTAATGCCTCTGCTGCAGAACAGTGTTCTTTTTCGCAAGACCTGCTGGTTCTAAAGCATTGCTCCAGCCCACTCGCATACATGTGCACCTTTTTCTAAGGGGTGGACACAGTTGCCTTTTGCTCCCCGTCCTCACCCTCACTTGTTTGATGATGCCATTCTGCCGGATGCAAGGCAACAGCTCGTTGTGTTTAGACTTGCGTCCTCCGGATGGTTGGTGACACCGAGCACCTTTCTGGGCACCTGTGTGTGTGGTTCCTTTGGGAAGATGTCCGTGAAGTTCCTCTGCTTGCTTTTTAATTTGGTTATTTGCGGTTTCGCTACTTGTTGTATGAGTTCTTTATATAGTTTGGACATTAACCCCTTATCAGATATGTGATTTGCAAATACTTTCTCCCAATCCATAGGTTGCCTTTCATTTTTTTGATGGTTTCCTTTGGGTACATAAATTTTTTTTTTTTAATTGAATGTTGTCCCACTTGTTTATTTTTGCTTTTGGTGTCAAGTCCAAATGATTATTGTCAAGACTGGTATCTAGGAGCTCACTGCCTGTTTTCTTCTGGGAGTCTTATGGTTTCAGGTCTTATGTTCAAGGTCTTGAGTCCGTTTCAGGTTAATTTTTGTGAGTGGTATAAGGTAGGGGTCCCGTTTCATACTTTATGTGTGGCTGTCCAGTTTTTCCAGCACCATTTATTGAAAAGACTACCCCCATTGTATATTTTTGGCTTCTTTGTTGTAAATTAATGTGTGGATTTATTTCTGGGCTTGCTGTTCTGTTCCGTTGATCTATGTGTCCATTTTTATGCCCATAACATTGTTTCGGTTACTATGGCTTATAATAGTTACATAGTTTGAAATCAAGTAGTATGGTGCTTCCGGCTTTGTTCTTTCTCTCGATTGCTTTGGCTAACCAAGGTCTGTTGTGGTTCCATGTAAATTTTAGTGTTGTTCACTTTATATGTGTGAAAATGCCACTGGAATTTTGATAGGGATCACATCGAATCTCTGCCCAACAGGTCCCAGAATAAGGTTGTTTTGTTCAGTGTCATTTTTTCTAATGTTGATGAGAAAAAAAAACACATTGATTCCCATCTGGGACCAGTGTCCACATGGAGTGTGCATGTTCTCCCCACATCTCTGTGGGTTTTCCCCGTGTATCGCGGTTTCCTCCCACATGCCGAAGATGTGCGTGCAAGGCAAACTGGTGTGTCTCCACCGTCCCAGTCTAAGGGAGTCCCACACTCCAGGGCAGGAAGTGCCTGGCATCCTGAGCTGCTGGGACAGGCTCCAGCCACAAGTCACCCTGAACTGGAGTCCGGGGGTTGAAAAGGGATGATCTGACTTGTTTTTGTTGAATGGACGTATGGCTTGCATTTATTTTAATGTTTACTATCAGAAGTGTTTTTGACTCTTCATTTAAAAGTTTAGTGATGTTTTTGTGACCAGAAATAAGCCATAGGAACTTTGCTCTTGTTTGTATCAATTAGCCTAGGGTAAAATGGATTTTGTTATGCATCACTTTACTTAAAAGTTGCAGATTACAGGAACCTGTGAGCAATGTCAAGTGAACACTTACTCTATGGCTTTGGGGAATGTGGACATTTTAATAATATTCATTTTTCCAAAATATGGACACAAAATACCTTTCCATTTGTGTTATTGTCAGTTTCTTTTATCAGCCTCAGAGTTTTCAGTGTCTAAGCCTTTCACCTTCTTGGTACTTTATTCTTTTGGAAAAATTCTGTCTTTATTGAAGTAAAATTAATATTTATTAAATTCATTCATTTAATATATACAGTTTCATGAGTTTTGACACATGCATTTGGCCATGTGGTGACCACCACAGTGAACATTTTTTTAAAACTTTTTAATAATTGCAAAAGAGTTCCCCAGAGCCTGTTTGCACTCTTACCCCTTCTCCTGCCTTCAGCCCCTGGAGACCAATGATTTACTTTGTAGAACCATAGTTTTATTTTTTTCTAAAGTTGCCATTTAAGTGAGTCGTACAGAGTGTAGTCTTCTGTATATGGTTCTTTCACTTAGTACAGTGCTTTGAGACTTATTCATGTTATTGCATACTTCCTTTTATTGCTGAGTTTTATTGGTAAAATAAATATTTTACCAATTCATTAACCACTCACAAGTCTGATTTGAGTTTCTAGATATTCCACAAAGAGTAATATCTTACAGTATTTGTCTTTTTCCATCTGACGTATTTTACTTGGCATGATACCCTCATGGTCTATCCATGAAATGGCAGAATTTCACCTTTTTTATGACTTACAATATTCAATTGTATACATGCCACACCTTTTCCTTATTCATTCTTCTCCTGATGACATTTAGGTTGTCTCTATTTCTTGGGTATTGTAAGCAATGATGCAGTGAACCTAAGAGTACATACATCTTTCTGAATTAGTGTTCTTGTATTATTCAGGTAAATATCCATAAATGTTGTAGCGAGATCATATGGTAGTTTTATTCTTAATGTTTTTGAGGAATCGCCATACTGTGTTTGATAGTAGCTGTACTGATTTACAGTCCAACCAACAAGGTACAAGTGTTCCCTTTTCGTTGCATCCTTTCCAGCACAGCGATTGTTGCTTCTTGTCTTTTTGGTGACAGTCATTCTAGCAGGTGCGAAGCTACTTCTCGTAGTTTTGATTCGCACTTCCCTGATGAGGAGCGGTGTTGAGGACCGTTCAAGTCCCTGTTGGCCACCTGCCTGTCGTCTTTGGAAAAACGTCTATTCAGACCCTCTGCCCATTTTTTAATGGGTTGTTTTTTGTTATCGATAGATATGCATTCTTTATATGTTTTTTATTTTAGCCCCTTATCAAATGTATCCTTTAAAAATACCTATTCCCGTTTAGTAGGTTGCCTTTTCACTTGCTTGATAATTTTCTTTGCTGTGCAGAAGCTTTTTGGTTTGATGTAGTCCAATTTGTTTATTTTTTTCTTTTGTTTCCCTTGCAATTGGAGTTGAATTCATAAAAACATCACTAAGAATGATGTCAAGGAGCTTACCACCTGTATTTTCTTCTGTGTATTTCTGGTTTCAGGTCTTACATTCAAGTGTTTAATCCATTTTGAATTAATTTTTGTGTATGGTGTAAGATGGCGGTCAAGTTTCATTCCTTTGCCTGTGGCTGTCCAGTTTTCCCAGTACCATTTATTGACGAGACTTTTCTTTCTCCATGATATATTCTTGGTTCCTTGTCACAAATTAGTTGTCCATATGTGTGGTTTATTTCTGGGCTCTTGATTCAGCTCTCTGTGTCTGTTTTTCTGCCAGGACCCCACTGTTTTGGTTACTGTAGCTTTGTAGTATAGTTTGATTTTAGGGAATGTGATCCCTCTGGCTTTGTTCTTTTTTTCTCAGTATGCTCTGGCTGTTCAGACTCTTTCATAGTTCCACACCAACCTGAGGTGTTTTTTTTTTTGTTCTCTTTCTGTGAAAAATGCAGTTGAGATTTTCATAGGGATTGCATTGAGTCTGTAGATTTCTTTAGGTAATATGAATATTTTAGCAATGTAATTCTTCCAATCCATGAGCCCTGAATATCTTTCCATTTCTTTGTGTCTTCCTCAGCGCCTTTCCACAAAGCCTTATAGTTTTCAGGGTACAGTTCTTTTATCTCCTTGGTTAAATTTAATCCTAGGTGTTTTATTATTTTTGTTCTTGCAGTTGTGAATAGGATTGTTTCCTTAATTTCTCTTTCTGAATTTTCATTGTTAGTGTACAGAAACAGAAAAGATACATATATATTTTGTACTCTGCAAGTTTGCTACATTTATTATTTCTTACAGTTCTTGGTAGAGCCCGTAGGATTTTCTATGTATAAAATTACATCATCCACAAATAGTTACAGCTTTACTTCTTCCTTTCCAATTTGGATGCCTTTATTTAGTTTTCTGGCCTGATTGCTCTGACGAGGACTGCCATTACCCATGTTGAATAAGAGTGGGCAGCCTTGTCTTATTCCTGATCTTAGAGGAAAAACTGTCAGTTTTCATCATTGACCATGACATTAGCCAAGGGTTAACACACATGTATGGCCTTTATTACATTGATGACATTCCTAGATCCATCTTGTTGAGAGAGTTTTTTTAAAATTATAAATGGATGTTGAATCTTGTCAAATGCTATTCTGCATGCATTGTCAATTCCTTAGGGTTTTTAACAAAGATAATCGTGTCATGTGCAGATAGCTTCACTTCTTTCTTTTTAATTTGCACACCACTTACTTCCTACTAGTTGCCTTATTGCCCTGGTTAGAACCCACAGCGAGTGTTGTGTAGAAATGAGGAGACTGGGCCTCCATGCCTCACCCCTAGTCTTAGGAGAAACAGTCAGTATTTCATCATCAAATGTGATGTTCCCTGTGCATTTCAGGAAGTTCTGTTTCTGGAACGCTCTCTCCTATTGCAAGTTTGCTGAGAGTTTTAATCATGATTGGGTGTTCAGGTTTGTCCTGATCCAGGAAGGAGCCATTTGTGTATTCATTGAAGGTCACACCATTTTCCCCTGTTACTGGTGCAAAATAATTCGTCACTTCCCCAAAGCTTCTTTTCAAAATCCCACTGATTCTGGTCGCCAAGCAGTCCTACTCCTCAGTGGCCTGCAGACTCACTCCCAGGTACCCCTCTCAGGGGTAAAGTAAAGGAATCCCTCCCCCCTGCCCCGGCCGACCCCAGTAACTCAGAATCAGCAGGAGGGGCTGGCAGCCCCCGAGAGACCGAGGCCCCTGCAGAGACGACCCTGCCTTTCCGAGCACGGAGAACTCATTCACCTGACACTGGAGGATCTGTACAGGCCACGTCGGGATAATCACATTAAAGATAGAAACCTCACACTCTTCCTCGTACCTGCCCTGGGCCCAGCCAGACTGCAACGACTCCAGGCACTGCCAGGCACTGCGTCGCTCACGCTTACCCTCATTGTGTTAAACGGAGGCCCCTGGGCCCGAATCACACGGGCAGCTGCATGTGTCATAAAAATGCACAGCTTTTCTGTTAAAATACCTCTTTCTCTCTGGCTGTATTTTTTATTCCTGGTGAGTTTAATACTTAAAGGCTGTTGCAGCACGGAAAAGAATTTCGTTTCGTTTTGTGTGTGTATGTGAAGGAAGATCTGTAGGAGGTGGTGAGTTTTCTTTTGTCTTATCTGGATAGAGGCTGGATAGAGGCTGGGTTTGCTCTCCAACATTCAGGGTGAAGAGCCTTGGAGAAGGCGGAGGATGTATGGTCTATTTGGAGTAATCTCCCTCATTTTTATCTTCGTCGTTAATGGAGAGAGGGGCATGCTTGCTTGCAGAGCTGACCTTGAGGGCTGAGTTTTCTTCAGGTTTCTTCAGCTCAGGGCGGGCCAGGAGTCTCGCTCCCTTCCACAGTCTTTCCTACCTGACCCCTTCCAGCAATCTTGGTTCCCTCCGTCTCCTGACTGCGGCTGCAGCTCCCGCTCTGGCCTTTCGGGACACACCCCCGCTCCACTTCCTTTTCATCTTTCCTGCTGGCCCTTCCTCCGATGGCTGAGCTAGACCCCCTTTCCCCACCGCCCCCCACTGGTCGGGGATGACCGAGCAGGGGGCTTTGGACTTTGCCTCCCCCAAGCGCTCTCCTTGGGGAGGCGCTGGCCTTACCTTTAGGGGTTGTTCAGGTTTGGGAGGCTCAGAAGTCGGAGAGCAGCAGTCTCCCTCCTTATTGTTTCCTTTTCTAGATACTTCAGTTTCTCCTTCATGCATTTCTGCCAGAGGTGGCTGAGGTCCTGGGCTGTGATGACTCACTTCCTGTCCTGGACCAGCCCATCCCTGACCTTCTCCCTGTGCCAGCTTGGGCTCCTCTCCCGAGGCAGCTTGTCCGGTTCGCGTTGCAGTGTCCCCTGTTCCTTCTGCATCTGCTCCTCCATCTCAAATTCTCTAGCAGGTGCAGTGACAGGCTTGGCCCCTCCAAAGACAGAGGGGCTCCCCTGGCCTGGGAGCGGCCAGCAGAGAAATCGTCTCCCTTAGCCGTGCTCCGAGGCTTGGGATTCAGGTTGGGTCTTTGCGGGGGACCTCTGTCACCACGCCTCTAGTTGTCCCCAGAGTAGCCATCTATGGGTCTCTGTGATCATCATCGCTTCTGTCTCTGCGCAGTGGTCCCCATCTCTTCTGCAGTCACCATCCCTGCGGGGCCTGCCACCAAGCGCTCTTCTGCCACTGCCGGTCCTGGAATCCCGGGCTCTGTCTCAGTCTCTGCTGCCTCTGCCATCATAGCAGCCCTGGCCCCCGTATTCACACCCCGGCATGGCCCGTCGCAGTAGCTGTCCCCATGCCCATCCCAGGGCCGGCCTAAATGGTGCCATCCCCCATTCTCGCCTGCAGAGCTGCCCTCACCCCCTGTGGGTGGGCAGTCACCAAAGTGGTCCTGGCACGATGGGCACCCAGCCTGCATCTGTGCCGTCAGGATCCCAACTTCTGTCTTGGCCCAGAGAGTGATCCTCTTGCCTTGGTCTTCACCCTGGCCTTGATCAGCCACGGCCGCTCGAGTCCTATTGCCTGGACTCCGCACTGAGGCTCGGGTGTGGAACAGGGAGTCCGGGTCCGCAGACCCAGCCCAAGAAGAAGCTGCCAGCCCCGCGCAGCCGGGCTCCGTGGTCAGTGTGCTGCACAGAAGAGCCCCTTCGCGGAGAGGCCTGGCACATCGCTGGGTGGTGATTTAGAAAGTGATTCCTGTCAATGTTGGGCTCCCGCGCTGCCCATGGAGTAGGGGACAGGATGGATGGTTGATTGGAGGTGCCCTGTGCGTGTCATTGTCACTGTACCAAGAGGTCGAAGCATCTCCTTCCAAACTGCCTGTTTCATCAGCCAGCAAGTCTGTTAGGGAGATGGGCTCCCCCTTCTTTTTTTTTCCCCTCCCCCTGAGGCTGCCACGTTGGGGGAGGGGGAGAGATCACAGAGGCTAGGATACCCTTTATTAAACCGCACACATTTTGATAGGCATGTTGATTATTATTTAGTTCATAATATTTACTGATTTCCCTTGTGGTTGGTTCATTCCTTGATCTAAGGATGATTTAAAGGTCTGCTGTTTTCTTAATATCTGTGGCTTCCCCTAATACCTTTATTTCTAGTTTAATTCCACTGTGGTCAGAGAATGTACTTTGTATGATTTCATTTTTGTTATACTTATTGAGACAAGTTTTATGATCTGGAATATAGTCTATCATAAAGTTCTATGTCCACTCTTGAAAAGTATGTGTAGTGCTGTGGTTGGGTGGGCGTAGCAGGTGTTTTTTAATATAATTGTCAATTAGCTTGCCTGCTGTTGTCCTGGTCTTCCATAATACTACTGATATTTTTTATCATTGTTATTTGTTCAGTCCATTTCTCAGGACTGATGAAATCATCAACACGATTGTAAACTGGTCTATTTCTCCTTCAGTTTCTATCAGTTTCTGATTCATGTAGCATGAAGATGTTATTGGGTACATACCTACTTGAGATGGTGTGTCTTCTTAATGAATTGATTACTTTATCATTATGAAATATTCCTTGTTCTTAAGTCCACCCTGTGTGATGGAAATATAGCCTCTGTGATTTTCTTTGCATCTACATGGCAGGTGTCTACTTACTATATTTAAGTTGAGTTTCTGTACACAGATATCATTGGATCCTGCTTTTCCTATAGTCTGATAATCTCTGCCTTTTAATTGTCATATTTATGTTTGATATAATAATTGATTTGGCTGGCATTAAATCTACTGTCTTGCTATTTATATCTTTATCCCACCTGTTCCCCACCCCCTGTTCCTCGCCATGTTTTGGATTGTTTCATAATTCTCTTTCCCACAATTGACTCATTAGTTATGCTTCTGTTTGATTTTTTTTTTTAATTGATTGCATGGGGACAGGGTTGGTGCCCAGAGTGCATTCTAGGGTCTATGAGATCTTTTCAGCGTGATTGTGAAGTCAGAACTATTTGACAGAGGGTTTTTTTTAGGGGTGGTTTCATAAAGGCTATACTTGGGCTAAGTTTTAAAAAACAAGTAGGCAGATAAGAACTGAGAGGGGAAAAATTGGGGGGAAATGAAAATAAGGGGAGAATGTCCCTCATTGACCTTTGGACAATGTCACGCATACATGTAACCGGAGTCACGGAAGGAATAAAGCAGAAATGATAGTTGAAATTTCTGCAAATTTAATGGAAACTGTAAACCCACATATTCAAGAATCTTACTGAGCTCTGTCCAGATTGAAATGGCCACCTCTCCTTCATACCCCTTTGTACCTCGGACACATTCCGATCACTGAATTCTAACACTGGAACACATTTATTTGCTTGTCTTCCCATGTGAAATTGTGAGCAAGTTACAGTGCATGGCACGATAAATACTTGATGAAACACAAGTCTTCACGGGTTGTGCATATTTTTCTGATCTCATCAGTACTTTGGGATATCAGCTGCTTGAGTGCCTAACGCTTACTTGGGCAATAGCTGCACTTTCCGGACCTCATGTTTAGCATAAGAAACAAACACACTGAAAAGCAGACTCTCAAGTGAAAGCAAATATTGCAGCATGCTTGCACAAAAAGCACTCTACTGTTTCACAGTTAAACCTTCATTAAAAAATAAAAAGCTTCCATTGAAATTGTGTCTTAAAGGAATTTACCTGGCCTGCAAATTTACTGCTAGCATCAGCTGAAGTAAACACACCATCTTTTTCCACTTGGAATCCATTGTGAGACCAGTATGCCAGGTCAAAAGTAAATGTCTTCGTACGTTCCGGGTTCTTAGGGTCTTGAATGGTGGTGGTGGTCCTGGAAGGCATGGAGACCACACACGTGCTCCCAGCATCCTTCTCTCTCTGTAGTCAATTACAAACTCAGAGTCAGTCTCTGCAGCCTCTCCTGGCATCCACGTTGTTGTGCAAATCTTTATATCTTGGAAGAAACTAAGCCAGGGGCTTACCGTTTGCTTGCTTTGACCTCTAATGGTGTTATTCTAGTGGCTGTTAGGACAAGCGGTTTCTCTTGTGTTCCCTCTGAGGTTTTGACAGGCTTGTCTCTGGCCACTGTCACTTTCTGAGACTAGCCCGTCTAGCCCTGGCCATGCTACCAGCAGCAACTAGAGGAGCGGAACGTCCACTTCCAGCATCACAGCGCAAGGGGCCTCCGCTGTCCCATGCCCCAGTGAAACTCGTGAAAATTAATGAAAAGAGGAAAGCATACCTATTTGAAATCTCTGGAAATCGTCCTAAGAGCCAGCAGCCAATGAGATATGCTCAACATCTATCAGAACTCATGAGAGAGCAGTCTGTGGTGTGGAAGAAGCCCCTCCCCGCCGCACCCCCCCCCCCCAACCTCCCTGCCAGCTGACTCGGGCTTCCTCGGCTCCCTTGGGCTCCCTTGGGCTCCCTCATCGGAGCCTTGCTTCCTGGGGGGGTGGGAGGGGGCGGCGGCGGATCTGCTTTTCCATCCTGCCCTCACCCACCTGTTGCTGCGGTGAAGTCTTGGGAGAGGGGTCGGGGAGAGGAGGGGATTCCTCAGCCACGCAAGCCCCACACCGAGCGGTCACTCTGCTCCTGCTCCGGGTGCGGCCTGCGGAGAACCCTGAGCTGCCGATGACCGTTGCTCCTGAGACCCTCCGAGAGGATCTCAGGCTGCTGCTGCCCGGTACCCACCGACTGCCAGGCCTCTGGAGCGGGGTGGTCACTCATAGCGCAGTTGGCCATTGTCCCCACCCACGAGCCGAGCGCCCTGGTTTAGAGATCTTGCCTGAGGGAATAGCACCTAAATCTCCTCCCAAAGGAACGACTTCCTTTGCTCCCTCAGAGTAATTTAGTCCCAAGGGTGTCCCACAGGACAGGTGTGATGAAAGGCAGGAGGAGATTCGAGATGTGGGTTAGGTTACTGGCGCTCGAGTTTGCAGGGGCACAGGGACTACAGCTTCCCGGGGTTAGAAAAAGTGTTAGGCGCGGATCTCCAAACGCATTCTCCCGCTAAGGAACCAGAATTTGATTGTATTTGTAGAGCAACTTAGGCCCCAAGGACTTTGCTGAAAACAGAGCTTTCGGCAGCCATCAGCAGTGTGGCAGGAGCGGATGGGAGCCCTGCCCAAACTGCCCTTCCCCCCGGGGCCTGGGGCATGTCCAAGCTGTGCCTCCCCAGTAATAAAGGTGGGTGGACAGGCTTCACTCAAAGAACCCAGCCAGTCACCGAACAAATACACAGCAGGCAACAGTAAACTACAGAGGGGTGGGAGGACCAGTACCCAGATTTGCTAGAGTATTATAAATATTTCTGTTTAATCTGTTTATATTAAATAGACTATAGATAGTTACAAGGCATGCTAAGAAACGGCAAAGAGCCACACATATTGAGAAGAAAGGCAACAGAAGCTGCAGAGCGACCAGGTGCTGGACCAGAAAAAAAGACTTTAAAGTAACTATTATAAATATATTCACAGGATGAAAGGAAACCATCAGTACTTCCGTAAACTATTATAAAGGGGCACTATGAACAGTCAATAATGTGGATGAAATGGACAAATTCTTAGACACAAATTACTGATAAACTGATTTAAGAAATAATCTGAATAGACCTATAGCAAGTGAAGAGACTGAAGTAGTAACAATAAAAAAATAAACTTCTCATAAAGAAAAGCCTAAATGGCTTGACTGCTGAATTCTACCAAAAATTCAAAGGAAACAATTCTTCATAAATTCTTCCCCCCCCCAAAAAAAAAGAGGAAGGAACACTCCCCAACTTATTTTCATGAAGCCAGTATTAACTCTGACACCAAGTCCAGATAAAAAGACATTACAAGAAAATAAAACTATACACTCACATCTCTTTTGAATATGGATGCAGCAATACTCAGCAAATTAACAAACTGAATCCAGCAACATATAAAAAGAAACATGCATCATGGTCAAATGGGATTTATCCTAGGAATGCAAGCATGGCCCTATTAATCATGTCCCCCTGACACTGTATGACATTTTGACATCCTGGGGCCTAGAGAGACTTGCCTTCCATGCAAACAGCCAAAGTCCACGTTGCAAACACCTCCTTCACCTCAGTCTCTTGAACACCAAGCCAGTATCTCCTCTGCTCTGCATCACTCCAGGGCCAGGTATCTGACAACTAGAGCCCCCGCCTCCGCCCCGTAGCCCAGAGCCCCTGAAATTACTCAAACTGTCCAGTCCTAACACTTGTCAGAAGGGCCTCCCATGCCTGCCCTCTCCTCCCTGAGGAAACCAAAGGCAGACCGCGGCCCAGGTACTGCCTGCCCCTCACACCTTCCACCGGCCTTGGCTTCCTCGCGAGGCTCCGTGTGGCAAGCTGCAGGCTCTCGGGAGCTGTAAGGTACCTGCCTCTCTGTCACCTTACTGCACCTGACTGAACCACAGTGTGGGGATCCTTAAAGTGATTTTATGTAAACACATCACATTGAGACTGAAAACAGAAAGCCACCTCTCAGCAGGTACAGAAAACACGTTCAACAAAATCCAGTACCTTCTCATGATAAAAAGTCCACAAATTAGGAGTAGAATGAAACTTAACCTGATAATCTATAGAAAAACCCATGACTAACACCATACTTAATGGTCAACACTGGATGTTACAATTTAAGATTGGGGAGAAGATAAAGATGGCTATTCTTGACATTCCTATTCAGTATTGTATTGGAGGTCCTAGCCAGGGCAGTTGGGCAGGAAAAAGACAAAAAGGCATCCAGATAGAAAAGGAAGTAAAATGACCTCTATTTGCAGATGACATCATCTTGAATAATGAAAGTGCTAAGGGATCCACTAAAGTACTGTTAGAATAAACGAGTTCAATAAAGTTGCAGGATACAGGCTTGACATACAAAAATCAATTTTAATTCTATTTAAAAAGTGAACAATCTGACACTAAAATTCAAAAAACTATTCCATTGCTAATAGCATCAAAAAGAACAAAATACTTAGGAGTAAAGTGGAGACAGGGATTACCAGGTCTGGTTGCTCAGGGCTAGGGGAACGGTGATAGCTGAAGGGCACAGTTCTCTTTCAAGGCAATAAAAATGCTCTAAAACTTAGTGGTTACATACATCCACGAATATACTAACAATCACGAATAGTACACTTTACATGAGGGACTTGTATAAAATGTGAATTCTCTCTCAAACTGTTTAGCAGCTAATATTGTCAGGCACTGTGCCCAGTGATTTATACATTATTTTATCTATTACAACCAACCTATGAGGTATCAGTATCTCCATTTTACACATGAGAAAATCAAGGCTCAGAAAGCTTAAAACCTTGCTTAAGGCTACGCAGCGGATAAGTGAAGTCAGGTTTTGAACTCATGTTCCTGACTTCAAAAGCTCCTGAGAACGTACTGAATCTTGTAACAGAGTTCCCTAAAGTTGGTTCTCTGGCCCCACAGTGAAGGCAAGACTGTAGGGAAGTTGGACAGTAGCCCGAGCCCTCTGCCTTGCAGCCACCTCTTGGATTCACTCTCTTTGCTCCTTGCTACTGTTCTAGTCCAAGGTCATCGATGTGTGGTAGACTTGAATCAAATGCTATCTTTTTGAAGCAGGGAACCAAAAGGCTGTGTAATTACGTAACTTGTCTACGTCTACATCCACTGATTTAAAAGGTACAGTTAGTTACTTGAGTCTCTAGTGGTAATTAATGATAATAAAGTCCACTGAAAAATAAACCCTGGGAAAGCTACTTTCAGTGTGCTGATTGTAGGATATAAAATGGTTTTATTTCCTTTGGGGGCAGGGGACACAAAACATTTAATTCACTGACCACAAATCAATTTTTTGACATCTATACAGTTACCCAATTATGTATCTGCCTGGTTGCTGAAATATTTTCTGCAGTATAAATGATTGTTAAGGGACCGAACTGATACAACAAAATGTGCAAAGTAATGCCAAATACATACAGCTGGGCGAGAAAGCACAGGCGTGCGGGGGGGACGCAGCCCTCCTGTAGGATCATCACCACATCGTCCTCCCATTCCGGATCGGTTACTGTCAAGCAAGCTCTGTGTGGTGGTTGGGTTAGCGTACTCTTATCCAAATCTTATTTACCCTTTATGGTCATTGCAAATGCCTGTCTCCAGGAAATCAAAATGTTTCATCTTTCTCTGGGTTCCAAGATTATCTACCTTTCTGTTATAGTAGTTCCACACTGCTACAAAGAAATTACATAAAACTGTAAGCTAGTAGAGAACAAAGAGTTTTCCTTCAAATCCTCAGTTTTTTAGTACAGCGTTTCATCCATAGCAGACGGTCAAAAGTCTGCCAAATGAGTTGATTGTTCAGAATTATCTTAGAATTTAACTAATGTGTTGGTAATCAAAGATAAAGGGTTGCTACAAGGTCCTATAATGAGTCTAATCCATATTTTATCCTAAAATGTTGTAGTAAAAAGTTATATAAATATGTTATACATAAATGCATTTAAAACAGTTCATTCAGATTGGCAATTTTTTTGCTTATGATTTATTGTTGAGGGAAAGAAGTACACTTACTAGAAATAGATACTGCATGTCTATATTCACCAAACTGCATTGGCTTTAAAAATTATTGACAGTACATTTCTCTTGTCAATTTTTTATTGTGCTGCTTGCACAAAGAATGAAATTGTTTATTCAGTTATTTAGATCTTTAAATTACCCATTTAACAAGTTCATTTAAATAAGTTTAATATTCCATAAATGACCAGCAGCTTAAATACAAGTTTGATAACTACAAATGTAAAAACACAAATGTCACAGTCAGAGCTCCGACAGGGCGAGGCGGCAGCTCCCACTGACCTGACTGAACGGCCGCACCCGCACCGCGACCCTCACGCGGTCCGCGCCTGGCGTGGACATTTTCACCATCTTCCCATCGTTCATATTGTTAGTTGGTAGAAAAATAATGTAGAAAACACTCTGCTTATGCTTCACACTGAAACACTGAAAGTTTAGCCAACAAAAGCAGTTTGTTTCTAGAGGATCAATTATTAACGGTCCATTCATTACACACTATCAATTACCTGTTATAAATTATTTTACAACACTTATTTATTGATGAATTTTATGGCCTGCAACACATACCGCCGCCCGATCACACACAGCCAGACTGCCCAGAGCAGTGGCTTCTCTCCTTCCTCCTTCCACATCTACTCTCATACTCCCTGTCCTCCAGTCAGTGCCTGAGCTCCTGCAAGAGTCTGTCAGTTTTAAAACCTGAACATTAAGGGGCTTCTGTGATTCATTAGCAAGCTCCTTCAAAGCAGTAATAAAATTTCTCCCACCTTCTCATTCTATCAATATTAGGTCCACATGGGGTGTAATGAATATCTATGAAAGAGGTTTTTTGCTTTTTTGTTTAAAAAAAAAACAAAACCCTTTTTAGAAGTTGCTAGTAAGCAGTGAACCGGTCAATCTAACCTGGATAATTAGTCTCTGAATAATTTAGAGACTTTACAGATAGTTGCTTTTAAGCCTGATGAACAAGAAATGCCAACATTACATTTAACCAATGCATTACTTGGAAAATTAGGCATTTGAGGTAGAATACACAAAATTCGTTAAAACTGCAAAAAAGTGTCAAAATTACATGCCCATAATTCAGTTTGAACATAGCAACCACCAACTACCCCCCCCAAACATTTTATGATTAGAAATCTTAATCACAGAAGCAAAGTGCATAAATTATACAACAGCAACTTATAAAAAATGAACAGGTCAACAGATTTTAACATCAGTCTAATACTTTATAGAGAAGGAAAATAGGACCAATGCTTTTACTATTATATAAAATTATTACCAAACAGAAATCCCCCTCAAAAATCTAACTGACACAAACTACTGTGAAGTATATACTTTATTTAACATTCTAATAAGCCGTATTTACATATTATATAAATGTATGAAGTCTTAATATAAAAAAGGGGAAAAAATGCCTCCTCTTAAAAGAATCATACTCCATAGGGAGTCATTTTACTTATGGAAGACTTCCTGTTTACAAAAATTTACAATTTATATAAATTACTGTCTTCCAAATTAGAGGATTTTTAATAATCCACACAATTCTGTGACTTTACAAATAGGTGTACATTAAAACTTGAAAAAATTACAGCATTTTTCTGCGTACAATTTGTTTTGGGAAGGAAGATGGTTTCTTTCTGTTCCTTCCAAGAGTTTTTCCTGTTACTTCCACAGTTTTCCTTGGCTTGCTCTTCACTCTGTCAACTGGGGTTGCCAAGGGAGAAATCAGCTTAATTTCTACTGGAGGAGGTGACCAAGAACTTTCTTGTTCTGTGATTCTGAAAAAAAAGATGTAATTCAAATAAGAATAAATCCATCATAATATAAAATATAACTGGCTTCCCAATATATGAAAATAAACCTTAGGGATTACCCTCTCCTAGTGCTTTCATTTTATAAAAGAACTGAAGTGAAGCTTTAAGTCATACAAGCTAATTAGAGGCAGAGTTAAAAGTTTTACATGACAGATGCTTTCCTTTTTAGTTTGGATATTCAAAAGTAATCACTGATGAGTGTCCTTTAATGTTTCACATGTGCTAATAAACATGGCTGGGGCCTAGGAGCTGGCCAAGCATCAGCAGCCAGTCCCTGGAATGAGGGCCCCGCAGGCCCATGGAGAACCAGCAAGTCTCAAACAGCAGCAGTTAGCAATTCTGTATGTAATTTTGTAATAGACGGTGGGGGGCAAAAGTAGGTTTACAACTGTGAGTACATGAAACATAGTTTATACGCGTGTTACTCATTATTGTATTATTTTCCATACAAATAACTGTAGACCTACTTTTGCCCTACCCTGTATGAAGTTTTCCACATAAATATAAGCCAATTTATGTGTAAATAGTGTTGTTATAATCAAACATTTCATTAAGTTAGGTTTAAAGATAAAATGGATTACTTTATTTTTATGAAATTTAATGATGCTGACAAGTAGCATAAATAAAATACCACGTAATAAATACATCTGAAATGGAGTAATTTCCCCATGGATAAAGTTTTACTAGTACTATTAGTGAAATGATCACAGAATTTCTAAGTGTACAGTTACTTTTTACTCATAGTCATCTATTGTTACTCAGAAAAAGGTGAAACATCTCACTCCCATCCCCCACCCACTGCAAAAATAAAAGATCCACTGGGTATTAAACTACTCCTTTTCCAGAAAGGACGAATGGGCTTTCATGCTATAAAGAAACCCACCTTCCACAGTGAAATCTAATAGTTACAAGGAGCCAGTGCTTATAAATGCTCCTAAGGATTACCCTTTCTAATGAGCTGAATTTCTCTTTTAAATCAACTCTTCTCAAGTCTAATTTTAAGAAACGAAACAAAAATTACAGCACAGAAAAAGCCAAACTTACTTGCTTGCTTGTTTTGTTTTCTCAGTCCTGATTCGTGTTACTTTTTGCTGTCCCACAGCATCATCCTAAGAGTTAAACGTTTTTTAAAAAGGTAAGTATTAGGTAATTAAACATTTGAAATCTAAATTTAAAGTTCTATTCTGAATCAATGAATATAGCCCAACAGTGCTAATGAATTCAAACCCAAGAAATCCCAAATGGACTCAGTTGTTTTGGTAGAAAACCTGGTCCTCTAAGACTGCCTTTGATCCCTCATCCTCACCCTTTTGCAGTTTCCGTTTTTCGAAAGTTTCCATTGTTTACTGCCCTTCTGTTGCCTATTGCCTGTGTCCAAATCCACGCTCCACTCACCATCTCATTGCAACTGGGCCACCAGAGACGGCCTTCTCCTCCCCAGAATTCACTTTTCGTAAGAACAACCTGAAACATGCACAGGGCTATCTGCTGCAGTGTCAGCGGACCTGCCCCACTCCCCGCACCCGGTCATGCTTCTGTGCCTTTGCACCTGCTGTTTTCCCTGCAAGTGTGCTTATCTCCTCCACCTTCTGTCTACAGGGGAACCGGGGTATAAAGGGTTCTTATCACGCCATGAAATTCTGGTTTTTGCCTCTTCAATTAAACTGAGCTCCTAAAAGACAAGGAATTTGCCTGCATTATTTTTGTGTGTCTGCCCTTGCATGATAACTGGCTAATGGCACATAATTAAAAAAAATGCTTGTGAATTTACACTGGTAACTCTAAGTCTCATGCTCGATCCCTGGACTATTTTTACTCTAGGGTTATATGCAATTAGGTGATGGAATCAACTGTAAAACACTATCTCTTCAAGTGTGGTCTGTGGGTGACATTTCTGGGGTTCAGGGACCTACATTTTAAATAAACACAGCTAGATAATTCTAATTAGACAAAATTTAAAAACCTTTCCCCTAAATGGTAATTTAAACTGCAGCTGCCAGTAATTTACCATCAGTAACATACCACAAATCTCGCAAATATAGGGTCTCAAAAGTGCAGACAAGGCAATTTCAGGTTATTTATATGAATGTCTGCTCTTTTCTTTACGAACATTGCATCAAAACAAACACAAAAATAAGCATACCAATAAAATCATGTGTTTCTTACCAGTTCATGCACAAGTTTGGGTGTGTTAGACATGTTCTTCCGCCTGGTCCTCAGAGCAGGGGGTGAGAAGACAAATGGAGAAGATAAATCTGAAACTAATTCCTTTAGCTGTTCTGGCGCTTCTATTTTTTTAGCTAAAGAAAGGTAGGGAAAAAAAATTCTGTATCTGTATCACTTTATATAAACATACATTAAAAAAAAAAGCTTGAAATGAATGATGTACATAAGAAAGATGTAAACATCTCCAAACACAGAAAACACTAGTATCCTAACAAGGTACCCTTGAGAGAAATGATAGGAAAAACTCTAACCTCATTTGGGTACTTACTTAAGGCAGGTACAAAACAGTATTACTATACTAGTTTCAATCTTTACTGCTCCTCAAACATTCTGAGGAAAACATCATTCTCATATATAACCTGAGCTGGTTTGTTTTATTAATTCCTATTGTTCCAGAGACAGGGTTTTTATTTACAAAATAATTTTATTTACAAAGAAGAAACTCAAACTTTTCCTTCTAGCTCATTCTAATTGTTCTAGTCAAGTGACAGAAAAGGCCATATCATAAAAGGAAAAAGCAAGCAGAGGAAATATTTTTAATGTCAAATTCTGCTTTTAAAGCAGACAATTCTTAACAAAAGAATAGGCATGGGGTCAGAAATAAAAGTTATCTCTGCTCCCAGCTGATAAATGGCAGAAATGGTTGTGGTTTCTGCTGGTAGCCAGAGAAACAAACATATCAACAAGCTTTGGCTTTTCAAAGACTGACTCATATTCTTCACTAAGATTTACCCAAAGGACGTATAGAAAAGTACACTATCATGTGTAAAAGTGTTCAGCACCTTCCATATGCTCCTATTACCCAACTTGTGTGTTAATTTCCTCACCCAGTTCTGTAAGCTTCCTGAGTGTAAGTTTTGATGGCCTTGCTACTTAAGGACTAAGGAGTTTGAAAGACCTAGGTTCAAACCTAGGACTGTATGGGGAAGCAGCTCTGATGTATAGCATTTGCTGAGTTCTGTGGTATAAATCTCCCCACCCTGGCTGACTCAGAAGCTTCTGAATATTTTCACAACTGGCTCTCAGCAACCAATGGGAGGTGGCTCCAGGACACCGCCACTTACTACCTGGGTGATGTGGGCGACCAATCCCACTGAACTTAAGTTTTCCTCTATGTGTAAAGGAAACACAAAACCTATACTGAATTGGGTTTCAGTGGGAATCGAAATCATAAATGTGTACCCTCGAATAGCCTCAGGCATATAAAACAGGCTCTTCTTAAAATATCTGCTGATGAGTAATGGAAATTAGAAAAATCGACTGAAATGTCAAGCTCCACATTCTTTAGGCTATAAAACACATCTAAATAAAAATCTAAACCACTTTCTTTGACAGGTTTTTGATTAGAGGGCAGCCTCCATCTTTCTAATGTAATCTAAGTAAATTTCTAATCTAATGCTTTTGTATCCACTCTTCTCTGCTATTCCCATCTATCCCTCCCTAAAG